CTATAATCTCTTGTTTACCAAAGGATTCACAAAAGTTTTGTTCAGCCTGCATACGGACATGTACACCACCTTTAGTGATTATTAGGCTAAAGCCATTTAAAGAAAAAAACATGTTTAGCATCCTGTGTTTTTGAAAAATAGAAAGGAGGAGGAGGCCCTTTTTTTATTTTTTTTTATTTCGAAATCAGAAATAGATCACTTTAGCCGTATTTTTTTGTTGGTTTTTTTTAATTAAAAAAAAATATTAAAAGAAGAAAAAAAAGGAGGCGGCCCCAAAGAGGAAACAGACAGGGACGCTAAACATGATTGTGGTTTTTTAAATGGCCTAAACGCTGAATTTGCTGAATCTCACCTGAGGAATTGTAGCTCTGAGTTTGTAGTGCTTCATAAGGAATGATTGGAACTTGTGTGATGGACGGTCTATAGCGAGGTGATGTGGTTTCACGCCTTCAGCCTGTACAAAGTGGAAAGAAAGATGTACATGTACATATTTTAAGGAACATACTATTTTTGTTTAAACTTCTTTCGGTGTTTTACAAGAATCTTCCTTTTTTAACAAAAAAATGATATAAAAACATTGTAAATATAATCTGTACATGTTTGTCATCACCAACACCACTATCACCACCATCATCGTCGTCGTCATCGTCGTCGTCATATTTCTCCACTTCATAATAAAATACTGGTACATGTACATGTTCATCTACAAGTACTACTAGACTCTATTGAAGCAAACTTCAAATTTCACCCCCTGAATTAAAAAAACAAAGGTTCCAGAACATCACATTCACGAAGAATTCATCACTGCATTAACATTTAAAAAAAAAATATATACTGGTATATAAAAAAGTATTTCACTATTAAACTTGAAGTCAAAAAAAAAAAAGAGAAGAAGAAGAAGAGAAAAAAAAGAGGGAAAAAAGTATTTAACTGACCTGAAGCATGTGTGTAAATAGTTTCTTGCCGTATCCCTTCCTTTGGCACGACTCATGGACGTAGAAATCCAGGACACAGATGGGCTGCATCTCTGTCTGGTTACCATGGTGATCAAGAACGAATAGATTCTTCCTCCCTGTTTTCAGAATGCCTACCACTGCTCCAAGTTCACTAACGATGGAAAAGAGAGTAAATGTCATTACCATGTAATGTCAGCCATTTTTAGACACATGGATTGGATTTTTCTGAAACATACACGTACATGTATGTCCAAGGTCACATAAATTTTAACGGTGCATTGCTATATTAAAGGTATTACAAAGTTTGGGAAATTTTAAAAATTGGGTGGATAGTGATTTTTTACAATCTTGATTTTGATGCCCCTGTGGATGAATTATAAGCACAAGAAATTTTAGCCCCTAAAAACACTTCTGCTTTCAAGAACAAATTGAATATAACAATTTGATGAATTTCACATAGCGCCTATGGCCGTACAATGGTAGCTGCGACCATGAAAATCTCAGAATATGTAGTTGAGATAGATAATTTCCAAACGGGAATAGCTAATAGGTCGATTTTAGTCAATTTTTAGTTTTAACTTAATTAATATCTTGACCTTGAGAGGGAGCAATTAATACAACATTTAAAAGAATTTATTATTTACAATTTCATAACTTTAGACTTGATTTTAACCGCGACAACGATCACTGAATATTGTAGGATCACATATGCTACCAATATGTTCATTTGAACGAAATTCACGACCCCATACCAAAACTTTGTATTACCTTAACTCTATACATTTTTGTCCATGTACAGTATGTGTAGTTTGCATAATTCTATAATACATTTTAACCCATGGATAGCAATTCACAGTTTTTTATTTTCTAAATTAATCAGTTTTCCCTCCTCAAATTGGCATCAACATATCTTACTTTCAATTCTGTCATGGTTTAGTAATAGATAAATATGTATACTTAATTATTAACCCGGCCATTGTAAAATTGTAAAATTTAACTGAAAAATTGTCAATTTGTACACGAATGGTGATTTTACATTTTACAAATTGTGTTATACCAATTAAAAGATTTTATAATGATTAGTTACAATTAAATCGTTCTTAATTCATTACTGCATTTGAAATGGACTTTAAAAATGATGTGATCTTTGCTCCTTCTGCTATATAATGTGTACGAGTCCTAGCATTCTGGAATCGAAAGATACTGCAAAAATGTCAATAAAAGAAGATACTGTCTTGCTATGGTTTAATTACTTTTACAAATATAATAGGCCTTACAATTACACATTGAATACATGAACAGGTATTTAAATCTTAATTCATGAACATTCACATACGGTAAGTCATAATTATAAAATGGAATTCAACTGTACAATTATGCACCATACATGTCCAGTTAATCATTTTGGATGGCTCTCTAATTGCACATAAAGCCAGAAGGTCATTATCTATAATGAATCTAGATCAATGACTCATCAATTATCCATCCACAAATGAATGCATTTATCATTAGAGCTCTATCTATTTAATGCACTTTGATAGAGCCCTAATTGACTTCTAGTGTGACTGTTGCACTTTCTGCCGTATTTGAATTCAATGACATAAAATGATGTCATTAAAGCATTGATGTCATTAAAGCATTGATCTACATTTCTGTGACCTTCTGTGGTTTCTACAACTTACATTGTACATTGTAGCTACATGAAGCTTGCGTACATGAAGCTTTAACCATTTTTTTTTCAAATTTTGTTTTCTATTCTTGTAATAAATATAATGATGATGATGATGATGATCGATGATGATGATGATGATGATGATGATGATGATAATTATGAAGTGTACATTAGTTTTAGATAGTTCTAACGTTTGAATGTGAACCTGTACAAGATGACCTACATGTACATGTATCATGTAGCCATGCATGTAGTTGCTTTACTAAATCCATAAAGGTACATGTAAAAGGATCAATGGAGAAAGTGTCTACGATATGACAATGCTACGGATAGGGCCATGAACACAAAAATCAATGAAATTGAGTCAGTTTGGCCATGATAGTTGTAAAACATGTATCAGAGAAATTTTAACATTTCACACAGATAACAGAGCCTATCCATTGGTTCCAAATATAGATCACAGAGTTTATCTTAATAAAAGTTTAAGCAACGCTATATTATGCAATAAACTATGCATGTATGACTATCTGACTACATGTACAAGTTACAAACTTATAACCAGCACTGACCATCTTTTCAGTACATTTATATGACATACACCTGTATGTAATATTAAATTTTATTTGTTTTTCTTCTAATTCATACTTTGAACTGAACTGAACTGAATTATTTGACAATTCACAAAACTGTGCCCTTCATATTTCAATTCATACTTTTGTTTGTTTAAACCCATCCGTTTCACTAGAGTGATCTTTCAGCTATTTAGCATTATGCACCTGAACAGCGAGCTCACTTGACCTGTAAAGTTACCCCTATACAATACAGGTGGGCCTCTGATGACACTTCTCACAAAATCTATGCAAGAGTGACCACCTGCATGCAAGACTAGCTGTGAGTAGTCTACGAAAACAGACCTATTGTTAATTGTTATCCGTTCTTGTTGTTGAAATAGAAAGTACTGTATGCAATTTTGTAGAGTTTACAATGATGCAAATATATATGTTGCATGTTTGTGGAGATGTATAGAATTACATAAAATATGGACAAAACTTGTGACTTGTATACATGTACAGTGTAGGTCTTCAACAAAATACTGTATACCGGTGCATGTGTGTACAATGTACAGTACATGTACCTTTTGAAAGAGGTTAACATCCCCACATTATATGAAATGTTCAAATGCTTAGCCATCAAAGAGTATTATGAGGAAATGATTGAATATACATGTAAAGGCCTTTTCAGAAGGTAACTCAGGTTTAACTTCTGCACATACATTTCCCGTTAAAGGCTCGTTCGGATATGGCGCAATAAAATACTGATTGCTTTACATGTAAACACCAACAAAAGTCCTGCGCATACGTGTATTCACTGAGCTCTGTATTAGATATTACATGTAGGTACAGAAATTTGAACCATATCAAACTGTAATTCATCATAAAAAAGGCCTCTTTTTTGCCACATCATACATGTATCAGAACCAGGCTTCTATGTACATGTACCAACTCAAGTAACCATTCAAAAGTCATTTTAAACCACTTCATTACAGTGCAAAAACAGAAAGTATATTTGAAGGTGATATTTTAAAACACCAGCATGTGAACCCCCAAATTACAGAAAAAAAGGACTCTTTTTGGTAATCATTGGTCTCTTGTCCTGATTAATCACATTACATGTAAACTATGCTCAGCAGTATTCTGATTCCGTTGAGAGCGTTATGTGTCTGCAAGCAGAGACTAGGCCTTAACTCCAAAGTGATGCATTCATCAAGTGATGCAGAGTGCATCATCAATACGTGGAAGAGTTCCTTGTCCTTCTTTGACTCGAATAGAAAGTGTAATGCAATCGATACAGTGCATTTCTGTATTTTGAACCATTTCTTTCTTTTTTTTCTTCTTTTGTGTTTGCACTTGGATTCTCTGAGGCATGCATTTCTCATCAATTAGGCGAAAATTGAGTCACAAATACATGTAAGGAAACATACATGTACAGTATGTCCCAATATGCACACCTGCAGTATATGGCTATATTCTGAAAATGATGTTTTCTTTTTCATGTTAGAGAAAATTTTGTTTAATTGTCATAATAACTATTCATCACATTTGCAGAAAGCATTTTGCAAACATTAACAAAATGACTTTTCTTAATGTATATTTGTTACAATAATTATTTTACAAACAAACATGAAAATACAACATCGTTTTCAGAATACTTACCCGCATCATCTTAAATCCTTTTCATCAAAATGCTTGATCATTTTACAATGTTCATGTTCATAAAATCTCACAGCACACAAATAAAATCAAAATAAATAGTTTTTTATTCACCTAATCAGAATTTAACGTACTTTACAATAAAAAATAAAGAGTTTGAACATACCCATTAGCCATGGGATCTGTGACAACATACAGTTTATTGTCTGTAAAACGCAGTCTCCGAGCCGTGGTGATGACATGCTTTAAACCTTGGGCCTAGAATGAAACAAAAATACATACAAACAAGAGAGATATAAGTAAAATATACAGTAAGTAGTACAGAAACATCATAACTCTTACACGTACATGTACTTTATATTCAGGAGCATGTACTGTATGTACTGTACAATTGTACATGTATATGAATGTAACAGGAAATCTTAATTTCAAACTTAACTTTAATGCACCGTATATGAACCATGTTCAAGAGAAGTTCAGATGGTAAATAAAAGGTCAATACAATTTGTTTTCTATTATTGTTTCTACTTTCTAGGATAGACAAATATCAATTTTTTGCAACATATTGTGATCCACATCCAGACTAAGGATTCATAAAAATCTAAGACTTATTCTCCCCCCCCCCCCCCCCAACTGAACTTTTGAACTTCCGACGTAAATGTTTGTTAGACAGATTAACAACATCATAACATTATGCTTTACCAATTCTGAAGAAATATGTTGATAAATTTAACTCTTTATATTTAAATCAATGCTGGAAATAAATAAGTTTCAACTTCAAATTTCTAAATTTTCCTAGATTTTACAAAAGGGGAAGACATACATGTACATGTACATGTTCTCTGTTCTCTTGAATAAAGATACATGTACATAAATGTATACATTTCATAATCTTAATTGAGCAGTAAAAAAGATCATTCTTAGAATTTCTAACTAAATATGGTACAAATCTAAAATATCCTTCTAATATTCCCTCCAGCAGCTCAGTGCTTCAAATACGCTTGCATTATCATTATCATTAACAAATAAAATCTGTCACTACAGCTACTAAAATTATTATAGTGGTCCAAACCATTTTGTGATGGAATACAGTAGGCCTACCTTTGACGATGCCATCCCCATCTGATCAATCACCTTCTCCAGATTTGCTTGGTGGTCCTCGGATCTGAGGGCAAAATCATAAAGATGATAGAGATTCCATTGATGAATAACATATTATTATTATTATTATTATTATTATTATTACTTATACTGCGCTTTTCCCATAAGGCCCAAAGCACCGGCTTACATGTTCATGCACATTTTGTACAGTTAACAACTAAATTATTCATACATGTACCCATTGTAAATTTGATGTTTGTTTTGTTTTGTTTGTTATTTTGGAGGGCCGGTGTCTTTTCGTAACTCGAGATTAAAAAGTGGACTGGTTGAATTCTAGGGCCACTGTTTAATACTTTTAGAGGTAAGCTTTAATGTGTCACATTCTCAAGAAAAATAAATTTGGACAAATTAATTTTTCATCCATTGACAAATGAATACTCATACATGTATATTTTCAATGGGTTTGTACGTGTACGGAACCACCCAGTTCCAGTAGAGAATTGGTTTTTAAAAAAGTACAAAACTTGGTAAGGCTATGAATAGTTTAGCTGTTAAATGTACATTTTGTCAGCATTATTATGAACCGACGAATCTGTCATATAGGCCTAGTCTATGTTACTGTACAAACTTGTTGGCTCATAATATTGACGATTTTGTTTTGAATCATATTACATTTGTAGATCTATTAAAGTTTATCGCTAATTCAAATCAGAGTACATTTATAAACAAGGCAGCGCCTTGTGTAAAACATTTACACCTGTATAACAAAAACATAGTGTTGGGAGAGACAATTTCGGTTTCCTTCTCTCTCTCTGGGAGGCGTGGGGTCCAGTTAACTTTTTTTAATTTAACATCAGGTACAAATCCAAGATTTTTGAAAAATTCCATCATAAAAAAGGGGGGGGGGGTCAGACTTCAGAATTTCATCAGGGATTTTATTTTTGGTCCAAACATTCTCTAACAAGCGAAAGCGAAGAAGTCATCACCTCGACATTTTTGACATTGTACTGACAGTACGAGTTCAACTCAAGGTCTATTCGCAACATATTTCACGCCTGCTCCGCCCCGCTGTCTACTCACCCATGAGAGTGTGTGCGATACGGCCTCAGATCTCTGTCGACAACTGCAATACTTTCACCAAAAAGATGATTAACGTTGAATGTAAACTCCATTTTTCCACGATTTTCGACGATACTTATATGTAATCAATCATATACCTCTTTACTGATTGAATCAACGGTCCATTTTCGATATATTTCCAGTAAAAATGTTGTTGCTCGAACGGTCGTTCCCGTCGCTACCTAAACAAACAGTAGTCTGCCAGGTCGGACTCCATCAATTACACGTTTGCACATACCGGTAATGCAATGCACACGCAGTATATAGATAGCCTAGATAGCCAGCCGCAAAACAGCTAGGCCTACAGTCAGGTACAAAAAAATGAGCGATATAAAATGGGACGGACAGTGAAAACATAGGGGGGGGGGGGGGGGGGACTCTAATGAGTTTTATCTTACAGAAAAATATACATATTTAAAGGGAAGCGGGTAATAATTCCCTTGTCTAATTAATTATGTTTGTCAACATAGGCGTCAGGCAGAATAATGTTGCTTTGATATTAAAAGTGAGATTGATACTTTTGACATTTTTAAACTTAGTTTGAACTTTCCCGACGAGTATAGTGCTGGTAATAGAGTGAGTATTAAAGTGCCGTTTGAAGTTCAAATAGATGGAGCAAGGTGATTCAATCACAGAACAAATGTTAACCATCAGGCCTATCAATCATGCAAGTATTGATATTTTAATAGCTGTCACTCATTTACCTTTTCAGACAAAAATGGTAGGCCTACAACTTATAAAAACGACTCATTCGCATGGTTTTATTGAAATCTGGAGGAAAGATTATTTTTCCAAGGTAGACAGATTATTGAGGTGTATAACTGAACAAATATAACATTGATCCGGGAACCGGAATGGGGGGAGCATTCATATTCCAAAATGGGTGAAAAGGGCAGTTGTCTAATTGTTTGCCAAAACTCATTCAGGGCACCTTTTTTAGACTAGAGATTAATAGAGTTTAAAGAATGTTTTGGGAGGATTAAACTTGTATAGGGCGTGATTTTTTAGAAAAAATAGAAAAGGGTGCGATTGTTACCTATGGCCAAAACTTGTTCAGGGTTTTTTGGAAAACCTGTGGTTATGGGTGTGTAATCATATTGTGAACTACCCCCCCCCCCCACCATCCACCCCCCCCTCCCCCAAAAAGGGTGTGTGGTGAGAGCCAGTAGGGCATTAACTAGCTTCAGATTAAAATAGTTAACGCCCTTAAATTCTGTCTCAAATATAGGTAAGTCTTTGTGCAAGTTTCCTGAAATTTCGGCACCTTTTTTTCTTTCTCCATGAAAATGAAAGCCACCATCGAAATATTGCTACATCAATATACCTGTCTTAATGGGTTTATTGCCGTTTGGTCTACTATCCAATTGATCTATTCCCATATGGTCTACACCCAACCCGTCTTCTACCCAAATGGTTTAATGAACATTTTGTCTGCTGATCATTTGGTCTAATATGACCATTTAGGCTCATTGTCATTTGGTCTAATTTCCATTTTGTCTAATCTCTAATGAGTCTGATACCTATTTGGTCTATTGCTCATTTAGTCTTATTCCCAGTCGGTCCAATACCCAGTTTGTCTAAATGGTCATTACACCAAGTATAGAAAACCATAATTAGACCATGTGGATAGTATAGACAGGGTTGGTGTAGAACATATTGGAATAGACTAATTAGGTATTAGGAAAACTGTTTGTAGACCAAACAGCAATTCTCCTCTTAGTGGCCACCTCTCTTTGAAGGCCATCGGTCCATAATCACCACACAATTCAATAAATACACAAATAATACTCTTTGTTTTTACAGTACTGGCAAAAAGTGTGTTTTTATTGCTTCACTAAATGTGAAAAGATTGCACTTCTTAGCTCTAATTCTAGGAAACTTGACATAACTTCAAACAAGCTAAGTAAATGATCTATTTTTGTTTGACCAAAACCATCAAGAGTGATGCATTTTTAGATTTGAAAATGATCTACGACAACAGGACAAGTAAAAGGGTGATTTCTCAATCAAACATCTTATGAATCTTATGCAACGAGTACAGTTTAGACAATTCCTGTGAATATTTGCACAGTAGGCCCCAATTGTATTCTAATTTTAATTCTTTTCTGGTTTTAGAACAAACTCTGGACTGGGATAGTCAACGTTTCCACATACAGTGCATATGTATGTTCTAAGAACTCTAAACAAGCGCTTCTTTTTTTAAATCTTGAACAAACTTGAAATTCAACAGTGTTTTCATCACATATTAATTCGCACCAAAATATATAGCATTGCTCAATACAATACAAACATAACATTTAACTGGTATCTCCTTGCTGATTGAAACACCCTACAAAAAAATGGCAACTACCTTGATCTCTAGCAAATATCAGGGTTGAATTCTGATTATATTACTTACTCTACTTAATATCCAAACAAAGTATTTTAACCAAGATGCAGCATTACATATCAATTAGGTATTTAGAACGACTCTTTTAAGAGTTGATTTGAACATTTCACAATGATGAATGAGTTGTAGTAAATAAATGTTAACTTGCATTCAGAGAAGACGATTAACTAAAGACGTTTTTCCTCTCCTAAGGCTTGTTCAGATATGGCAAGGTAAGCCACTGCATTTTTGTTTTCTACACGTAAAATATCATATCTGAACAAGCCTCTTCAGCACCCAGCATTCCCTTATTTCATAAAATAATATTTGTATACATTTGTATATATGTAAGCAGATTCTTTAAACCATACGTTGAGGTGAACTCAACGTGATTACAAAACCAAATATTATCAAATAAATGAGATAAATGATGCAACATGCAATTCATTAATAGACCGTTTGTGTGTATAATTTTGAAATTTTATCATTCCTATTTTTAGTTGATTTGTAGGTCTACTTGATTATTATATGCTTCATCAAGTAATCTTTCAAACGAAAACACAATTTTGATTGTATAATCTGAATCTTTAAAAAGGAAAGAATCACAGCTACATGTACATGTTTGAACTTGCATACCTCAAATTAGTACATTTCTAAAACATTAACAAAGATTATACCATAATGATTCAATCTACCAAACTACATTCAATACAAATAGTTAGCACATGCATTAATATCTATTGTGAAATCCATTTTAAGTAATAAGTTGCATTCATCTTTTTAAGACACATGGGAACTTTCTTTAACAGAAAGTTGAAGAACAGGCTTGAAGGCTTAAACCATAACTATATAACATTTATAAAGAAAGTTTGAAGCTTATCAAGCACTTACATGTATTGGTAAGGCAATGTTTCATTATAGTGTTTACAAAATATATAATAAAACTAACCATTCAATCAAATATCTAACCATACACAATAGTATATATCAATTTTGTTCTATAACCTCCATTTATCTCAATTCTTCAATGTCCTTCAATAAATGACAATCTTTCAAACTTGCAACACCATCATAATCATATCAAATATAAACAAATATCAAATCAAGTTACATACATCATCTGTTTGGAGACAGAAGGGTGTTAACTCATATAGAGTACCGAAGCTGTGACGTCATAAAAATCTATTTTTAGAATTTCTCAATTTTTTCTTCATATTCCGAAAGAACATAAAACATAATTTCCAAATGTCGAAAACCAATTGAATATGTTGAGAATTGGATGAGATATGACCATCGGAATAAATATACTCCCCATAGGAACTCAGTGTTATATGCTCTGGCTCCTAATGGTTAGGAGCCAGAGCATATAACACTGAGTTCCCATAGGACATATATTCATTCAGATGGTCATATCTCAGCCAATACTCAACATATTCAACTGGTTTTTGACATTTGGACATTATTTTTTTTGTTCTTTCGGAATACGAAGAAAAAATTGAGAAATTCTAAAAATAGATTTTTGATGACGTCACACTTCACCACTCTATAGTTTAACACAGATGTAACACCTTTCTGGCTATGAACATACAATGTCAAAATGATCTATTGACAAAGAATATCTAAACTCAATTTTATCTTAACAGTCCATCAAATTATTGCAAACTAGGATGTGCATTGTTTAAAATACAGTTAATAAACAGAGGTACATTTATATCTCAAGATTGATGTACTGTAGTATACATCATTTGAATATTGTACAAGAAAACATTTGAATTCCATATCACTGTATTTCAGATTCTCAAAAATGCTACATTTTAAATAAAAATCACTCATGCCCGATGATTTTGCCATTATTCATAAAGTTTACCAAATTTTGGACCAAGTTATCAGCTTTTCAAAATGTATATTGTTTAAAGCAGACTTATAGATACGGAAATGTATAAAGCGTATTACACTTTTAATACGTCATTCAGAAACCACTGTGATTTTGCCGCATCATGTCACAACATGGCTTAAGGTGACAATTGAGTGCTGATAAAAAAAGAAAATAAGTCATCGCTAAATAACAAACAATGAATGTTCAGAACAACAAATAAATGGCAAAAAGCCCAATGATTTGTACAGAAAAGGAGCGTGTATTACATTAATAAACCTACTGAAATAAATTGTTACATGTTTTATTACAATATAATATCAACAAAAGATCTTTAACTAAACCCACTGTTGGCAATGTTGCAACATTCACAATAAAACATTCCAACATATTTCATACTCGTAAGGCTTCCTTTACCTTGCATCATACATGTAGCTCTGCATATTCCCACACAAGAAAATTGAACTCATAAGGCTTAAATTCTATCATTTAACAATGTCTCAACTTTGGTTCTTTTACAGTAAAAACATATAGGCAAGAGGCATCTCAATAGCGGTACTGATATTTATAATGTATTCAATCTAATGCAACACATACATTTATCCTATACAATTTCAATCTGTTTATAGCAAAAACAGCATCATTTCTCTATCTTCAATCTTCAAACCCTGTACGAACAGTCTGAATTTTCCTGCAAAATGCATAGCGTGTCATACAAAATATGTAGCAAAATACATTTCCCTCATTTTTGGCCTTTTGCACAGGAATATCCCGAACTCAGTCACTATTCTTCATGTCATCACACAGAAGCAATCGACTCATCTACAGTACCTTGCGTTATGATCAGGGACCTGTTTCACAAAGCCTTTTTTCAATGACAAATGACAAAAATCAGTGACAAATATGCCGATAACCAATCAGAAGCAAGGATTTCAGTAGCTTATAATAAAAACTATCATTTGTCACTGATGACAAATTTTGTGAAACGCCCCCCTGAATTATTCTGTGTGGACATCAACTATGATGAAAAATAGATGTTTCTCAAAAGAATTGCAATTTTTTCAGTTCACATATCTCATGTACATGTATCCCGCTTCCAGTCTCTAAAAGCCCAAATGTGCACACATGTGTGAACGGAACTATATACTTTGCAATATATTCTAATATTCTGTGTATCTAGCATTTGATGCAAAAACGATGCTACAGCAAAGTGACTTACTACAGTGGAAGACATAAATCCATACACAATTATTCTTTTTCTATTTTTAGTCTCTTAATATTCCTCATTCATACATGTACACTCAAAGTGCAATTATTCATATTTGAATTTCTGCTTTCTTTATCTCTCTTCTTTATTTATTTGTTTTTATTTTTTATTTTTTCGGTCAGAAAAAAAAAAAAGGAAATAAAAATAAGTACATTTAGAGAAATACATAACCAATGATTTATAGCATTAATATTTTCTATGCACATGTGACTCTGACGAAGTATTGGATATAATGACAAAACAACCAAGGAATAGAAGTGGAATAAATAAATCACACATAATTATAAAAAAAGACATAACCATCCTTTCTGCAACAAAAACAAATAAATTTGGTGATCATAAGTACTGTATCGGAGAGAATCAATTATTAACTTCCTCCAAACTAAATCAAACATTTCTACCAATCCACTTTTTAGTAAATTCTGTTTTTGATTTGAAGCTTTTCAACTGCAGAAGTATAGCCTGAAATGGCAGGCCCCAGTAAACAATATGTGGAAAAATAATGATTTTACTTCAATATGGAATGCCAAAGAAACTAATGCTTAGAAACCAGGGGACCTACAGCTATAAATCACATCAGAGGGACTAGACGGTGGAGGGTTAATGCCTTATCCCAAGCTTCTCATGCACTAACTTGGCTTTCAACCAAAGACATCCCCAAAACTGGACCTCTCTTCAAATATTTAGAAACTAAGATCTATCAGAGCTGCAAACATCAACTGCAACCATCTTTATTCACACAACAAAGTAACAGACCCACTCTATTTTATCATCAAACAGTACTATGGCATCAACATGAAACTAGGCAATACTCAATTTTAAGCTCACACTGCGACATAAGGGCCATGCAAAAAATATGACAATGTCTTCATTTCTTTATTAAAATATTCAAAATGTGCTTTGTTGTACATGCTTTATTGTGCGAATAGTGTAGCTTTTTAATGTGCAACTATTTCAGGCAAGATTCGAACAGTGCAGTTAGTGGTTAGGCACAGTGTCACTACCAAGTCACATGCTAGATCACAGTAGAAACTACAATAGTAGATGAATAAAATACTGCTTTGGTTTTATGTACAGAAATATTTCTACATTTCCTAAAATATTATTTTTTATTACATGTGACATGAAGATGGTGAAACTTTCCGCACAAACTACATTTTGTTTTTTCTTGTACTGCCCCTCACAATTTGTTATTACGGTCAAACCTGCTTTAGTGACCACCTGTATAGAAAGACCACATTTGTTATTTCCCTTGAAAATGTTCTCTCATTGAAACATGTACTAAATGAACCTGTACATAAAGACCACCTGCCGATAAAGACCACTTTTCTTGTCTCACTGTACTTTCACTGTACCAATCATTTTACTCAATATCTTTTTTCTTTTTCCATTGAAGTTTGAGGCAACAAGTAGGCATTGTGTCTAATTCAACCTTTTCTGCATGTAACGTGATGTGTATCATAATGTTAAGTGACATACATGTACAGTAGAAATACTCCCCAGGGAGAGGAGATGGTGCATATTGTGCATGACTTAATGCGCTGACCAGGGTAATAATACAGTAAAACATGCTTAAGTGACCACCTGTCTACAAAGACCCCTTTTTATGTCTCCCTTGGGTGGTCACTATAGGCACGTTTTGACTTTATCTGTAAAGCGCTTAGTACCCTTATTAGGCGCTATAAAAACCCAGGTGATTCTTATTATTATCATTATCATTATTATAATGTTAAGTGATACAGTGTAGAAGAATGCTTTGAGGGTGTCTTGTGCTTCTTTGTCTGGAAAGGCAACATTAAAAAGATGACTCTTATCTTCAAAATACCACAGTTATAATGAAGAATCTGTTAGTAGTCTTACAACAGTACATAACACTCTAAAACGGCCAAAGCATGGGCTAGTTAGGAGTCGGTTTGGCGTTCTGATTGAGCTGTAAAAAAAAACATTCCCTCATCTTCACTCTAATTTCATTCAATCCATTTGATTCATTCATTATCTGTTCTTTCTACTGACTTTTAAGTTATCTTGCCTCCATCAACAAACCATTTGTGTTTCACTTTGAAATGCCACTTTATAAGTCTTTTCCACTGACTTCAAAACCCTTTTGCAACCATCAGATAATCAAAGGGATTCCTCAATGAAATGCTCGATTATTAGCCTTTGTCTCTGTCTTCCAAACAATCATTTGATTCGTCAACAAACCGAACGGTGGATTATTAGTCTTTTCTGCAGACTTCCAAACGATCATTCATCTATCAGCAAATCAAATGGATTCCACAACGAAATGCTCCCAATTTCAGCATTTTCCACCGACTTCCAAACTATCTTGCAGCCATCAGCAAATCCAACGGATTCCACTATTAAATGCCCGATTATTAGTCTTTTCCACTCCCTTCCAAACTATCTGGCATCCATCAACAAACTGAACAGTTTCCACTACGAAACCCTGGATTATTAGTCTTTTCCACTGCCTTCCAAACTATCTGGCATCCATCAACAACCAAATGGTTTCCACTACGAAATGCCACTTTATTACCCTTTTCCACTGACTTCCAAACTATCTTGCACCAACTGCAAATTGAGTGGACTCCACTATGAAATACCACTTTATTCGTCTTTTCCACTGACGTCCAAAATATCATGCATCCAAAGAGATTCCACAATGAAATGCCAAATTATTAGTCTTTTCCACCGACTTCCAAACTATCATGCATCCATTAGTAAATCAAACGGGTTCGTAGTCGCCATGCTCGAGTTCCCTTTCCGCCTCCGCTCCTTCCTCCTCGAGTCCGACTCCCTGTCGACATCGTTGCTCTCGACGTCGGCATCGCTGTCCTCTCCGCTGCTGGTGAACTGGTCCGAGAGGTCGTCTTCTTTGTCGCCCTCTCTGTCCAAATCCTCCTCCACTCGTCTGTGCTGGTCCTGAAGTCGACCGATCTCGAGTGTCTCTTGGTGCTGCTCCCAAAATTCTTTTGTGGGTTTCAAGAATACAAGAAGACTTAGAAGATTGATCCAAACTTTCAATGAATGTCCCACACCAACCCACAAATATACGTAAATAGTTTTGGTAGAAAAAGTACAAGAGTACAATGTAAATATTGACAAAAGAAACATGGGGAAGCTATGCTGGTTTAAACAATCCATGAATATGAAAATGATAAACCATTCAGAATTACTTTTAGGCCGTTTCATTCAAACTTGGCAAGCAACCAAAAACTTACCTCAAAATTTATCTGTAGCAGCAGGATGAGTTTATGGAAGTACGTGCAAAATTTAAGATCAAAAGTTTGGTTTTCTCTCTTTGAGTGAAAATTGAAGCCCCCAATTGGTACACAACAACTCAGAAAAATAAAACACTGCCAGTTCCAAAATTCAAATTTGAAGGCAAAAAATGCCTGAAATCTTTGCCATCATTCTTTCAGTCAAGTTTTCAATTACGAGTTTTTAGAACATTTTAAGCTCTTTCTAGTTTGGAGATTTTGACAGTGCAAATCCCTGCAATGCCCTTTAAAGCCCGTCTGTAATAGTTTGGCCAGAGGGGATTAGACCTCCATGAAAGGTCACTGACAGGTGGTTATTTTATCAAATCAGCTCTCAAATAACATAAGAAAAAGGGGATCATGGGGGACCAACAGGCACCGATTAGGCATTGTTTGCTATATAGAGGGCGCAAGTAGCTATAAGATGTACAATGGGGCTTTAAACTGTACCTTTTTGAGCCGTGTAGCCTGGTGGGGTCATACACATACATAGCCTGCCATCTACGGCCATCCTTAGGATATTGTTGGCAGCCCTGTACGTGTCTTTCCTGGCTGCTTTAGCTGTGATGAAGCCCCTCTTCTCCGCCCAAGCTGCACGGAACGACAAAGAAAAAAGGAAAACAATCTGTGAGCTTTGGTTGTGTGGTGTGACTGTTTATCCGGCATAGTCCGGACTACAAAATCGGATGGCCAGGTTGAATGCAACACTTTGTCTATCTGAAGGAATTCATTTTCCCTACAATACGTTTCAGAATATTGAAGAACTATATCAAAAGGAATTTTGGAGAGCTCAATCAGCAATATTCTTTAGCCATATGATTGTTCAATTACTTTAGAGGTATTTCGGATACAAAACAGAAAATACTAAGATGCTCCTGTACATGTCATCAAAGAATCATTAGATCAACTACGAGCATATGTTTATTTTCTTAGCAACATGTATCTGATAAAACTGAACAATAATCAATCACTTAATCAATAACCTTGAACTTTTGACCTTCATAAATCTTGTATGCTTTATAACAAGATGTCAGTTGGTCTAGCGGCACGTTCACTTGGTCAGCTCTCTGTTTACGCCTACAAACTGACTCAGGCGACCCCGGTTCGACACCGAGTCACGTCTTTCAGATGGTGACGTTAAAGGTCAGCCCCCAGACGTAAATAATCATATCTGATTGATTCACGTCTGTTAAAACCCAATTACATACACACAAGTTTACACATGCTCTCCGAACTATCTGATTCAATAGACACCAACAGACGAATCAATCAATTACCTTCACATATATCGAAAGCGGTCCAATGTGCCCCTGAGGCCCCCTCTGGTGAACCGTCAGCCTCTGGATGGCGTATCCTTAGGATCTGAGTTAGTGGTATCCTCTGTGCCAGGTAGCCAACCGCCGTGTAAGGCTCCTGGACTTGAGCCACGGGGTAAATACCGGAAAGTATCTGAAATAAAAATGGATGAGAGAGAATAGTCAATTCTGATACTCTTTACATATCACCATATTGGAGGAAAAGAACCTCATTGTCAACACTTTAGCTTCGGCAGCCGTTATCAGTGCACAGTGCATTTCAAGGGATAATCCTACCAGGTACCAAAATACCTCACCTGGGTCAAGTGTGGCAAATATAGATTAATGTCTTGCCAAAGGACATTAGTGCCGGGACTTGAACCACCGACCTTGTGACCACGACACTTCCACATATTCTCAAACACACATACAGTTCTCTAACGTTATATGCCAAAGAAGCAAATGGATAAGGAACAGAGGGAACAAGCAACGCATGAACACCAACCTGAAATTGTTTGTCAACCAGCGAGGGAAACGTAAGACCAGGTGAGTCGCACAGCTTGACCGTCGGTGTGAGGAATATGGTCTGGAAATGCTTGGTGTGTCCGGGTGTCCTGGAGGCACTGACCACCTTGCGACCACACAGACCGTTCATCACCGAGGATTTGCCAACGTTAGGATGACCTGATGGGATAAGACAAACATGAAATCCTTACCACAGGCAACTATGATAATACAGTCAAACCTGTCTATAGCGACCGCCCAAGGGAAACACAAAAAGTGGTCTTTGGAGACTGGTGGCCTGTGTAGACAGGTTCCCTTAGTATACGTTTCAATGAGAAACCATTTTCAAGGGAAACAAAAAATGTGGTCTGTGTAGACAGGTGGTCACTAAAACAGGTTTGACTGTACCACTAATGGATGTTTTTATAGCGCACTTAGCCACTACGCAAGGTGCTTAAGGTGCTAAAGGTGCTACCATATTCATCTGATGTCAGTGCTCACAGCATTCAAGGAGTTTCTTTCTACCGGTTATCATTGAACACCCGAGTGGAGAGTGGCAAATGCAGACTAATGTGTTGCCAAAAGACACTAGTGCATGGTGTATAAAGAAAATACCACTTTGGAATGGATTTGAATGGCTCAGGGCCAACAATTTTCTTCATCTATATTGCTTGCCAGATAGAACATACATGTAGGATTTTAAATCTAAGATTCCAGGTTCCAAACCGAGTCAGAGCTTTTCCTTGGCTAAGGTACGAATCTTTTCATTAACCGTTCCCAAAGAGAGTGATGAAGTCGAGTTTTAGACATTTCATCCTTGCTTATGACCCACAAATCTAGTGCTATATAATTGAAAATGTTTCCCTCCTAATCTTGGTCTTTGGACCCTAAATCTCTACTACAACTCTACTACTAAGGGAAAAATATTTTAAGATGCAAATAAAGTCCCAATTCAATACAATTCTACAAGTAAATTGATTAAAAAAATATATATAGCCAACAAAATTATAAAAGAAAAACAGAAAAAGACAAGAATATCTTCATGGCATGAAAAATGGGTTTCCATCTAGTCAATCAAACCTTGCTAGGTGGAACTCCCTATGTTATCATATACTCAACGAACCTATCTTCCGAGAATTAAAAGTTTCACCTAACAGCAAGAAAAAATAATCCTGAGGAAAACAAGTTTCAATTAAACATCCTTTTCAATAAGGGCTGCAGGAACGTCAAGCTACTTTGCTTATTCTGTAGCCCTCCTGCATCTGATGTATGTTAATTATGAATTTAATATTTTTTTTTTGATTTGGTATATTATCTGTATAAATCAAATCAAAAAATCAAAACAAATCAAATCAAAGCAATAAACACTCACCGACACATCCTATTGTAATGATGCCGTCTTTAAATGCCTCATGTTCCTCATACATTGTCATTTCTTCGGTGTTTGAAGCGATGACCTGTGAGGCTAGGCTGTCCTCACCTCTCATGTCGGCCTCAATTTTCTCTCTCCAGCTATTTAGTTCAACTATAAGTAAAAACAATGAAAATCATTTAGGACCAAATCATTGTGTGCCTTACAGACGAGTAATATTACAGTAGTCTCGTTCTGTGGAATAACCATTATTATTATTATCATCATTATCATCATAATCATTATTATTATTAATATTATTATCAATATTACGACTACATGTACTACTATTATTATCATTATTATTATTATTTTATTATCGTTATTATTATTATTTTATTATGGTTATTATCATTATTACTGTTATTATTATTATTATTCTAACTTTAATTATAATCATTATTTTCATCATTATTATCATCATTATCATTATTGTTATTATAATCATTATGTTAATGATTATGATTACCGTATATCTACATCGTCGTCATCATCAGCATCATCATTATCAGCTTCATTTTTATCATTATCAACATCTTCATCAGCATCATCATCATCATCATCATCATCATCATCATCATCACCATCACCATCACCATCAGCATCACCATCTCCACCATCTCCACCACCATCATTACCATCATCACCACCATCACCACCACCATCATCATCATCATCATCATCATCCACATAATCATCATCCACATCATTTTTCTTTAAAAGGAATTAAACGTACCATTTCCACGTGTTACCATCTCACATGCTTGGAGTAGCTGCATAGGACCTACTGCCGTGAACTTCCCACGTTTTTTTCTCTTGAATCCTGAAAGACATTACATAGCACAATGCTGACCATCAATGTATTTTCAATCAAATAAATGTACTATAACAATAATAATAATACATTTATAGAGCGCAGAAACTATCCAACATTAAGTATATATTCTACTGCGCTACAAGAGCTCCTGATATGCTTAGATTTACAGTTAATCCAAAAAATGTGCAGATGGTGATTTCCTGACTTCAAGTGGTGAGTTAATCCAGAGTTTTGGGGCTGCACAAGCAAATGCTCGATCACCTAGCGTTATCTTTGTTTTGATAGATGGGATCTGCAACAACAAAGTATCTTTGGGAGGAGTTTCATAAAGACTAAGATCGACTTTAAGTTGGACTTAACTATGGCATGCCAATCATGCCACTGGTTGCTCGCACAATTTTGATCTTTAGATAATATTTTTTCCTTCAATGATGAATAATCAAAAGTGTAACTTCTGTAGATTTGTGACCATGATTTGTACGTCCCTTGAGAGACCAATGCCAGTAAATGGTGAGAGCAAAGAGTGGCATGAACGGCTTGCCATAGTTAAGTTTAACTTAAAGTCGATCTTAGTCTTTGTGAAACACTCCCCAGGATATATTTCTTACAATTAAATTTCATACGATTACAACTTGACTGTCGCCCATCTTTTATCTTCCCAGTGCATTGCAGACCCATTACATCCTGATTTTTATATGTATATGCAACTTTACTTTTTAATAATAATAATAATAATAATATTGGATATTTATATAGCGCACATATCGATCCTGCAAGGTGCTCAAAGCGCTCCGATATTGCCCCGACTATGCTAGGCTCAAAGAATTCCTTCCTACTGGAACCCATTTACTCCACCTGGGTGGAGTGTGGCAAATGTAGATCAATGTCTTGCCAAAGGACATTAGTGCCGCAGCACACTTCTGGCATATATTTTACCAGTACAAAAATTGTTGAATGATACATGCAGGTGTTGAACATAGTTAACATGAAAAGAATAATTACACATACCGGTAGTGACTGACATGTGCATTGGTCAAATTCTGGTCCCAATAACAACATCCATAATTTTTAAGCAAAGTATTGAAAAAATAAAAATAAAAAAATTGTAAATAGATTACTGCACGGCTTCAAAGTATTAAAACCAGGAAGATAATTGTCAATATGCATGACAAATATATGGACCATACAATAATACAACAGGGTAGGCAATTCTTTCAATGTTAACAAGCTGGCCCTCATTGCATAGATGTAGGTATCACAGAAGAGCTGCGTTGAGTGGGGACACACAGAGCTCCACCACGCAAATTCTCTTTTTGTGAAGGAAGATTTTCATATCATGGAAAAAATAAATATTATAAAATTATGTCTCTTGAAAGCTTAGGATTCTGTCTTTCATGTCATGTCATTTTCATCAAAATCCATTAATTACTTACGACACAGTTGCTTGAGATTTACCCTCTAATTCGTACGGTCTCACTTCGTTTGTGGCCATTTTTTTTTGACGGCCGATTTGTATCCCTAGTTTTAGCTCAATTCGCTTGAACACCATTCGTCTTTGAGTTTTAAAAATCCACTGGTTGGAAATAGCACATCTTAAGCTTTATTTTCATATAAAAACTGATGGGGGTATGTTTCAAAAAGATCGTGAAAAATCAGAGTGAAAAGTTTGAAACAATTTTTCTATATCAGAAAAACATACTTTTAATTCAATTTTGATCCGAGAAGAAAGAGAATTTACTGGAGAATACGATCATGTAAATATTAAGAATGACCGCTGGATGGCGCTAGAGCGCGAATCCGGTTAGTACAGCTGTACTCTGTGTATAATACGCACTGAGCGAGAGTGACTACAGCGAGCAAGCCCCCAGCTTCGCACGCGGACCCGACGGGCAACGTGGCGGCCACGTGTCGCATCACCGCACCCGCTGCTTGCCGTCCCATCAAGATCCGAAACGGAGCATGAATCTGAGGCTTCAAATATCGAAACTGAGGCAGGATTTGCAGCATTTGGCGAACAAATTAGTAAATACATATATATTTCGACGGAATTATTATGCTATCGTAACCTAAACAGATTTTAAAGCGATCACAAGACCAATAATACATGTTTGTGTTTTTCCACTCGCAATTTTTCTCACACGTCATGCGAGTGAACTTTGAATTTCAAAGTGACTTTTTAAGAAATTCAAGAACAAACTTGTGTAATCTTTGTCAATTTATAGAGTGAAAATTTAATCAAATTTTGTCAGAAAAAAAATATTTTGTGTGTTTCAATCTACATCAAATAACTGTAATGACGGCTTTTCTGATCTTTGGATAATAATGATTAAATTCCAATTAAATTCAGGCAGTGTCTTTTCAGTAATCATATCTGATTGATGCACGTCTGTATGAAAACCCAACGACACACACACACACACACTCGGTGATAGCTCGGCGGCCGTGCACCGCCCATACTGGTGTCTCTATTCTCATGTTGTGATTGCGAACCCACGCCAAGGATTTAAAGGGCATTTATTGTTTTCCCAGAGTTTTTAAATTTAAGATCGTGGATTCAATTTATGAATTTCAATTAAAAGGGATTTGTTATTATTTTTGTTTATATAGTAAATAAGTTAGGTAGGCCTAGGGGGGAGGGAGGGTGGTTGGGGGGGGGGGGGGGGGGGGGGGGGGGGGGTAAGAGGACATTTTTTATTTTTTTTTGGTCTAAAAAAAAAATCGTAACGACTCAGCCAACCGCTGAATAAGCGGGGGGGGGGGGGGGGGGGGGGGGGGGAATAAGAGGGCACTTTTTTTGGGGGGGGGGGGGGGGGGGGGTCAAGAAATTTTTTAATTTTCTCCGTTGGGGGGGGGGGGGGGCACGTCCCTGTTTTTCAGTACATTTTGGGGGAATTTAGGGCTGATTTTAACATATTTTTTTGGCCGGTGGGGGGGGGGGGGTATGTGCCCCCTGTGCCCCCCCACCCCCCCTGGATCTGCCACTGCCATACTTTATATTGATGTGCCAAAATTCATTCCCCTACCATTAATGGTTTTCAATTTAGGCAGACTTGAAAACACAAAAAAAAGCTTAAGGGTGCTTTAAAATATGAAGTTTTAAGAGTTAAGAGCCTTTTTCAAATGCCATTAAAATTAATTTAAATGGATTTGATAGTCCAAACTTACAGAAATGATTAAGCTATATACATACCCCAGATATGCTGAAATTCAGCCCCACTTCATAGACACTCTTAAATCTAGCCATGTTTCAAAACCCATGAAAACTTGTTCCGGCGACGCAAAAATAGCCATTTTGTCACACGCATCAAAATGGGCTTCATTTAATTATTTGAAAAATTCCACAAAAAAAAATATTTGTCTAAAGAACCTAGAAAAAAATAGGCATGTAGAAATCCATACAGAGAACAGATTTCTTGAAAAGAAAGGTGATTCATCAATTAATTACAAAATTATGTCACCTTGAAAATGGCTAATTGTCAGTTACAGCCTAATTACGCAAAATTTGACCATTTCGTCTCTTATGTACAGTAAGTGGCCGTATTTTCAAAAGTACTTATTCAAATTTGACAAATGAGGTATCAAAACTCCTCTTTCCATGTGCTCTAAAATGAAATTGGCAGGGGAAATGAAATGTAGATACTTTCAAACTTTAGCTGTGATACCTAATAGATGGACCCAAATTAAGTAGCATCTTTCATATTTGCTGCGCCTACCTGCCAAACTTCCTCAGAAAAAAATTAGGATGCCTTTATTAAAGCAAAATCAGGAGGAATACACTGAAATGTGTACACCGTTATATATTTTTTTAATTCAGAAAGTGAAAGGTATCAAGGGTTCATAATGTCAGCATGAAAGGTGAATTTAGAAATCATTCCTCAAACACTGTCTACAGCAGCTTGAGTTTGCCAAATAACCCGCCATTTTCAGACTCAGAATATTTTCCCAAAGCTCAAAATTGCGTCTTCACCAGACCCATACGCTCATCACAAACTAGCTCGGACGGGCGCAAATTAGCCCTCTATTTCCCAAATAGCGGGATACTTTGGAAACAAGACCAAGATTTCTTGGGATATTTTCTCGACCAAATATCCCGTTAATTGCAACTGCGGGCTGATGAGGACGCAAATTAACTTGCTAATTTGTGATCGGGATAGTTAAAAAAGTGGGTTATTTGGGAAACTCGAGCTGATGAAGACAGGCCTATAGAGGACTGATTGGCAGCTATGGTTACCTGATACACCTGATATACCGCCCTCAGGGGTCTGTGACTCCCTGGGGAAAGACGTGAAGCAGATCACCTGCAGTTGGGGGAACTTCTCCTTGAGGTACGACCTCCACGCCACCACCACGGAGGGCGGGGCCAGGTCGATCTTGTTGAGGACGAGGATGAGGTGTTTCTTGAGATCCCGCGTGACGTAGTCGTAGAGGGCGGGCGAGAAGTGGAGGGCCGGGTGCCTGATGTCGGTGATCAGGAGCACGATGTCGGACATTTCGAGCACCCTCCAAAGCTGTCTCCAGGTCTGTTCAAAAAAAGTTTTTGTTTTTCAAGTGATATTTTGTCTGGCAATCAAAACAATATAATATGATATAATATAATACAGAGTTGTGACATGATTAATAAAAACAATATTATAAAAGCATTCTATTACATCTTGTGAAATATAACACAGGAAATCAATATTTTATTTTCGGGGCTTATATTAATTAAATTAGTCCACTGCCCGAACCACCTCTGCCTGCCACACCCGTGCAGAGAGCGCAGCCCCGGTAGACACAATGTAACTGTCAAATCGTAAACCTATTCAAAACTAGTCTTAAGACACATTTATTCAAAATTGCATCCGATGATTAATTAACTCTGTTCACTTTGATGTGTATTCCATATGTATTGTAATTTGTGGGTTTATATGCATTTTTAGTTTTGTTTAAGATGTAATTGTATATTAGTCTATTTTGTGTGTTATATCGCTTAGAGACTTCGGTGGTAAGCGCTTTATAAGTAACATTTTTATTATTATTATTATCAAGGATCCACCGCACCGCGCTCCAAATACTGTAAGGGGGAATGTAAACACAAAAGACGGAGACCGCCGAGGCATGGACCATGCTCATAACACGAAGTAGTTCCGGAGGAAAGAAAAGGAACTTTTCATGAATGAAAACAAAGAAACCTGAACAACGTTCGTTTGAATTTTTATATGTATTACTGTATTCACGAGTGGACCCCACTTCTTGACATGTACATTTACTTTTCATGTCTTTTTGCTACGCATAACTCTTCGTTGTTTGACAATGTAAGTTGATATTTTGCAACATCAATTTCCTGAAAAAGATGGAAACAATCCTTGATCACAACTTGCTTTGAACAGAATTAGATTAAAGTAATTGATATTGTGAAAACAGACAGTCCTCATAACTTGGCCAGCGTTCAAAACATTTGTATGTCCAATGAAATAAAATAGGTCTGTTCCCTTTCAACATTGCCACATACTAATTACTATAGCCTTTGGAAGAATAAGCTATTAAGGTTACTCGATTGTAAATTTGTATATGCAGCTCATTTTAAGATAAAGCACAATTCTGTTTCTAAGGACATCTCTTTATCTGGGCACACCCATGATCAATTTAACACCTGCTTGCAATTGACACAGAAAATTATCAGCAGAAAAAGTACATACCTCTAGATTTATCTCGAAATAGCTGAGTTTCTTTGAAGGGAACTTCTCGTAGATTGTCTGGAGGTAGTTTCTGAATTCCTGCTCCTCTCTGTGTTCCAGCTTGTCCTTGCCAACGTTATAGTCCCAGGAGGGTCTCTTAGGCATGTCCAGGACCGAACCTGGCTGGTAGATGTCATCGATATCCACTTCCAGGGCACTCTATAGCAATCAATCGGATTATGCTAACATTAGGCCTGTTTTCATCAGCTCAAGTTCTTCATCAGCTTGAGTTTGCCAAATAACCCGCTATTTTCAGACTCTGGGTATTATCCCGAAGTTTGAAATTGCGTCTTCACCAGACCGATATGCTCATCACAAACTAGCTTGGACAGCGGCAAATCAGCCCGCTTTTTCCCAAATAGCAGGATATTTGAAAAAAGATCAAGATTTCTCGGGATATTTTCACGACCGAATATCAGGCTAATTGCAACTGCAGGCTGATGACGACAGTTAATTTGCGATCAGTATAGTTAAAATAGCGGGTTATTCGGCAAACTTGAGCTGATGAGGACAGGTCTATTGAACATTTTCACAGCAAAGATTAGAATCATCTTGACGCAAAATTAGGAAAACACTTTACTTTGTATACTTTTCACACAGAATATTTCAGGAAATGAGAGTGTAGGGTTCACATAAATATCTTGAAGACCACAAAAATAGGAATGGTTGCCAGCTATGCATTTTGTGGACATGACCATACCTGCACTCAAGAGTAATTGTTTACATTCTTTGACTGTACAATAGTGTTGTAAAAAAAATAGATAATTACTTACAAATTTGCATTGTCCGAACGAAACATCACTTTTAATACAATGTGCAAATTTGTTATTGATCAACAAGATTTAATTTTAAATACTTTTGAATAACTACAATGAGGTAAGGCTTATAGCGATACAAAGCAGAGCTTTTGTCCTGGTAAGGGCATACAGTTAAAGCAGAATGGCACTGTACAGGCTTGCATTCATCTACATGATAAACCAAATTACTGGAATTAACTTTTTTCGTATCTTATAACACACAGATGACTAAAAAGTTTGGTAGGACCATTGTTGTGTACAGCTGCTTTTTCAATTCCAGAATGCCATTTATATGCAGCGGTTTTCAACAGACTAATAAGGAATATTTAAATAAAACTTTTTATGGAATTTATTTACCTCTGGTAACGGGTCATAGGGCTGCATGGCCCGTTTCTTACGTGATGCCAACTCAGATTTAGAATCCTTTTGAAAGTGAAGATGATACCTGTAGGGAAAAGAAAGATGGAAAATTTTAAGGTGCACCGATTACCAAAAAATGTTTTGCTCTTGATGTACAGGGTTTTAAGGGCGTATGAGTACTAATGATTCCCTTCCTCAATTTCTATGATGAAGCATTTCCCTCACATTATGGGAAATATTAGCTCTGAATAAAAAAAATGTTGGTAAACAAGTAATAGTAGTCCCACTCCACTATCCCTTTTGACTCGATTACACATGGTCTGTTAACTGTATGAGTGTATCATTAGTATCTAAGCTTTCAAAGACTCAAACCAAGTTTGACACATAAGTTTTTACAATAATAAGATTTTAAAAGATATTTCTTAATCGCATTATTTTTCCAACACTTCAAAATGTGTAGAATACCCCCGGTCTACAACGGCCACTTTCCCGTTCCTCATGTGTGGCGCTAATTTAGTCTTAAATGTACTTGGGCATACATATGTACAAAGTAATTTGTTCCATATATGTCACCACCTACATACAATTCTAGAAATTCAGAAAATTATGTCCAGTCCAAAGCCCTACTTCAGTTTGAATCAGATCATATATCAAGGGAAAAGACATCTATGTCATCTGCTGTTCAGAGTTTCCAATCTTCTTGGTAACACATAAAAGACAGCGTGGGACCAAATAACTTTGACATTTCTTCTTATTTTCAATTCCTAGTCATATCACCGACAACACTGACTGAGGGGTGTTTCACAAAGACTAAGATCGACTTTAAGTTGGGACTTACTACGGCAGGCCGTTCATGCCAGTTTGCTTTCACCATTTACTGGCATTTGGTTTCTCAAGGGAAGTACAAGTCATAGTCGCATATCCACAGAATTTACATTTTTTGATAATTCATTATTAAAGGAAAATATATTTTCTAAAGATCATAAATTCATAATGGCAGGGGCAACTAGTGGCATGAATGGCCTGCCATAGTTGAGTCAACTTAAAGTTGATCTTAGTCTTTGTGGTATACTTGCGACCTAATGTCGTACCTGTTAGGGTCATACTGCGAGTCCAATCCCATTCCCTGATTAGGTTGCTGGTTCAGTGCGTTGACCTCGGGCATCTCCCCTTCCGAGGTGGAGTTCCGATCCTCACTGCTCAGGAGCTCTTGGGACTGCTGCCGAGATCTGTGACCCATTCCTGTTCATACAAATCAAGAACAACATATTAATTCAAAGGCATTGTTTAACAATGTTAAATCTGAGATGCACGGCCCTACATGGTATTAGTGTCTGTGATATGGTGTAATATTGAACCCCTAAAAAATTGCGCTTCAAAATGATCATGAAGTGCCTCAAAAAAGAAAATAAATCTTTGAGTGACCGGTTTTCCCATACCTCATTTCCCCCAATAGACTGTAGTGTTAAAAAAAACGTTAGGAAAACAGTTTTTGAAATGTTGATTTCCAGTCATAAAAATCTTGATAATCAGACAGGCGATAAGCTTGTAAAAGTCATGGGATTCCTGACTGACTTAAAGGTTTATAATTATGATCGCAGCATGAGCTAAATCCAGGATTTTGTTTAGAATCTGAGACAAAGATACCCAATCCCTTTAAAGATACTCTAGATTTCTTTCTCCACTCATTATTATGGACTGTGGATCACATGGTTCATGGTTTGAGTCCCGCCTCGGCACTAATGTCTTTTGGCGAGACATTAATCTACTTTTGCCACTCTCCACCCAGGCGAGGTAAATGGGTAACCGGTAGGAAAAAATTCCTTGAATGTCTAAGCGCCTTATTATGGCAGCTCAGCTACAGCCGAGGTAATAACATAATACTTTGTATTAATCGCAGAGGAGTGTATTCATCTTGCATCTACGCTAAATAATGGACCCATTATTATTATTATCATGTGATGATATGACCGACATCCATATTCATCAACGATTTATCAATACCTTATCAATACCTCTACAAGAAATAAATAGGAAGTTTACTACAGTGTCAGTGTAGTTTACAAACTTTACACTTTCTTCAAAACTATGACTCATACAACTTCCAAGTAAATAAAGTCCATGACGCACTGGTAACTTCATGATCTTCTTAATCACAACATCACTTCTTCCAGTATTAGACCCACTCCAGGTCCCTACTGCTGAGTAAAAGTTATGACATACTCTAGGTTATTTAGTCAAGCACTCAAGGTTAACCAACTCCCAATAGAGGGTTTACCCTTTATTAAAGGAGTTTGCTTTGGACTCCAGTCAGAATACTTCATAGCCACCATCAGAGTTGCTTCACATCATATATAGATTTCAACTCATTATGATTGTTCTATTGCATAATTTGCATCTCCATGTAATATCATTTTAATAAATGCTAAGCTCTATTCTCCATTATAATCAACTTGTGTCACCATTCCTCATGATTGCAAAGTGTTAAATCATAATCCAGTCCCATATAAAAAAAAAAAAATTAAAAGTCCTCCTCCTCCTCCTCCTCCTCCTCCTCCTCCTCCTCCTCCTCCTCCTCCTCCTCCTCCTTCTTCTTCTTCTTCTTCTTCATCTTCTCCTCCTCCTCCTCCTCCTTGAGGCTTGAATTTTACTTCAAGTTCAATAAGGGTCTAGAGTAAAGGAGCCGGTCATCGGCCAGCTCCAGTTTTCGGCCGATTAGTTGGATGCAATGTAAAATCCCTCTAAAATACATCGCATAATAGCATAACACATATCCCACACATACCATACCGTGCCAGTGTCAATGAAGAACCACATTTGCAATGAAAAATATATCCTAAAATATCACATTTTAGCAATGTAATCGGCGGTCCCGCTACCCGAATCTGAAAAATCGAGTATCTTACGCGTGTCTGTAAGAAATATTGGTACCATAAAATGAGCTTTATTTCAAGTATTTTTCAGATTTAGAGCCCGATTTTGTGCTAGTCGCAAGCTCAAAAGTATCTCATCGCATGTATTAAATCAATGCAGCCGCACACCGCAACGCACACACGATATCTCTGTCTAATTCAGATTCCAATATCCGATCACCGCAGTACTAGTTTTCGGCCTGGCGAGCTCCGGGGAGCTCCGGCGTGGGATATCTGCTCCGCCCGCTAGTGCTATAGATCAGCGTGGAAACGCACGGCGTGTGCGCGCGCTTCCTATTGACTTTGTACATGCGGCCGAAAACTGGTATGCTATGCCGAAAACTGACTCCGAAACAGTGAAAATTGAAATGAATATATTGTCATGGCAATTCGTGATTTTTTTTCTGGGATTCTTGTTTTGTTTAAATAATAATAATATTTGCTTCATGATTTGAACAAAAAATGATAATAAATAGGAAGTAAAGGGTCCCAAAAATAGGATTTTGTCTTAAGTGGCCGAAAACTGGCTCCTTTTTTACTCTAGACTCTAGACTCTACATTTCCCTTTTCTTTTTTCTTGCACACAATAAAGTTATGCCTATAATTAAATTAGGCCTATCAATGATTATAATCATGTCTTGCTGGAAAGTGGAAAACAAGTTGATAACGCTTTAGACCACATTCAAGTTTCATGACGCATACACAACGGTATGCAATGCAATGCATTCATCATTCATGTTGCATCTAGGCCATAGCTAGCTATAGCCACTCTGTCAGCGGCTTCTTACATTCCAACGGGAACATGTCATACCTGCATGGGGCCCGTGCGGCGGGCGATGGTGTCCATCTGGCCTATCTGGCCGCTTGCGATCTCGTTTCTCCTGCAACTGATGCTTCTTTTGTTTGCCACTAAATGGCTTCTTACGAGGCATTTCTGACTCCGGTTTCTCTTTCAGATTGGTAGAACTAGCTGACACCAGCACCACAGTAGATTGTCTTTTCAAATCTACTACAATGAGATGACAAAATCTTAGTTATTGCTGGAGTTCGTGAATTTTCCCAGAGTGTGTTTACGTTCAGAAATTAGCATGCGATCATGGGAAGTGCAATTATAATTTACTGTCCGTTCCGCACTAGCATCGATGATGTGCCTTGAAACGAATTCTACAAGTGCTAACAAATGTATTACTGGTAGTTAAAACGTCTTTAGTGCTCCCGTTCCCGTCAATTGAATAAATAAGTTCCCGCACTGCGGCACTTGGATTCATGGACAAAAGTTGTAATGAAGTAAATAGACGATTTATTTATCTTATAAGTAGATCTACCTTCCGCACGCATAGGTTTTATCAGAGAACATGTCGGTGCGACACCCCCCCCCCCCCCACACACCTGTCAGGATATTGTCGGTAAAATTGCGCTGCCGTCGGGAAAAAAAGAGAAAGGGGGAGGGAAAAAGAGAGGGAAGGGAAAGAAAAGAAAAAAATAAAAGAAAAAGAAAGGAAAGAAAGGAAAAGAAAGGAAAGAAAAAAGAAGAAAGAAAGAGAAAAAAAGAGGGAGGAGAGGAAAGAAAGGAAAAAAGAAAAGAAAGAAAGAAAGAAAAAAAAAAGAAAAAAAAGGAGAGGAGATAAAGGGGGAGGTAAGAGCCTGTGAGAGGAGGCAGAGGCGGCGGACCCGGGGGCAGGGGGGCACAGTGACCCCCCCCCCCACCAAAAAGTGCCCCTTTAACTTTGTAAGAAGCGCCCCTTTTTACATAAAAAGTGTCCAAATTACTTTGATATGTGCCCCTGTTAATTTTTAAAAGTGCCCCCTCTCCTTTCCACCTCTGATATGTGCCCCTTTTATTTTGACACGTACCTCTTTTCCCAAGCAAGTTCCCAGTTTCCTTTGCAATAAGTGTCTATTTTCCATTCTCATAAGTGCCCTTTTTAATCTAAAGTAAGTGCCTCTTTTCGGATACGAGAAGCGCCCCTTTTCACTCTTGGTAAGCGCCTCCTTCACCTCTGATAATTGCCCTATTCAAATCTTAGAGTTGCCCCTTTTTACTTTGACAATTGCCCCTTTTCCTTTGTAAAAAGTGCCACTTTCCCTTTTAATAACTACCTCTTTTTAACTCGGATAAGCGCACCTTATATTTTCACATGTGCCCCCTTTCCTTTCTAATAAGTGCCCCTTTTCCTTATGATAAGTGCCCCCATTTAACAAAGAGCCCTTCGCCTTTTCATAAATGCCCCTTTTCACCTATGAAAATAGTCCTTTTTCATTCTCCTACTAGTGATCCTTTTCATGTCTGGTAAATGACCCTATTCAATTCTGAGAGACAATCGTTTTATTTTGACAAGTGCCCCCTTTTCCTTCCTAATAAATGCTCTTTTTCTTTCATAATTTCCGCTTCTCATAAAAGCCCCCTTTCACCTTCAATAAATGCCCCTATCAATATCTGATCGGTGCTCCTTTTCTTTAAACAAATGCACATTTCCCTTTATTATTAGTGCCCCTTTTTCATTCTCATAAGTGCCTCTTTCATATGGTGTTTGCCCCTTTTCAGGTACGATAAGTACCCCTTTTCACCTCTGATAATTAACCTTTTTTTAACAATGATACGTGCCCCTTTTCCTTTCTTATGAGGAACCTATCCCTTATTCATTAATGCCCCTATCAAAATCTGATGGTTGCCTCTTTTCCGTCGACAAATGCACCAATTTCCATTCTCATAAGTACATTTTTCATCCCTGGTGAGTGCCCCATTTTCACCTCTGATAATAACCCTTTGTACTTTGACACGTGCTCCTTTTATTTTCTAATAAGTGTCTTATCCCTTCGATAAGTGTCCCCCTTTCCTCTCATCATTAAACGTCCCACGGGGGAAAGCTCATTTAGACAATGATTGAGAGTTGAGAACGGTGCAACGAATCGTCTGCTTTCTCTCATAATTTAAGGAAACGTCAAAGCTTCCGCGCTTCTCGCGGGAGGGTGGAAACTGAATTCAGAGAATTAGGGTTAAGAGTCGCGAACGGTACAACGAGTCGGCTTCTTTCTATATTAATAAAATGTATTGTCAAAGCTTCCGCGCTTCGCCCGGGAAGGGGGAAACTGAATTCAGACCAGGATTAAGAGTCGAGAACGGTACGACGAATCGTCTTCTTACTCTAATAATTTAATGAAACGTCAAAGCTTCCGCGCTTAGCGCGGGAGGGGGAGAAACTGAATTAAAAAAATTAGGGTTAAGACTAAAGAACGGTACAACAAATCGTCTTCTTTCTATAATAATCAAATGAAACGTAAAGCTTCCGCGCTTCGCGCGGGAGGCCTTTCACCCACCGGCCCCTTTAAGTGATTCGCTTGCTCACTTCCACCCCTCCCTAAAATAAGATCCTAGCTACGCGCCTGCATTAAAATATATAGCTATGATGCTGACTAAGTTGACGAAATAATTCGTATATTTATGTCGTCGAGGAAAATTACCATTTGCGCATATTTGCAAGTATTATAGATAGTTCATAGGAGAAACAGTTTAGCCTTCGGCCCCGGATTTGTAGGATTAAATTTGTAGATATTAGGACATTTAATTTTGTCGGTAATTGGTGGCTAGTTTTGTCGGTAATCGTTGGCCTCTACACCCCCCCCCCCAAAAAAAAACTGAAAAAGGTCTAACGACGCCCCTGCGTGTAGGCCCATACCATTTACCACATTCTGTATCATAATATTTACAAAAATTAAAGGCCTAGACTATACAATTTACAAAAGCCTATAGTGTGGTTTTTGATGTACGTCAAATGTTATTGAAACATATTTTGTTTAAGTATGATATTAGAGCAATACCGTTTCCTTAGATTCTAACATTTATCTCTCTTTTTCAGGAGTTATAGGATGCCAAAAAATGGCATATTTCACTTTTCAATCAAACCAGTCTAAAGAATAGTTAGACCAGGCCTTCTCAACTAGTTTATTAGAAGCGCCAAAACAAAAATGAATTAAAGTTGAAGTGCCAACCTGTATGTTTGGTGACTGTGTTACGAGGGAGCGTAGCGACCGAGCCGATACCGGAAGCTAGTGGATTTTAGTACTTTTTTGAGGCCCAGATGTGGCATTTTAACACCTTTTTGTTCCATAAAACATCAATCATAATTTCATATTGATGTGAAATAAATAGTACAATTCCTGGCTAAAATCTACACTGGAAGTTGATATATATGTAGTTATTTTGGTGCAATAAACACGGAAAATGTCAAAATAAAGTGAAAATCAAACAAACAAAATGGCTTGCTTACATTTTGGGCTCAACTTCGACTGCGACTTTTTGATTTTTCTGAGTTTTTTTATTTTAAAATATAATTTCTTAATGTTGTTCTTTCTTTAAATTTAAATTTTTAATTTTTATTATTTTTTTTAAACAGCCGCGCGCCACTCTCGTGGCGCGCGCGCCGCCAGTTGAGAAGGCCTGAGTTAGACAGGTCAATGGGGAAGTCAAGCCACCTTTCTTTCTTCCCCAAGGCTTTCAATGGATACTTAATGCATTAATGTATGGCAGTGGCGGATCCGCCCCCCCCCCTGCGAAAAAGAAATGTGTAATTTTTTAACGTAAATTTTACTCTTTTTTTTTTAGATGGGCCCCCGCACTTGGCACTTAAGGGGGGGGGGGTGCAATTTTTCAAATTTTCGAGAGCCATTTTTTTTTGTTTTTAGCTCACTACCCCCCCCCCCCCCCGAGCGAATTTTCAAATTTTTGGGAGCAAAAACCAAAACAAAATTAGTGCTCACTAACCCCCTCCCCCCCCCCCCCCCCCTCCCCCTTTTTTTTCCGGCCGGTACGACTTTCATATTTCAGCACACTAAATTTCAAATTGATTTCAAATTTGGGCCCCCACCCCTAAGAAATCCTGGATCCGCTTGATGTATGGGCCTATTTCTCAGAACTCATGTGGATCCATAGTGGCAGAAACTCTAGTCAGAAATACATTGCGCCCCCAACTTGCCCAAGGCGACAGTTTCCAGAGCTGCCAAAGAATGAATGCCCAAAGAAAAGCCGAGTGTAAAAAAAGAAAGGTTTACTGCAAACCATTGGATCATCGCGTCCGGTCGAGTAGTCGCGTTACGAAAACGGAAGTTCATGCGACCTTTTGTAGTTTGCAGCAGGGATTTCACAAAGTGTCGGGTAAATCGGACCAGACCATATTTAGATGACATGGGTTTATTTCACAAACATTATCCATGACATTTCGTGAATAAGGGGTCACTTTCACAAAAGGATTGGTGATGCGACTACCCGACCCGACACGATAATCCGATGATTCGAAGTAAGCCAATAGAAATAAGTTTGTACCCCCAGACAGACATGAGGGGGGGGGGGGGGGATACTCAGATTTGGTTTGGACAGAGGTGTGCGTGTGCCGTTCAAGCCTCGGAACCCCTACCTATAGGTAGTATAATATATTATGGGGTACTTTTCTTGAAAAAAGGACCTATTTTCCACAATTTTCGGGTGTTTTTCGGGTGTTTACTATGCAAAGTTGTGAAATTTTGGTAAAAATTGACCCATTTCTAATGATATTTTTGTTAAAAGTGGGACCCATGTTTAGGGACTTTTTGTGAAAAAGTCACCCATTAGAGCGGTACACCCCCATATGTCATAATATGGAGTACCCCCCCCCCCCCCGGCATGAACCCCCTCTCCACTCTAATGAACCCTCATCCTATTTTGTCATGCATGGGAGACTGATCCTCCCTTCCATTTAATACATGCCTATCATACTATATGAGATGTGAGAAGAAGCCCTATTAAAGCAAAAGGAAGTGGTTCTCCGAATCTTGCACTCTGTAACGTCAATTCTATAGATCCTAATACTAAAACTATGATACAACAAAATCCGCAACAAATCGGTCAAAAGCTGTGCCGGTTGATTTTCTTGGAACATTTCCAAGTAAAATATTTAAACCTTAAAGCTAAAGACGAGTTATGGTCATGCAATTGCATAGTGAAAGAAACGTTGTGAAACCGATCAGGAAAGGTTGATCATCTAGCATAGAATCATAGATATACTGCGAGGTTCTGGAATCATCAAAATTATAAGAAATTTGGCCAAGTCTTCATAATGTTAGAAGCACTGTACACAGAAAGATGTATATGGGACTACACACACGTGCGCGACACGTGCATTTGTATCTCTCAACAGTATATAGATATACTAATTTACCAAATATGTCAATTAGAAGGCGGTTTCCCGTCAAAATTGTTATCGTTATGTAATATTCAAAACATATTCTTTCACATGATTGGTAATAAGAGCTTCCATTTCATTTTTTTAAATTGGGGCGTTTCCAATACTGGTCTTTACCTTTAATCTTTAGATTTTCCATTAACCTATAATTTGAACGAATCTCGAGGTAGCGAAACTTATCCTGATTGACTCCGTCTTTTTTAAAAGAAGAAACAAACTGGAGTTTAAAAAGGAGATATTTTTGGAAAGCCTAAAAGTAAAAGGTGATTAAAAAAACTTGTTAATACTTAGTAGATTGAGTTGAATGAACGTTCGTTTATTTTTTACCAGATAAATCTCCTTTTAGCTCCAAAAACCATCCACAAATAGGGTCCCGTTCGAGATCGCTCTCTCCAAAATTTATCATGCAGTTATTTTGCATACTAATATTATTATGTCTTCATCCTTATATTTTAAGCTCATCGTTTTACTTAAAGCCTTTGTTAGGGGTGTGGGTTTAGCAGCACCATTCGCCCCCTGTCATGTCCGTTTTATTCCTCCCTCCTAATTTGTTCTATCTCAATCTTTCTCTCTGTCTGTCTCGGCTCTATCCTGTCTCCGTCTGTTTGTCTAGTCTGATCGGTCTGCCTCTCCCCCGCCCCTTCTTTCCCCACCCCTTCTCTCTCCCCTCTCTCTCTCTCTCTCTCTCTCTCTCTCTCTATCACTTCTCCCTTCTTTCTATGTTTCTCTCTCCTTTTTTTTCTTTCTTTCTTTCTTCTTCCCTCTCTTTCTAATTCTTCCCTCAGTCTCTCTTTCTCTCTCTCTCTAATTCTCTCTCTCCTCTCCCCCTCTCTCTCTCTCTCTCTCTCCCTCCTTCTCCATTAATTTCTGTTGTCTCTTCTCTCGCCCTTCCTTCTTGAGACCCCCCCCCGGATGAAAGGTGTTGAGCCCCTTCGAAATCCTCTATAGAACCGCTATTATCAATCCTTCCCCCATCCTCGCTCTCTCTCCCCCCCCCCCTCTCTCTCTCTCTCGCTCTCCCCCCCTCTCTCTCTCTCTCTCTCTCTCTCTCTCTCTTCCTCTTCTTAATCCAAAGACTGCGTCAAGGAATGGCTACTCGAATCACCCAGACAATTTAGTCACAACACAAGGTTTGCATGAATTTGTAAGGTTGCAATACTATACGTCATATAAGAACACTAGCCCACTTTGAAGTAAACAAACTTCAGAAAGTACAATAGCCACTACTAGGGTATATACTCGGAAATGATCCATTGATAGAAGCTGAGTATTTTCCCACGGGTGCATAGCAGTCGTAGTAGTTCGTGCGGATCGCATCGTCTTGTGTTTGATTAGATTTTTGAAAAGGGAGTGGGCGTTTTATTTGCCAGTAGTGTTCTATTCATTGAAACAGGTGTTTAGTTGAAACTAAGAGGAAACTTCATTGAAAGAGTCGTGGTGTTTCTTTGTTTCTTTCGTGTATTGTATGAATGAATTCGGTAGTAATGGTAGCACAAACTTTTGTTATGTTAGTTGTAATACTACTGTACAAAAGAAACACAAACCGTACCCGCCCACTTTGGCGTAGGGTGGGTTTAGACTTTTAGGGGGCACTGACATCATTGGGGGCATCGGTATTATACAAGGTTTTTTCCGTTCCCTTTTTTTTTCCTCTCTCTCTCTCTCTCTCTCTTTCGTTTTCTCATCTTCCCGCTCCCCCTCTCCCACTCTCTTGCTCTCTCTTCATTTCATAATGCTTATGTATAGCTTATATACGAGTTCGTGAATTTATCATATTTTGTTTATGTTTTTCTTAGAAAAAGCTAAACCGTATTCATTTGATTTCCTTTTATTCTTTAACCGACCCTCTCTCTTCTAAGTCTATGATCTGACTCTCCCCCAAATTTTGTGTATTTGATTTACTTCTCCAGCCCTTCGAGATGAAAGTTTTCAGTGAAGCGACAACCATTCAGACTAGACAAGTCATATGGGAATCCGTTTCCATCAAAGTTTTACATCTGCCAACCTCCCCTACTATTAAACATTGGGCGGAAAGTGCGTTCACCTCTTGTAAAAGGGTGAAGACTTTTCCAAGGGTACAACTTATGTCACGCCCATTTAACCTGTTCTTATTTATATATCTCTGCTATTCTTTTGAAAGTATAGCTGTACTACTTCATTGATTTATGAGTTTGGCATCGCGAAAACGTGTCTTTTTTGGCGCTTTGGAAGTTTTTGGGAGCCGAGCCAGAAAAGGGCCTATATTGGTCTATTAACCTTGATAAAGGATAAGGATTGGTTTTACTTACGTTCTTTGGTAATTTACTATAACATACATCCCCCTCTGTCTGTCTCTGTCTCTGTCTCTCTCTCTCTCTCTCTCTCTCTCTCTCTCTCCCCCTTTCTCTCTCTCTCTCTCTCTCTCCCCCTTTCTCTCTCTCTCTCTCTCTCTCTCTGTCTCTGTTTTATCTATAAATTATGTATCTCTCTTTTTTTAATAATATATCAGTCCCCCTTTATAATGACACACAATATGCAAATGAACTAAAAGGGAAATGAAAATCGGCAAAAAGGAAATGTTATTAAAAATAAAGGAATATGAATTTGGAAAATATTGAAATACTGAAAGTGAGAACAGAGTTAAATAAATGAAATGCATTCAAAACATAATACTACGAAAGATATGTCTTATGAAGTTTTTGTCAAAATAATCATGAACCTTTCCGATTAATTTTGCTCAAAATTTACATGATTCTTTTTTTGAGATAAGGTGATTGGTTAATTTATGACAATAACAGTTTGGAACATTTTAGTTCTCTGTGAAATAACAACAGAAACATGACATCACACATAAATAGTATTATGATTAGCCTGAAAGTGCATTTTGATTCACTGCAAACTAAATTAGCAGACCACGAATAAAAATATACTTGTTTTATGTTGTGAAGGACAATTTGTAAAAAGAGGGGAAAGTTAAAACCTTTATAACTGAAGTGAAAAATAATATTTCTAGAAATGCGGTTTATCATTTATCACATTTCTGATCATTAAACCTAGAAAAGAATAAGTAATCTAGAAATGCTCATGACACTTATCAAAATATGAGTAAAGTTAGTTATTTTTTCCATGGGAAAAGAAAATAAAAGTGGCAGACCATGCCAACAAACACAGCTGCTTTATGGTTTGAAGAAAGAAAAAAAAAACGGTTTACGACTTGTTTACAAGTTTTATGTCCTTAAGAAAATGCAATGGAGAGTTCAAGACTATTAATATCATCCCCTGAGACCATAACCGAAATTCTGAATGATATCATTGAAATGTGTGTTGGAAAAATATAGAATTGTTTCTCAATAATATACATTTTGATCCGAATTAGGAATCGTTCAAGGGCATTCCCATTTTTAATTAAACCAGTTAGAGTTAATGTTTTGGGAAACAAACTTGTATATACAAAGACCTGCCCAAATAATTGATATTCACCCTTCGCCTTTGGTCATCTTAAAAATGTTTCGCATGGAATCTCTTAATATATATTTCGTTATAATGGGACCTTCCCATTTCGAATTTGATATTTCGCCAAATTGCTAGCCGGCTGCTTTTAAGTCTTTTCTTATAAAGAGACATAGTAAATATTGAATTAGATACTGTTGAGTTCCTATCCATGGTGGAGGGGTGTATACTTGCACCCCTAAGGTGTGGTAGAGGGGTTTGACCAGGAAGACTCACCACAGGGGGTCGGGCCAAGCTCAGTCAGCATGAGTAGCTTGCGCAGTGGTTCATAACGCCCCTCTAGCCGTGTTCATCCAGTAAGAAAAACGTGAGAGCTCGTCTAACTTATTCATTAGAAGCGGTGCAAACAAAACGGAAGTGGGGGTATTATCTCAAACCCAGGAGCTATTGACTGTTCTTTTGTTTCCTAACTAGGGCCTTTGTCACTAATCGTTTGGGTCTTGTAACCGCAGATTTGTTGCGGCAGGGCCTGTTGAAGGGTGTAGACAGTGGGATACAGGTAGCTAGATGGGTAGAGAGAGAGAGAGAGAGAAAAGGAGAGAGAAAGATATAAACAAAGATAACCAACCGGTCACGATAGCCGTAAACCATGGTTGCTGGCAGTCGGATTACCCAAAGGCATTCCATAGCGATGTATCATCTATTAATGTTTTCCGCTGTGTTGATTTACAATGTCAACCCATCTAGTGGAGCGACCGGTGGTCGTGCTCCCGAGCGTGTCTTCTTCGATGTCGAGGACGACGTCGGGTCCTTGGGGGATGCTCATGAGAGGAGACATAGGGATGCTGTCGCGAACCGCTGCCACAGTAGCGAAAAACTCCAACGGGAGGATCACTCTCGCTACCCCCGCCACGCCCGGGGGATGGACACCGGCGCCGCCCCTCAATACGAAGAAGGCGGGGGTTTGGGTAGAGCGCTTTACTTCACCGCAGAATCGGATCTGCTCCTCTATAAGAGGATCAGTGATGCTGGCTTCACGTTTCCAAGGCAACGCTTCACGATGGAGCTGTGGGTAAAACCAGAAGGGGGACAGTCCAGCCCCGCTGTTATTGCAGGTATGTGCAACATTTCAATGTTACTCGTCTTTTTGTCCATTTACGACCCCCCCCCCCTCCTTCACACCCTACCCCCTTATCTTGAAAGTTAAAGTCTATTTTAATTGGAATGTGATATGCACAGACGAAGCGAAATGTCAGTCAAAACATTTTTATCCATGTTTTAATTTCACTTTTAGAAAGGAAACAGTAAATACATCATAGGTTATCGAGCCGTGGTTGGGAAAAAGTAAAGACAATCTAAAAAAAAACTAAAAGATAAACATGACAGCTGAAGGATGGAGTTGGTGATCAATGTCATGAATTGGTTGAATATGTTGTTTTTTCCCTCCTTTGTCTTGTTTTGGGGTACATCAAGCCGATCTAAGACCAAATCCATGTCATTTATCTTTTCAATTAACTTTAAATGTCATGAATTGGTTGAATATGTTGTTTTTCCCTCCTTTGTCTTGTTTTGGGGTACATCAAGCCGATCTAAGACCAAATCCATGTCATTTATCTTTTCAATTAACTTTAAATGTCATGAATTGGTTGAATATGTTGTTTTTTTCCCTCCTTTGTCTTGTTTTGGGAGTACATCAAGCCGATCTAAGACCAAATCCATGTCATTTATCTTTTCAATTAACTTTAAAGTTCATGATAAGAGGGCGACTATCTGTCCGACCGGATGGTAACTGTTTCTTTTTTTTTTAAATACAGTCAAACCTGTCACAGTGGCCATCGTCTATAAAGTCCACCTGTGTAAGCGCTTTATAAGCAACGTTTATTTATTTATTTTCTTTATATTTTTAACAGTGACCGCTATAAGGCTGTTCATAGTAGCCATTTATTTTGTTACCCCAAGAGACAGAGGGAGAGAGAGAGTGAAATGTTTGTAGTATATAAAAGCTGTCTAAAAAGTCCCACTGTCTTACAGTGGCCACTTTTTCTGTTTCCCTTGGGTGACCTTAATATACAGGATTGACTTCAAGGTATTTTCCTTTTACTAATCACATACATCCAGCACTAAACATCTGATTTTTTTGGTAATGCAGTACGTTATTCCAGGCCGAATGTCTAGCAATGGTATTATACCGTATAATAGCCCTGAAGTTAGATTAAACAAAAATATAGGTAATTTCACTCCTTTGAAATATCCTTGACTCGTTCGGTGCTTTAATATGACGCATTTTCAGGAGACAGTGTTTTTACCAGTCATTCACAATATTGATGCCAGCTTGATAGCTGAGATGGAATGTCAACACTGGTTCATAAATATCATTTTCACGGGGGTAGCAGAGGGGCAGGATGCATAGCCACCTCAGTATTTACCTCAATTTTTGGTCTCTCTCATAGAAATATAATTATACTTTTTCCAGTTTTTATTGATTAAAATCAGAATCAAGATAGAATGTCAGAAAAAAATGTTAACAAATAACAAGATATCTAAAACGTATTAAAATTCAGCATATAACATGGATACATAATTATGGAAAGTAAAGCAGTTTCAAGTATGAGTTTATAACAAGTAAAATTTCTATTTACGAAAATGTTTAGTAGATCTATATCATTCATTTTGCCACTTGGTACTCAATTTTCTTGTTAGAACTCATTTTAGCTTAAAAACTTTGAAAATTGGGGGATTTACTCTGAATTGACAAATGTAAATATTTCACAGTATACCTCAAAATAAGAAACAAGTAACTCACATGTTTTAATCTGCATATTCAATTATACTATCAAAGGTAATGTGGGATCTGTGGTTATATTTCTATTTTGTTAATGTTGATATAGCATCGATCTAATTAGATTCCAAACTGGTTTTATTATGCCACAGTCAATCAAATTTACTTAAAAAGCTCCTGGCCCTGTTTTACAAAAAGACCAGTTGGGATAATCTTTTCTTCTTCTTTTTTTTGTATAGAAAAGCATTCAGTGCTTTTGAACAACTTTAAAATATATACCTCTAACAAATTTATTAAAACATGGAGCCATTATTAGGAAAGTTTTTTAACAAGACTTGCGCCCCTGCGACTTAAGAGTATTTGAGACGTTTAAAATGAGCCATCATTCGTCACCTTTCCCTACTTTTCTCAATGGCAAGGGGTGGGGTTCTGTTTCGTCCAGTGGATCCAAAATAATGTATAGAGCCAAATTTAGTGAATCGTATAACTAATTTTGCGAGTGAATGGAGAACAATGCATGTTATTAATCCACACGCGTCAATCATAAGATTCAATGGAACGGGGGCCCTGGACTTCCAAGATTTACGTTAGGTACGCCCTTTGGGCGAGATCAGTATTCATTGAATTGTACGAAATATGCTTTTATGTTTTTTTAATAAATACATCTTACACTTTGCAAACGGCGGTGCACGTAGCATCACAAAGGCCCACAACCCGATAGGCGATGCCAAGAAAAACAAAAATGGTACGAAATACACCACCGAATTCCACCTTGATTACCTTTGTCGGCTACGCCTTTTAGATGACACCAGCGCGGCGGGTTAATCGGAAAGAGACAGGCGGGACCCTCTTAAAGCTGTAATCATAACAATGTACGTGTTATCGTGACGTGCGCGCTGGAGGAAAAATAGGTAAAAACCCCGAACGCCGTCGCCGGCTTCCCTGCCGTGCGTTGAACTTGAATGCCGCTATGCCTGGCAACATGGCAGCCAAGGACTTACTGTGGCGACAGCACGCTAGCCTTGCTAGTTATGAATTGTATTGTCCATCGTCAGATCTAGTTCAAGGAGAAGTCAAGCTTTGTGAAAAATTGACGGCATGGAAGAAAAATCCCTTTTTTGTTTCTATCGTCCGTCTGCACGAAATGGGGCAGAAATGGTTCTCATCATAAATATCTTGATAATCAGACAAGCGATCGGCTCGTAAAAGTCATGGGGATCCTGACTGACCTAAAGGTTTATAATTATCAGCAATTTGCAGCATGTGCTAAATCAAGGATATTGTTTCAGAATCTGAGAAAATGTTACCAAGTCACTTTAAGGCACTACTCAAAATATATTATACAGTGTAGAAGCATATTATAGAAGCATAATTATTATAGGTTCTCTACAAAAAGGAAAGACTGCGTCATACTTTTCAACATGATATAGTCATTTCTTGTGTTGGAACAAAGGGAAACGTTGTCATTACCGATTCGGCCAATGCTTTCAGTAATAACAACTTAAACAGTCACTCATAGCTTCTTCTTTTTTCCCCGATTTCATTCAAACTGTCACCCGGCTGCTTCGTTATAATGTGTCTGCTTTCATACAGAGCAATTTGCTACTAGGGTAGGGTTTCCCTTTAAAAACATAATATGACACGCGCACTTGGTATTATGTCTCATTTGTCACTACAATCATGTATGTATCATGTCGATGAAAATAGAAATGAAAGCAAAGTGGTGCTTTATTTATGTTTTTATTTCAACATCGGCTTTCATACAGAGCAATTTTCTACTAGGGTAGGGTTTCCCTTTAAAAACGTAATAGCCTATGACATGCGCTCTTGGTATTATGTCTCATTTGTCACTATGTATCATGACGATGAAAATAGAAATGAAAGCAAAAAGGTGGTTTATTTATGTTATCATTTCAACTTCGGTGACATCCAAGTCAATAACACATGACAGCAGCACGACCTTCAGGGAGACTGGTAAAAAGTGCGCTGACCTTGAAGTTGTGGTGCATTGGGAACGAAGCGGGATAAAGTTTTGTTTCTTTTAACCTAAAGTGCGATGAACTTTCACTCGACCTTTTTTTCTTCTCATGTTTCCCAAGACATTGTGTTTTACTCGGAAACAGTGGAGTATCTATATGTGGGGGCGGCAATCGGCGAAAAAGGAAGAAAAACTAGAGAGAGAAAGCGAGAGAGAGAGAGAGAGAGAGAGAGAGCGGGGAGGAGGGGAGGAAGGGGAGTCAACCTGAAAAGAAAGAAGATAATGTAATACCGACAACATAAACGACAATGATAATAATAATAATAATAACAATGAAAATAATACAATTATGTTATTTCCTGAGGGCTCTGCAATTATCATTACTACAGCAATTGCCAGATACCCATTTACACCTGGGTTTAGAGAGGTAAATGTGGATTAATGTCTTGCCAAAGATCGTTAGTGCATGACTGGGATTCGAACCCTTATTCCTCGGATTGAAAGTCAAGTGAATGAACCACTATACCACATTACGATATACGACACCACACACACACACGCACGCACACACACACAGTCGATGGCCTTGCTTATTCGCATTTCATTCATCTTGTCTATCTTTTCAAAAAGAAATGAAAACATTTCCTGCATATATATCTTCTTACAAAAACAAATCATAAACTTCATAACTGCTCGACTATTCCCCAGCGGCTGAGTAATAGGGCGCAAGTATAAACCAAATTTTCAAACCTAGCCGAAACAATAACTAATTCCCTTTCGGAAGACACGAACACTTATTACTAAATTCCCCCATATGACTTAAAGCCATAGGTCCCCATGATTGCTTACATACAAACTTATACTCAATTATTATTCATGAACCCCTTGTAAATTTGATATTTTTGTGTTTTTCGTAACTAGGGAATGAAATGTGGAGTGGTTGAATTATTACTCTGTTGAATACTTGTAGATCCATTTGATTGAATAAAAATACATTTAATTATAACGGAATTTCAGGAACGGCGAATGGGATATAAAATGTATATGTATTAATTATTTGTGTAAGGCAACTTGATTGATGACAAATCACTCAATTTCATGGACGTTGAAAGCGTTACGATTGACATATTCCAATCTCCTCTCATAGATCACTTTTCTGGCATCTGTATAACAAGGTCACCTTCAACAGTATTGAAGAAAAGGAAAATATATGTATCGTTTCGTTTCTTTTACAACAATGTACGAGAAAGTCACCTTCAACTTAATTTTAGTTTTGTAGCAAAAAATGTATATTATATCGTTTCGATTCTTCTACAACAATGAACGAGAAAGCCACCTTCAAAATGATTTCAGTATTTGAAGAAAAAAAATATTATATCGTTTCGATTTTTTAAAAATTTACGAGAAAGTCACCTTCAAAATAATTTCAGTTTTGAAGAAAAAAAATGTTTATTATATCGTTTCGGTTCTTTGACAACAATTAACGAGAAAGTCACCTTCAAAATAATTGAAAAAAATGTATATTAAATCGTTTCGTTTCTTTAACAATGTACGAGAAAGTCACCTTCATAGTAATTGGATTCGCCAGTCTCTATTGTTCGTTATTTCTGTTAAACTCACAAAGTAAACAATAAAAATATATAATTTCATATCTGAATGATTATATACGAGGCTCACTTGCCCTCCTGGCGAACTTTTGTTAAATGTGACTTAAAAGCTCAAAATAAATTCGTTCCGGAGATACACATATCAGTTCAAAATATTTCAAATCACTAACAATTAAGAGGGTTTTTTTCAATCAATGAGAATAAATCAAATGTAGAACCGGTCTCGCCTTATCGTTGTTTTAATTAAAAGAAAAGGAAATATTTTTAATTGAATGGTCGATGATTTACCTATACAAGTGTCTATGAGGACTATTGGTTACTTGGCCCTTCGTATCCTATTAACCATGCATGGCGGTCTAATGCAGCTTTCCCACACTCTGTTTCACATGGCTTTAAGTGTGACAAAGATTGTGGTTTAAGTTAAATCAGTTCAACAATAATGCCACCCATTCTCTTTCGTCACACCGGAGTAGAGATATTTCACCCCTCAAATTGGTCCATTTCCCAAACTCGTAAGGCCCTGTAAGGCCTGATAGCTTTCGCGCACGACTGAATTAAAGAGAAGGTTGAGTTCTGGGAAGAGGTGAAAAATAATTTGTGAGCGTTATCATTCTTATTATGCAAGTGTGGAAGAACATCAGATAAGACATGTTCCCTGAAAAGCATGGCTCTTCAAATGCCTTCATATTCTAAATATGTCATGTAACATCGTAAAAATCCGGGGTAGGATTTTTACGCCACGTGTTCGTGTTGTCCCATATACATCTTTCTGTGTACAGTGTTTGTAACTTTACCAAGACTTGGCCAAATTTCTTATCATTTTGATGATTCCAGAACCTTGCAATACACCCAAATTCTTATATGCTAGATGATCAACCTTTTCTGGTCGATTCCACACCGTTTCTTTCACAATGCAATCGCATGACCAGAACTCAACTTCATCTTTAATCGTCTAATAATCTACATCTCTAACGAGCATTGTGTTATCGAGCAAGGCATTTTTTTCCATCGCTGATGACTTGCAATAAATCAATCCAGTAATAGACCATTTTGGTAGTTTAATCGAATTTAATGCATAAATCTTTGTTGGGTGCCATGTTACAAATGATTTCATTCCCCTGTTATGAATAGTTGTACCTCAATAGTCACATTTAACGAAACGAATGACGAAATATAAAGAAAGGGAAAAAGAAAGAAAGAAAGATACATGTATAACGAAAAAGGAAAAGGTGAAGTTTAATGAAAATAAGCCTATAGGACCCACTCCCATACCTTCCCTTGATTCATTTTGGTGAAAAGAATTTAATAGTCGTGACGCTGTTGAATATTACTTTAATTACTCAATAATTCACATACCAAATCTCTCGCATTTTGTTCACGTAGCACGTTCGGTGCACCCTTCCCACTCCCTCAAATGACACAAATGCCCCCCTCAAAGGCTAGACGCTCCCTCCGTAGTAGTTTATGAAAACTTGATTTATAGATATATTCAATATTATTTAATGAATAACGTCTTCTTAACAAGCTCCTTTAGATTCTAGATTCTGCAGTTTCGTTCAGGATCAGCATAATGATGAAGAAGATTAATGAGGTTTTGGTGTTTTAAGTTTTGTTGATGTTATTTGTTACATGTATATGTGAGATAAATGTGTGAATAAGTCTTTTACTATCTTTCTTACTGAATTGTCGATTGCTGTTTTCCAACCAATTTAAATTCGCGCGTCATTTTGTTATTATTTTATCTTAAAACATTTCTCAATACAGAACATAAATGTATAATTTTCATTGAATCATTTCTCAATGGACTGAATTTCCAATTGAAAAAATGATTTCTTAAAAATGTTATCACTTATTCACATAAAAAAAAACTCGTTTTAGATTAAACGTTTTTGTCCTGTCTTTCATTTTGTATATCTTTTTAGAACTTTCGGATAAATGCAAAGCATCCAATATTGTCTGGGGATGGTCTCTGTACATTGATGTTCCTTCTCCGTGGAACATGGGTGGAGCCGAGTTTAAATTTAGCCTCCAGACTGATCGTTCCATCGAAAACACCACCGTCAGATCTCACCGACCCTATCAGCCCAACACGTGGGTGCACGTCACTGTGTCTTATGACGGCTGGATGATGAGGCTATACCTGGATGGCGCCATGGTTGGTGCTGCCATTGGACAGCGGGGTGACGTTTTCAGCATGGCGTCACAGCGATGTAAAGATTTCAGCCTCGGAGGGAGCCGAGTGCACTGGGCGCCGTTTCGGGGAGCAATCGGACATCTTCGGATTTCGGACGAGATAAGATCGCACCCAGACATCAAAACGTCTGCATCGCTTCTCGGAACAGACGCAGGACCTGGGTTCGTCATCTCCGAAGACTTTGATTCAGAACTCGTCAACTGGAGTCCAAGCGAGATGAGGGAACCGGAGACAGTGGTCTCTGATATACAGAGGCATCCATCTTACCCTCACGTGACCGCCCCGAAGTGTGGTGTCACCGTTTGTGATAACCCCGAAATTGCGCGAAGCTACATCAACAACCCGCAACTTCGAAGCCCGGTGATCCTCCGATTCCGTCCGATCGTGTTAGCCGAAGACGACGGCTCCAATCCGACAGTCAGTTCGGCTGATCTTCTGATGCAGCATCGGCTTCTGTCTGCGGCATACGGGGCCCATAACATTACGTGGCGTGACGTCGGGATAACGGTAGTGAGGAATTCGTCGTTACGCAGTCGGCTCGTCATAGCGGGATGCGACAATAAGATTGGTAACAGAAGATGCGACTTGGGCTGCAACTATCACATTACAGGGTAAATTATCAGATCATCTTGACAAATTTGGGCTTTCCAAATGTCTTCTTGTATCTCATTTAACACACAAACTGACTCGAAACTGTGATCAAAATCTAGAGCATTATTATGCTCTGCGACATTCCCTGTGTTGATAGATTCTTTGCAAAGCGTTTTCATTACCCGCAATAATAATTTAGATAGAAATAAATGCTGTCAAGGATAAAAGATATGCAGGAGACACGACCAAGGGAGCATGAATCTTGTCGTCATTACATATTTTGGCTTAATATCAAACTAACAGTGAACAATAATCAATTACAAATTTAATGGTTAGAATAATCTTAAATGAAAAATAGAACGACCCTGTCCCAAACACAGAGTCCGCTAATGTATAAGTCCCAAAACTATATAAAAACTGCTTTGATAAGCACTTTGTTATAGAGATGATAACTGATACTTAAGCCCAGACACCGCAAACTATACGATCTGACTACGATTCGATTTTGGAATAATTTGCTATAACATTTGATGTGAATATTCAAATTTCTATAATGTTAATGAACTAGGATCTGGATAGTCATATTATGATTTGTAAAATCTAAATTTCAATGGATTTCAAGCTTTCTTGGAGGAGGAAACGCTAAATCGGCTCATAATCGTAGTGACGTCACACTAGTAGTACGATTGTCTATACGATGTGAAGCCGATTCGGCTCTTTTTAAGACTAAAGGCTTAAATGCTCTAACATTCCTGTTTTTAGTATTCCTATAATTATTTAGAACCTGAATTAAAAAAAAGATGGCGTTGGTTTAGATTTCCAGATCTAAAATAACTGCCATTTCTTCGAAAACCGGATCGCGGGAGGAACGTACAGTGTGCGTTGAGGTATACCAGTTTTGGAAACGCCCTCTCTCAAAAAATGAAATGGAAGCTTTTATTACCAATTATGTGAAAGAATATGTTTTGACTGATACGTGATGATGCAATTTTTTCCGGGAAACTGCCTACTAATTGATGTATTTGGTAAATTATCTTATCGATCCGGCCTGGATGGATATCGCGAATGCACTTCAACATTGAACATTATTTTGGGCATATATTTCTGTTTTTTGCGAATTTAGGCTGAATTATTGCCATCTAAACCTCTGAAAGCAATATTGAATGAATATTTTGCACCCAAAACCCTTGAACCGCAATTTTACCACTACCAGTCTTTACCTTTAATAATCAATTATATTTTCAGTTATGACGGTGGCGATTGTGACGAGGTGCAAACCGAATGTCCTGATGATCTGAAAGGTGACGGAGTGTGCCAACCTGAATGTAACAAGGCATACCACGACTGGGATGAGGGGGACTGTTGTACCCCTATTAACACCACGTATTCACCCTCCTGTGCCGACCCCACCTCGCCGTACAGGTAATGGTTACATGTCGGGCAAACCTCCTTTGTAAAAAGTTGATTTGCATAAAATCGGAAACATAAATGGAACGTGTTGGCGAAAGTTTGAAATAAATCGGACTTATAAGAAAAGAGTTATGAATGTTTGAAAGATGAGATCACTTAATCTATGCGAGTCTTAAATTGGTAATTTGGTAAATAGATTGTGACGTATAGTCACAGACAACTGTTCCGTAACATTTTTCGTGCACAACCGATTCCCTTGGGGCAGTACTCGTAATATAAAACAGATAGCATATTACTATGGGTCCTCTCCCCGACTTGCTTCCTCCGTCGCCTTCGTCCTTTTTCATTCTCACATTCACTACTCTTTCTTCCTTTCATTCCCACTCTAACCCATTTTGTTCTCCACTCTTTTTACTGTGACTGCTTTTTCTTATACACCTTATACAAGAATAAGTTTTATGAAATATGGCATTATAATTACTCTGAACTATATTTTGTTAGTCGGTAATACCTTTATTGAGAGGGATAAAAGGGCTTTACGAATGAATTCCAAGAAACCCCCTGTACCACGATCAATCATTTTTTTTTAAGGAAATGAAATTAATGTAATTTTGTGACATTCAGGTCCTACATTTCTGCAGAAGAGCTCAAAGCAGTCGTTCATCTCAACAACTCTGACGCCCTCAATGTCTTCTTTGTGGACTTCGTCGACGTTGACATCGAAGGGTTTGCGACGATGCCGTGGGAGGTCACCGCTCATTCGGTCAAAGGTAAGAGGTTGTAGACAGTACGGTGTGCAAACATGGCTGTCACTAACATGTTTAAAGCATGTTCGGACCAGAAAATAGTAACCGGGAGGGCCCAGTTTCGAAACAAATTCGATGCATTAGTGCCTTTTGGTAAAGCATTAATTCTCTTTATCTAGTCCCTCGGAAAGGACTTAAAGCCGTCGGCCTACTGGTTGCTCACTTACAAGCATACACATGGTTGCTTAGCAGTCAGGTAAAACAAATAAACCGACCAAACTAAAATTACTGATTAATTCATCCATCTGGTGTCGTCCTATGCTATAGGGTTGGCAGCTTTTGGCATCCGTCATCTTTGATCATGAGAGTTTGCTCTGACCTGTTCATAAAAAAGTCCAGTCCATGCACTGCTTGATGTTGTCAAACCAAGTGATTCGTTGCCAAAAACAAATTAAACAAGTAAACAAAACAAATTGTTTTCAGATTTTAGATTTGCAGAGCAGGGAAGAACGGGTTTTGATCTTACAATTAAACTGACAGTGATTACGATTTTTAAAAAACTTCTACAAGTACAAATCTAGATGCAGTGGCTTAGTTACGGAGGCGTATGCCCGTATAAAAGAGAAATGATTAGCTAAGAAAATGAACATGGAAAAAAATACGCTACAAACGAGACCCGTTTCCCCTCTTCCTTAAAACCAATGCCCCCTCTAATTCTGGGTCTGTGCTACGACACTGCTACGATCTGACTACGATCTAACTGCGGTCCGAAATGTAAAATACTAATGATACAACATTTGAATCGGCATAATTATATGTTTGCTCAAATCTAAATTTTCAAGCGATTTCATGCATCCTTGGAGAAGGAAAGCCGAATCGGCTGAGCATCGTAGTGATGTCAAACCAGTTGTGCGATTGTCTTCGATTTCGAGCCGATTTGGCTTTTACTCTGACTAGGGAAGTTAAATGCATTCTGGTTGTTAGTAAGTCTATTCTTACTTGTATTAAAAGCTAAATCAGAAAGATGATGTTTGTTTTGATTTCCATATAATGATATAATTACCATTCCTTTCGAAAATCGGACGCAGGAGCCTCGTTCAGTTTACGGAGAGCTTAATTTATCCGCATTTAATTCAAGCTAATGAATCTGTTTTGAATCTCTCCAGGCGGCGTCGTCATCCAAGGCGGTGATCGTCTTACCAACAACTCTCTCATCCACGAGATGGGCCACGCGCTCGGCTTGCTCCACGTTCACCACGGCGTCTCGGAGATGAGCTGCACCGACGAGTGCTACGAGCTCGCCGCCTCACTGGAGAGCGGCGATCTCGTCGAGGACACCAACCCGACGCCGACAAACCATCACTGTCGAGATCCTACTTCGGCGGAGAGTCGAGATGGGACGTGCGGAGACGACGAACAATGGAGGGCGTTTATTGATACACCATTTAGGAATTACATGAGCTATTCAGGTTTAAAAAATCATATACAAATTTCATATTTTTCATGTGTTTCCAGTTTAAATTATATATGTGATTTCAAAAAAGACAAGACGAGTGATATAAGAAAACGAAAACGAAGAGATGTCCATTATTGTTGATACGATTCGTCTACAAAATGATTAAAACAACGACTAACTTTAAACATGTATGACTTGCAGACATTTCTCAAAATACACTTTACATGATGCACAAATAATCGGAATACAATTGAAAAACATAACACAAAAAGGTGGGTTTGCATCGAGAAATTTAAAAAAGTCCCAAATCACAAAATGGTACCACTTAATAGACATGTATTATGAGTAGTTTTTGGTGGAGACGCATATAATTTTCTCGAGATTTGTCTGCTTTATGATACATGACAGCTTTATGGTATTAAGTTCTTGTTTTCGACCACTCCTTTATTTTGCACCCCTTTTCTACCACTACTTTATTTTGTACCCCCTTTTTAGATTCCTCATGTACCAGTCACTTCACCCCTCAGCAGGCTGCCCGCATGCACTGCTACATCGACCTGATGTACCCCTCCTGGGACCCCTCCCCAACCCCCGGCACCGTACCCCTCCCTCCCAGGGTCATGGAGGAGGGTCCAGAGGGCGGGGTGACGATCGCCTGGTTGCCGCCCTTAAGCGGATACCATGGCGAGAACGAGTCACGATGCTCCGAGTGCACGGCGGAGAACGCCTTCGTCCAGTACGCGTCCAGGGCGACGTCCGCTAAGAAAGGGAGGTTGACGCAAGCGACAGGTATTTATACACCTTCTTATACTCCTTCTAAAGAAAAATTCAAGCTAACTATTTTGTATCTAAATAATATGACCAGTTTCATGAGAATGGTGAGTCCCTATATTCTCTCTTATGATCTTATCTTCCCTCACCTTTTTCATTCGCTTTCTGTAATTTAGAGTATTTATCTTTAATCATTTTTATTTGTGTGTCTGTAAATAAGCACTGTTGTTTTTCATCACAGCACTGTAGAGTATAATGTAGCTGCGCTATATAAATTAATCTAATTGTAATTATTATTATTTTATATGAGGTATGTATGTTATATTGATAGTATTTGTTATTTTATATCGTCTGTCATGCCAGTGGAGGCAATTTTCCTGCGTCTGTGAAATACGAATCAATCAATAATCCAAATCTGAATCTGAATCACAATTAGATGTAAACAATTTTTTTAATTGTATCAATTTCCACCAGGCCCACCTGATGCAAAGCAATGTGATGTAAACCAGCAAGGCTGGATGGCGTTCACGTCGGGTAGCGCTGTTTGCAGCGATTGCCACCTCGATCTCGAGTTCGAGCACCGTGTCGTTCCAGCTCGACTCTCCATCTGGGTCAGCTATGTCCACCGCTCTCGTGACGCAATCCGTGACGTCATACTTCGGTATGATGGTAAGTAAAAAGTGCAAGATGTCAACAGAAAACTTGATAATTCTATTTCACTTGATGTGATTTTTCCTATGCATTTATGTACATTGTAAGTACACAGTTTTTCGATAACAATAATAATATAATGTACAATAAGTATTTTTCTGACAATGAATCATAAATAAGCAAATACAATTGTTATCTAAAAAACGAAAAAACGAAACTGTCATAAATACTAAATTTCCTCAAATATTATGAAATTATTTGCGGAAAAAGGACTGTCATTGTAAGGAGATTATTAAGCATAATGATACATTTATCCTAACCGATCAAATCGAATGATATTCTATACCATTTTAAACAAGCCGAAATACAGGGAATAATATCGAATGCTGTTTTATGAAAATGATATCTCTAATTTACGACTTTTGTTGTTTCATCTCATAAATCCAGACAATACCCAAGAATCGCTCGGCCCCGTCTCCGTCGACTGCGACATCCCTTTCACGTCCCGGCTCTTCACCGACAAACGCCTGGTCGGCATCACGATCGATGTCAGCGGCTTATACACCATCATCGACGCCGTCCAGGTCGTCTCCGCCCCGCACGCACCCGCCTGCCAAGCGTGCACGCCCCATCGCTATCGTGTCATTAGGGACCCTCCCTTCGAAAGCGACGATGACGTTGATGATTTTGTTGAGAACACGTGGTTCGAAGACAGGTTCGTTTAGATGATGTCATTTTGCGCGAAAATATATCTGTACAATATCTAATTTACTTAGCTTTTGGGGGTAAGACTTTTGATGCATAATGTTCATAAAAAAGTCGCGACAACATATTTTCAACTGAAAATTATCATGTTTACTGATAAAGAATTAATAACCTCAGTAATGCTCCAAAATAACTATGACCCCAATACGTGGTTATAATAATGCCAACACGCAATATGCGTTCGACCAAGTTTTAAAAGTAATGAATCCAATTTTTTTCTTTAAAAAAAACTGTATTCGGCGATAATAGGCACCAAATACAAGCTATTTCCAATACAAATATCTTTAAATCGTTAATTTATATCAAACCAGTCGATTAAGAAATATTCTGTATCTTATCCTTTCTGTAGATGGATAGCAGATGAAGTTGACTATTCGTACCGGATCCATGCCATATCAGGAGCCTTGAGCGGTCTCCCGTCACCACCGGCTAGGTACCAGAGAGGAGAGCCGTTCTGCGGCAATGGAAGAACAGAGAGGTATTAATATTCTGTTCTTATATAGCGCATAACACATCATGCGTTAACGTCTCTATACGCTTCCAAAGAGCCATTTACCTCACCTGGGTGGAGTGCGGCAGATATAGATTAACGTCTAGCCAAAATAGGTTAGTGTTGTGGCAGTTAAATCGCTACATACAACATGTTAGCCCACACGTTAATTTAAAATGGTATGAATGAACGACATTATGGTTCTCAACATATGAATATGTACACGAGGAGGTGTGACGTGATGGCTCTGTGGTAAAGCAGTGGTCTCGTAACCGGGAGGTCTCGGGATCGAAACCAAGTCGATGCGCTCGTGCCCTTTGGTAATGCAGTAATCCTTGTTACCAAGTCCCTTGGAGAGGAATTAAAGCTGTTGGTCCTCTGGTTGCGTATACGAGCATGCACATGCTTTTGCATTTAAAAACAAACCACCAATATATTTGCTGGTATATTGGTATTGTCGATACCGGAAGTACTGATAACGGAGCAGCTAGGTAGTTTGAAGAGGCCGTCATCTTGGAGAAAAAAGGGGGTTAACAAGTGAGAAAATTAACATGATTAAGTCAGAGAATTGATCTTTTAATCCTTTTTGCAGGTTTCCGGATAGTAGCGAGGAATGTGATGATGGCAACCATATTGATGGTGATGGTTGCGACAAACTCTGCCATCTGGAAAGGCATTTCATTTGTGAAGGTAGGAAATTGAGCCATTTGAATTATTCATTTACATATTTTCTTTTAAAAACAACATAACAATTGGGTAAATACGCAAATGGAGAGCCATGTTCAGCTGTAACATTGAGTACAAGTGACCTATCGAGGGTCTTCTGGAATTTAGCCATTTGACGTTTTGAGTTCAAAGAATGGGTAGGCCTTTCCGTCAGCATTAATCATTTTGAAATCATACATTATTGTTTCATGTGAGGTAGAATAATACAGTAATTGGCTTGAACATTTTAACTCCCAAAGAGAAGAAATAACTAAATTATTATAATAAAAATATTAAAATGCACCATATAATGTCCTACTCTGTCCAATTATCCTCTTTGCTGAACTTGCCAGATGTAACATTTATTTGGTATGTATTATGATACCGCCACCGTAGTAAAGCCACTTTTATATGTGAATCAACATGTAAATTGTTATAGAGTACCGAATTGTGACGTCATACTGGTAAAGCTGTCGAGGTTGCTGGTTCCAAACAATGTTTGTGCTAAACAATTAATGGCGTGGTGATCACACCATCGGCCAAACATTGACTTTGCCCGTGCTCCAGCCCATTGCTTAAATGGTTTCGCTATGAACCTCACGCATAGGCTCTGCTGTTTAGAACCAGTAACCCGGACGCCGAGCGAATGTGACATTAGCACTTTTGTACTTTATTTCCTTATAACGGTGGCAGCGGTGGGATGCAAATCCACATCATCAAAACGAAAGTGGTGCCGCCGAATGCTTCTGTCTGGGTGCGCCGTTAAAGTTGGTCTCCTTTGTCTACGGAATTAATCAATCAATATTACCTATTGAAACAGAGCATTGTCCTGCCAATTTACACTTTCAATGCCTGATCTGTAAACACTTATAGGAGATCGACTATAAGTAGATTTCATTTTAAAGAAAACAATTATTTCTTTCGATTTATGTTTTAAAAAAAATACAGGTTTCAGATTATGTTAGAGAAGGGGAAGCCCTAAAAATATGCTTGTGTCATTTCAGATGTTTTGAATGACTAGTTTAAAAAGGTCATTTCACTATATCAGAGGAGTTATTCTTCATTTCAAATTATCGAAAAACTCGGTGTATAAACATTATTTCTCGTTTTGAGGAATTTTCTGAAACTGCTATAGGACATTAATAGATTGATTTTCATGGTAATCTTTTTTCTCTCTCGAAGGTGAACCAAGCCGATGTCGTCGCTACCTCGGAGACGGCGTGTGCGAGGAGTTCGAGCGGACCACCAGTGAGTTAGATTGTGGGTTCCATACCCCTCTCGGGTACACGGACCAGTGGGCTACTAGCGCCAAAGCTAACCCGATTTACCAGACTCCCGATTGCCCCGTGACACCACTACTCGGGCAACCAAGAGAAGGCAGGGTGAGTTAAACTTAAAGGGATAGTTGATTTCTGTTTTCAGACCGCAAATGCCTTCAAACTGCATGGTTATTGCTCTTATTCTTATCTATGACATTTCTAGTGCCCTTTTAGAACCTAAAATTGGTATGAAGGTAATTTTAGACCGATCATACCAATTCAGCTCCACTTTAAAAAAAATACGGTGACCGTTAATTAATTATTTAATTGAAAACAACAATACATGGGCCGGCTGGTTGTGCGTAATATAACCAACACGAAAATGCCAATTTTGTTTTTTCAACGGCTTTTTCAAATTATTTAATATTTGTGGTGGTATACAAGTATTGGAATTCGTTATATTAATGGATATTTCAGCCGTCTCCAAATTGATTTTGATCAAACAAAGATGATTTTGTCATTTATATTGTATGTTCTTTCAAATTTGACACTCACTTTTTCATTATCTCACAAAAAATTATTTTGTGTAGCGCCCTCTGCAACAGAACTCAACTATCCCTTTAAGCTTTTATAATAACCTTCACATTTCGTCTCTACTCAGATTTTTCAAAAAGTTTAATCAGCGGTAGATGTGAAAGCATTTCTACTTGAATTTGCGAATACAGTCAAACCTGTCTTTTAAGGCCAATCACGGAAAACACACACAAAATGGCCACTGTATTCTGGTGGCCTATCTAGACATGTTCTTTAACACATGTTTCCTTCAAGAGGTAGTCGATATCGATGACCACTGTAGACAGGTTGTCTTTATAGAGAGGTGGCCACCAAGGAAAATATGACTGTATTCATGTTAATATACGACTCCAATCGCGGGACATTGTGTGCCTTCCAGTAGGAGAAATCAACATCTGCCACTCTCCACCCAGGTGTTAGTACCTGACAAGATTTATTCTTTTGAAATGCAGTGTGCGCTGATTACGTCTTTGGGAGATAAAGCTGGATAATAATATCCAAACTTCTTCGGAAGCACATAGAGACGTTATATCTTAATGTGATGCACTATACGAGAACAGTTTATTATTATCATCATCATCATCAACATCATCATCATTATTATTGTTACCATTATTTAGACTAGTATTAGTAGTATTCCGTCGATAGCAGATGATACAAAGTAACGAAACTCATCTTATCGATTTCTTTTTCAGGAGTGCATCAAACAGTTAACGTCAGATGATGCATGGTATCCGTGTGGAGAAGGGCGCGAAAATTCAACAGAATATTGGCTGAAGGTAACGACTACAAATAAAAAAAATGTATAAAGATGAATGAATAATACAATAACGTGATGTTTTCAAATATATAATAATCTGTATAACTCAGCTGCATTGTTCGCCTGTTTAATTAACGTACTGCATACGTGGTTAGATTGCTCCATATTCATTCAATTTTATGAGATGGAGTAAATAATCAAGTGAATTTTTGTAATGATTTGTCTTATTCAGATACATGGATTATTATGATCATGACTGCAATCCAGTCAAAACGATTCAGAAATATTAATATCCAAAGTTTGTTAATAATAAAAAAAGATGTTTGTATATAAACGAACGGACCTTTGACAAGCGGAAATTGTTCATATTATTACTTTTGAGCACAGGATACGACATAGGAGCCTAGTTGTAGTATAAAATAAAATCCGATTTATTTATTTTAAAAAAGGAATAAAAGGGATTTGATAAGTCAGACTATAGTGACATATCACTGAATTTTTGTTTCAAAATGCATACATGACAATTTTGGTTGCGGATAATAGTTTTGATGAATTCTACCAATTTTTTAAAATCTCCCAATATCTAGCTCGGATTTCAGAATCCGGTTATTGCAACATCCATCATAGTCCACATCGCAGGAGTCAGCTCTTTCGATTTTGACCAATCACATCCTCGGATATCCGTTGAACTTCTCGATCCGACAGGACTATCTCGCATTCAACGAACCGACTACGTCCCGGTCACTTGTGATCCGAACCAGATTTCCTTCGACATCAGTCATGACCTAAGCAAACCGTTTGCATACACACAATTCATCAAGATATGGTTATCCACACCGCAAATCGCCATTTCAGGTATCCGGCTTCGGTCGTTTGATTATCTGAAACCGATAGCGTTATCAATGTGTCAGGGAAATCAGGTTTTCAATCCGAAATTGGGGCAGTGCATGAACTATCAATGCAACAGACTGGTTGCGGAGAAACCGAGTATTCGGAACGCAAATGTGACTTGCCGTGGACTCGCAGATGGCGACACCTGTAAGGTGCAATGCATGTCAGGATACAGACCGACTAAACCGATTGTGGTAAGAAAAGTTTTTTTCTCATATTCCTAAAGCAATATATATACTGGCCTTTATAAAAATAAAATCATACCCACACAACATTAATGGTTTTCAAAAGTCAGGGGCAAAGCTTAAATAACTTCTAAAAAGCTTAAATAAATCTCTTGTTTTGATTTACTCATATCAGTGTACTGTCTCTTCTTTTTTCAAAGTTTTACTTTTAATCTATTCGTAGCAATAAACATCTCTTTGATAAATATAATTATAATGGCATATATCCTTTAAAAGCACTTTCCGTGTCATGCATAAAGACTGTTTATAGGTATATAAGTTTTAATTATAATTTCTTATGAAAAGGGTGCACTGGAAATGCTAGCTAGACCCAAAATATCAGGCGGGATAATTTCTCTTTTCAAATCCGTTTTAAATAACATTCTGAAATGAGGCCTCAAATCCAGGCCCATGGACATACATTAGGGGATATCTTGAAAAAAAACCTTGTTTGGTTTAGTTTGGTAGTTTGTTTTACCTGACGGCTAAGAAAGCAAAGGTGTACGATTGAAATTAAGTAGCCAGGGAATTGATGGCTTTAATTTTTTTCCGAGAGACTTTATAATGAGGATTAATGTCTTACCAAATTAAAGTAGCCCATCGACTAGGCTTCGAACCTGGGACCTTCCGGTTACAAGAATACTGCTCAACCACTGAGCCATCGCGTCTCCTCATACTTGAATATCAATGACTTATTTTTTTTTCCATTGAATTTTACTGAAAAATAAAGCTTCAGAATATTGCCGGTAGTTGGGAAGGACCTCCGATTATGTGTAAGGCGGTGGATTGTGGGATGCCTCAGCTCGACCCTAGTCTGGCTACGGCCGCCTGCCCGACTGGGACACGGTATGGTAGCGAATGCACCTTTAAATGCATTCCGCCTGCAAAATTACAAGGTAATATTTGTGGTTCATGCCTGTATAATAATCATACTAATAATTATGATAAGATAATTTGTAATGCGCCTAATACTATGTTTCTAGGTGTCATGGTGCTGTTGTCCTTGCAACCTTTTGTTAAACTTCTATACCCAATAGAGCTACTAGGACAACAGCACCAAAATTAAAATATTTCGTAATATATAATAAGAATACGAACAGGAATATAATTACTACAAAATGAATTCAAAGACATAAAAATGTTAATTGCTTAGAGGATTTGATTAGGTTGGTTTATAATATAATTTATATATAATATATATTTTTAAAAATGTGTAGGGATGGAGCCTTTTGGATAATGGGAGGTAGGCTATTCCATAATTTGGGAGCGGAGACGCCTATGTAACGGGGGAGGGGTACGTTAACACACAATGCAGGCATAGGCCTTGGTTAGATTCGAACCCACGATCTTGGGTTCGACAGGCAGATGCTTTACAAACTGAGCCAATTAACCTGGATAATTTTATCCACTTTATACCAGCTGCCCCTTATCATTTAAAAACCGAAATATTATGGCACCTTTTTAATCAGGCACGGATAACACCCTACGATGTGAGGAAGACGGCTTATTCTCGCTCGCCCAGTCGTTTTGTCAGGTATTGTGTGATGCCCCTCCCACCCCGCCCCACGCCATGCTGCAGAGTCAAGACTGCAGAAGCGACGGCCACAATGTCGGTAGCACCTGTAAATTCAGGTGCAAGGCTGGATTCACGTCTGTCTATAAGAAGGGCCGGTAAGTCATACTGTTGTTCTGTATATATTTTCATCTTTCAATTTTATTGCAAGAAAAAGCTCTAGAAGACTGGTATTGCCAATTTATATACCTCACATTAGAAATCTAGCCATCTGATTGGTCGAAATTGTAGTCGTGATTTTAGCCATGCCCGCCTATATACCAGCCAATAGTCTTTTGAAAAGTGCCCTCATACCCGCCTATGCCCATATAGTGCTTTTTTCTGCGATTTCCAAATGATTGAAACTTTCAGTCATTTTTCCAGCGAAGATTAAAAGACAGTGTCTCAGATTTTCTGTGATTTTTTAACCAATCTTTACTGAAAAAAATAATAAGGAAAGAATTCTTGGAAGACTTTTGTTTAAATTCGGCATATAAAAGACATATCGACTGCTTTACTAAAGGCGTCTCAAAGCAGTCGATATCTCTATACTATAGGACACTAACTTCAGACCATGCCTCAAAACCCTTCCATGTGAACATATTGACTTCATCGGAAGAGCTGCGCCTTGGAACGTTTGTTTATAAAAACCCAGATATATGGCGCTGTATAAATGCTATGATTAATCATCATCATATATGGCCTATGAATAGAAATTGTATAATGCTTAGTTGTGTGAACTATATATATAGATATGTTACACAGGGACATATGGACATTATGAAAATGGTGAAAATTGTGGGTTCTAGTATAATATGTCAGATTTGACAGCCCTGGCGCTCCACAATGAAGCATAATGAAAATATAAAAATCAATAAACACAAAAATAACTTATAGTTAATCACAGTATACGGTTATAAAATTTGATACATAATTATGAAAAATGTTGAATGAAATATGTGAAGTAAATAAAATCAATATATTAATTTCATACTAAGTATACAAAAGCAAAACCTTATATAGCTTAAATAATATAGAAGGAAGAAATATGGAATATATGAAAGACTTATAGGCTGTTTAAGGAAAATATATGAAATATATGTGAACTTGAGTGATGAGCAATATGAAAACTATCAATTATATAACTTGCACCGTTGCCCCTAAAGTTGCAATATTTTTTCTATCTTCTTTCCAGGAAATGATTGTGATAATATGATTTATTCTTGATAGATGCAGTTTAAGTATTGGAAGTTTGGAGTTTGAAGTATATTTGCTCCACATTTACATTTAAAAAAATCTAGATTCTGAATCATAAAAATTGAGGGGTTAGTAAAACAATACGGATACAGAACTTACATAAGTGGGCTATAGTACGATAAATGTTAAATAAAATATTTCGAAAGAAGTGGAGATACGACAGGCAATCATATTCAATTAAATGCAAAAAGCGAGGAACCAAAATGAAAAGCAAGGCTTGTTCATGATAAAGCTCCTATTTAAAGGGCCTTGAGATAGTTTAAGAATCTCTAGATTTAAGGTGCCTACTTTTTCTGGTTGAATATTAGAAAGCAAAATTAAGATACACACAAGATTGAAACACTTCACAGATTATGTTTGCTTGTATTTACCATCTTACGATTTCATTAAGGTTCGTATTCTGTACGAACCCACTCAGGACAAAATATATAGCTGTTCTATGGATGTAGCTTTCAAAACATTGGCGCGTTTTTATTCATGTATTTTGAACTTTTCCGTCAGTATGTTATGTTTCACAGTCGAGAGCATGATTTTCCAATGTACTTTTCTGGTTTCAAGTTGATTTATGCTCTCTCATCGACGAGTAAATGGCAGAATACATTAATCTGAAAAAGTGTCGGTAGAATACCTTTCCTTTAAAAGTTTAATTTTTCACTCATCCTATCCCAACCACTGTAGACCATCACGGGTTGCTCGCTACCAGTGCAGCGAGAATGCGACGTGGATTGGGCACGGATGTGAACAGGTGACCTGCCCGCCACTTAGCCTGCTCCACTACGGACTCTTCAACTGCACCAACGATTTCAACTACAAGAGCCAATGTACACTGTACTGCCCCGGTGAAAATGTGGTAAATATTTGATAGAAATGTGTGGTAAGAAAGCAGGCTATCTTGCTAGTATATAGACCTATACCTCTTACATTCTTAACTATTCTTTCTAGAGTAATATACATACTTAACCTGCTTTAGCAATAACTATAGTGAGAAGAAGAGGAAGAGGAAGAGGAAGAGGAAGAAGAAGAAGAAGAAGAAGAAGAAGAAAAAGAAGAAGAAGAAGAAAAAGAAGAAGATAAAATATTATATTTACAATGATTTTAATAGTGATAATAATAGTTTTTGTTTACCCTGCAATTATTCCTATCCCAACATTTGCAATGTGCACCCCAGATGATGTCCAACTCCAAGGTTCCTACAAAGTAGTTTATTACTCTATTATTACTTTATTATCCACATGCTGGTGACGTATCCAATAGACCACAACACCTCTGTGTAGTAATACCACCGCTATTGTCAATTGTTACTTGTAATTATCAGGTTCCGAGCACCATAACCTGCACCAAAGACGGTGAGTGGGACCAAGAGTTCACCCCGTGTGATCCATCGATCACCTGCCCTGAACCACTACCACCCTCTGATGTCATCGTTGACTGTCCACAAGGGCACGGCGCAGGTAATCAAAAAACAGATATACAGGCTTTCTCCTTTTTCTCATTCCTTGTATATTTTCATTTCTCTTGTCTTTTGCTTCTCTGCTCTGTCTACACTGCCATTTTTTTATTTAGTATCTTTAGGCACTGTTTTATTTCTCCTGGGATTGTTCTCAACCCACTCCAAGAAGCGGGAAACGATCACCGTCAAATATAATTGCCATAGACCAGCATGACGATCAATTTTTAGATTGTGGGATGATCTAAATTGCATCCCTCATGACTCAATAAATAATCTTTGCAAATGTATGCCACAAATCCATTCGTTCTTCATTCACATGATTTGTGAGTTAACACAAGCATATTCCCATTTGTTCTCTTTCACTTATTTCAGTACTTCTACCTTAGATGTGAACTTACCAAATGGAAAATGTCACATCATGGCAGGTTTAAATGCATATAAAATATTCTGCATTAATTGATGTGCATTATCTCTCTCTTTCTCTCCCCCTATAACTCAATTTCTACCTGATGGTGTTATAAAACAAATAATACACATCATTTTGATCGGACACTCAGTACCTTTAAAACAGTCCAAACGCCCTTGGCTATCGCCTATTCCAAAGGTACCTTGTGTGGGTAATTCTTACTAATGCCCTCACTGCTGTGTATTATTTGTATATTAATTGACGTGCATTCTCTCTCTCTCTCTATAACTCAATTTCTACCTCATGATCTTATCAATTCTTCACAGGGGCTATCTGCAAGGCTAAATGTCGTTTGGGTCGGTCATACCAGATTGCCCTGGAGGGTGCTACCTACAGAGAGCGGGGGCTGCTGGGAAGGCATGAGGTCATCCTGTGCACTGCAGGGGGTGTCTGGTACCCCAACCTAGACCAGATAGTATGCCATGAAAAGTGCTTGGAGGTGAGATACACGTAAAGAAGGCCTAGAGAGTCTTGCTTTGACAGGGAAATTTTGGGAAGGAGGAGCAGGGGAAAAAGGAGGATACTTTGGATTGACAGTCTGCAGAAATTGTTAGAAGAGAGAGGAGTGAAAGAACTGGGAGTGATTTTATTAGAGAAGGCTAAGAGCCGAGGGTTTGGGAACAGCATGATCGCCAAAGTCAATCGATATGGCACTTAGAGAGAGAGAGCGAGATACTGTGAATCTGCTACCGTCAAAGCTTTGTATGAAGGTCACTTGTGAAATATAGTACATTAGGGTGACCTCCACTGTTTAGGTCATACATGTAGATTACCTCCCCATTTCTTTCTCTCTCTCTTCCTCTCTTTCTCCCTCTCTCTTTCTATCTTCTCTCTCTCTCTTTTCTCTCTGTTCCAATTACTGCCTCTCACTCCACTTACTATTCTGTTTCTTCTCCTCTATTTCCTGCCTCACTCTCTATCTGACATCACTATTGTGTCATTGGTCATTATTATCCTTATTGACTAGTCCATTAGCAATAACAAATTATCTTACTTTTTGTCTCTGACCTTTAACTGAAAATAAAACTAATGGCCTTTGAAGTCGTCTTCGAGAGAGAGAGAGAGAGAGAGAGAGAGAGAGAGAGAGAGAGAGAGAGAGAGAGAGAGAGAGAAAGAGAGAGAGAGAGAGAGAGAGAATACAGATCAATTAATACAGCATGTTCATAGGATAGTGTTCCTATTTTGATCCTTAGAAGTTTGTTTCCTATCTTCCTGAGATATGAACATAGTATAAACAGTATGTGTCATATACACACCAATTCAAGGAAATCCAACTTGTATAAACAACTACTATGAAAGAAAAAAGAAACATCAGAGTCGCAGACTGGTGAATACAACATCATATCGTCCTTGTTTTCACGAAGTGACGGTAGTGAGGAAAATCGTAACGCAAAGTGAATGCAATTTTTTTTTCACTACCGTCACTTCATGAAAACAGCGACGATATGGATCTGCCGCTGCCCTGGGAAACTACAAACCTTCATTCGTTAAACTTCTGGATAGCGTATGCTACTGCAGAATATTCAGCTTAAGTAATGAACTGATATACAGTCAAACCTGATTTAATAGCGACCACTTGTTTACAAAGGCCATCTGTCCATAAAGACCACATTTTTTGCCAAAAGATCATGTACATAAAGACAACCTGCCTATTACTACCCATTTTCTTGTCTCCAGTGAATGGTCTTTGGTTTCACTGCATGTATATGCAATTATTCCTATGTCAATGACGCTTCACAGAGAGTAATAATCCAAAAGATTTTGATTCAACTGAAACAAAGTAACAAAGTTACCCTTCCCATTTCCTCATCTCCCTAGTATTTCATCGGTGATGACGAATGCGAGTGGAGGAACAACAGAGCCTACTGTCTTTGGGATAGCGGGGCTTGTTGCCCCTCTACAGCCCCGACAGGCGAGGTCATCACCTTCCCTGAAAACTGCGGCGAGGGGTGCGAGTGCCGCGATCCTGACGCCATCGAGAACGTACGCCAGAGGAACGGGTGGGTGCGACAGCTGAACCGACCACCACCCTAGAGCATCGTTCTCCAGCATGCGATACTCATAGAAAATCTCATTTGTACTCCCTGTTTTATACTTTAATAGAACTAAATGTGAACAAATCTTCAAGAGCATAGTAAAAGGGTATAAATCCCTGATCAAGATCTCTCAAATTTACCAGCCGTGCCGATAACAGTGAAATATTGTAAAGAAAATCACATTTGTACTTCCCGTTTTTTAACCTTATAGAACTGAATGTGAACAAATCTTCAAGAGCATAGTTCCAATCGACTTATTTTCACCAGTGAAATCAATTAACATACCGTATATACTTGTTTTGATGCCTACTGGGCAACATTTGTTAAAACAAGTTGGTTTTGATATAACATTATGAAACAATTCAAGCTATCAAATACAGCCAGTCAAAGTTGAAGATTGTATAGATTTTATTTTTAATTCTGATTTTCACTTGCTCATGTAAAAGGGCTAATAAATTATATTTGACAGAGTTTTTTAGATGAAAATAACTGTATTAATCACATAAATATAACATTTAGTATATATTTCAATCAGTTATATTTATGTTTCTTTGATTTTTTAAATAAAATCTGATTGAAGTATATGCCTACATATGGTGTTGCAATTTGGGAATGTCTCTGAAAAGCCTCGCTGAGCAATCTCGTTAAAAGATGCATTTGATTCAATTAATATTTTTGATCATAAAATCATAAATTGGCATTTCGTATTCAATGTTGTCAGACTTATTGAGCATTGTGGAAGTCTCAGTTTTGTATTCATACGTGTAAACTTATATGCATTTACAGATTGGCATACTCCAAGATTGAAGAAAATTTCCCTATTTTTTTAATTTCCTTTATTTTTAATAATGTTCTTAAATTGTGCTGCATTTTTTATAAACAGTGAAATTATTAGAATTTTGACTTGATGAAATTGACATTATGAAAATAATAATGATGGAGCCTGAAATCAAAGATGGAAATCATACTTTTTATATAAATTTTGAAAGAGGAAAGAAAAGGAAATCATTTAAAATTAAAAATTGATCTTGCCACAGAAAGGTCTGACATTGCTTGTTTTGATATTAAAAAGTACTTCAGGTTTCCAATTGTTTTTTAAGAAAGCTGCAAATGCACAAAATAATGCAAGGTCATAATTTATGGCCTACATTTACAATTTAAGATACATGTATTTTATGTAATCTGTAATTTTTTCAATGACATTTTGTATATACTGTAGACCAAAAGTCATATATTCTTTGTGATTTTAAAGAGATGTGAACTACACTTGAACATACTGGTAGTAGTCCAATGCGACTTTACCAGCCGGTTACTCCTCCTTTGGGAACGACATAAGTTACTGGAATCAACTCACAAGGTGCCTCGATTTAATTTTGATTTTTAAGGTGAGACCATTCTCTCTTTTTTTCCAAAAAGAGTTTGCAAATGATGTATATTTTCATATTTAATAAAATTGTGATAGAAGTCTTTCATACAATAAGGCCTAAAAAAAAGATGTTGTATTGCCCTTTGTGACTGGCCCAAAAATCTTGAAATCTACGGTCGGCTTTTTAAAACAGTTTTTTTTTAACCGTTTTTTTAAAGAGATAAATATATTCAAAATTGAGAAATACCAGCCCAAAGAGGGAGGGAAGAAAAAAGATCTGACCGACCGACCCATGTTTTGGCACCGTAAGGGCAATATAACATTTTTTTTTTAGGCCTTACATGTACATGTATTGTACATACAGTTAACATGATACATTCATGTAGTTTTCACTTAGATCTATCAAACCATCAACTCTATTTTTTTTTTTTAATTCTTCAAAAGGCATTTGTTACTGTTTTTACAATCATGCCACATGTTGTGGTTTGGCTCAATAACTTTTGAATCAGAGCCTTCAAAAATATGCCAAATGCACGAGTAGAAAAGGCAAAATTTTGTGCACATACTGCATCCATTTTTGTTTCATGAATATCTTGCATTCTTGTCAAGAATTTTCAAAAGGAAAATAAAGTTTGAAATCCTTAAATTGGCAATGCCTTTAGCGATTAGAAATGATTGTTTTTCAATCAAAATTACATGTACGCATATTTTTAACTTTTCGACAACATCCTAGCCCATGTATATTGTTTTCAGAGAGATTAAACCTTATTTTAACGATGTACATGTAGCAATAGAAGAAAAAATATTATTGTTGCCAATTTGAAGAATATGTGATAAATTTAGCCTTGTTAATAAATCCTATCCTGAAAGGGCGAAGTGCCAGGAAGGCATTAACTCTGTATTACAGTATATGAGTTAACACCTTTCTGGCTCTTACTCAACAGATGAAATCTACTTCTCAATGAAATCCTTTTGTAGAGTTATATTTTGCATCTATAGTACATGTATTTCCTTCAATCTCGCATACTTGGCTATTATAAAATAAATTCATTATATCCATCTATTGACAAGCTGTGTTGTGTTTGAAATGAATGCATAAAACTTGCACATAGACTAGTAAAGATGATGTGGTCCGGTGGATAAGTCTCCGGATTATGAACCACTAGGTATGGGGTTTGAATCCAGAGTACTGTACTGCCATCTTGACAAGAAATCTAACATAAGGAAATTCAGTCCATGATAAAAGACTAACTGACAAGTAATCTACAAAGTTCATATGTATAATTTTATTCAATATATACACCTTATTACAGTTTCTATTACAATGGCGACAAATGAAGTCCAAATAGTTAGAGCTGCGATGGGGTGTGCGTTATTAGATATTCAAAGCCAAATGTTTGAAGGCATTAAAACATCCCGAGGACGATCTGGAAATTCACTGCATATAAACCGAGGACCTACTTTCTCCATCCAAATGGAACACCTAAATAAACCTACCGGTACCCCTATGTGAAAGTGCATCAAATTTTAAACTATGCACCCTTTCACGGTTAAGGCCGCCATTTTAATATGCGCGTAATCATTGCGTCATCATTGTTTTCAGATGCGCATGTATTATTGCGTCACTGCCTGTGCTGTGCGATGATATCATATTGACATGGGCGCCATTTTTAATTACGAGTATTTGTTAATTACTCGTAATTAGAAATGGCGCCCATGTCAGCGCATGCGTACTCTTGTAACCGTGAAAGGGTGTATTTACAGAGTTCTCGGACCAGGGGCGTCCTCATTTTGCTGGTGGTCGTCAAAGTGAAGGCATAGTTCTTATGAGTGTCCTATGTTTGGTACTGCAGACAAGGGCAGAATGAAATGGCCTTAGGCCAATGAAATGAATTTGAGAAATTACCTATATTCCTTGAAATATCAGTTCTGTCTTGATTGAAGCACTAGGTCCCAGTCAAGCAGAAGGGCTGCAGTTCTCGGACTGTAGTGTCTTAGATATGCTTTAGCTTGTCTTTGTTACAAACCAATTAGTACTGGATACATCTTCTACACAGACCTGTTCTTCCTTTGTTGAGGAATGCGATAGGTCCCAACTGAGTCAATTAGCTGCTGTTTCTGAAACCCAGTTCACAAGATGGTGGAGCTCATTCTCTGTCAATAATATCTGGGGAAGCCCTTGGAACATCAAAACTTCTTCAAAGTCCTTCAGAAACCGGTTCTACCTTTGCTGAGGAAGGCAATAGGTCCCATTCGAGGAAACAAGCTGCTGTTTCCTAAACCCAGTCTCCAAGATGTTGGAGCTTATTCTCGGTGAACTCTGTCGTGGAAGGGCCCTGGATGGCAAACATCTTCGAAATCCTTCAGAGACCTACTCTACCTTTGCTGAGGAAGGCGATAGGTCCCTGCAGAGTAAATACGCTGCTGTTCCCTAACCTTGTCTCTAGAAGAATAAGCTGGTGTTTCCTAAGCACGGTCTACAAGATGTTGGAACTTATTCTCTGTATATCTGGGAAAGCCCTATCGAACATCGAAACTGTCTGCAAAGTCCTTCAAAACCAATTCTACCTTTGTTGTGGTAGGCGATAGGTCCCTGCCGATTAGATAAGCATGCTGTTCCCTGACCTTTGTCTCTAGAAGATGTCGGAACTCGTTCTCAGTAAACTCTGTCCGAGAAAGCCCCTGGAACATCCAGCCTTTCTCCAAAGGCCTTTAGAGAGCTGTTCTATCTTTGCTGAGGAAGGCGATTGGTCCCTGCCGAGTAGATAAGCTGCTGTTCTCTAACCTTGGTCTCTAGAAGAAGAAGCTGTCGTTTCCTAAACCCAATCTACAAGATGTTGGAGCTCATTCTCTGCACACTCTATCCGGGAAAGCCCTTGGAACATCAAAACTTTCTCTAAAGTTCTTCAGAGACCTATTCTACCTTTGTTTTGGTAGGCGATAGGTCCCCGCCGAGTAAATAAGCTGCTGTTCCCTAACCTTGGTCTCTAGAAGATTTTGGAGCTGTTTCTCTGTAAACTCTCTCCGGGAAAGCCCTTGGAACATCAAACCTGTCTTCAAAGTCCTTCAGAGACCTGTTCTACCTTTGTTGTGGTAGGCGATAGGTCCCTGCCGAGTAGACAAGCTGCTGTTCCCTGACCTTTGTCTCTAGAAGATGTCGGAGCTCGTTCTCGGTGAACTCCGTCGTGGAAGGGCCCTGGATGGCAAACATCTTGAGCATGGAGTGGATTCGCTCCAACGGAAGGCTCTCAAGGTTCATCAGCATGCCAGTGATAAATGACCAGTACATCTGTAAGGGAAAATAATAATATCTCAAATCAGCACTGAAGGTTTAAGAAAAATCAAAATCCATGAGCAGTTGGTTGTTAGCTTAAATTGTGTAATAAAGACCCCTTGGTTTTATGCACCAGGGTTCTTTCACTTGGATAGCATTTGCCCAATTTACAATCACTTTTTGAAAAATTACATTTTACAGGGATACCAGTTGGTTTCTCCAGATGAGCCTGAAAAGAGACCCAGACATGCTGGAGCCTCATATGTTAGGTACAATATGAAGCCTGATAAAGCCTGATGTGGAAAGGAGTCGGGGCCTGAAAACTGGCATCCCTGATTTCATTCCATCTGTGTTTAAGAGCAAAAGGAGATTTGTCCAACAATGAATCACAGTGACACAACCAATAGGAAATGAAATTCCTATGTATGCAGTGATATTACCCTTAAAAAATGCATCACTTCATATTCTTTATTGGATTACCAAGACTCTGTTTCTCTGCTCAGTCTGATTTCCTTCAAACCAACTTGCTCTAAAGATTAAATTAAACTAACAGGGGGGTGTTTCACAAATATCCTAAGTCTAACTTAACTCTAAGTTGGACTTAAAAATTAAGGAGAGCCATTTGTATCCTTAAAATAAAATATATTCAAAAGCAAAATCAAGTATTTTAGAATTTTCATAAATTCCACATCAAGAACATGAAATCTCCTTGATAATAGAAAATATGAATGATTTGAATTAACATCTCATGCCTTTTAAAATAACTGTTACAAAATATTTTCAAGGTTGCTAACGGCTTTCCATAATTTTCAAGTCCAACTTAGAGATAAGTTCGACTTAGGATCTTTGTGAAACACCCCCTCTTGTCTAGTTACCTGAAGATTCTCCTCTTTCTGGTCCTCCACGGACGCAGTCGCTGACTCCGCCTCCTCGTCGCTGTCAATCATCACCATCTCCTGATTCTGGGTGGAGCCTTGTTTTTCTTCCACCAAGACAAAGGTGTCATGTGACTCCTCCTTCAGCAGGCCCTGGCTCTGCCAGTACGCTATCTTGCGACGAACAGCGCCCCCAGGCACCTGCATCTTCTCGCTCAGTTCCTGGATGGTCCATCTCTCTGTGGAATGCAAAATTAAACTTTTCTGTTAAAGGTAAAAAAAATCCTCATAATTTATCTTTTGCTCTATATGTTTGAGATTCAATACTAGTATTCTGTGGGTGTATATGTATATTAACATTTGTCTTGGAAATGTATGATGATGGTGGCCTGTTCTGGAAAGATCATCAGTGTCACTGTCTTATCTCGTAGTTCAATGACAACAGTCACACACACCCCCTGTCTGCCCCGCCCCCTCCCAGTCCCAAATCCACTACTGGTTCACTAATAAAGTTTGCTTGTCTTTCTCTGTGTGTGATAGACCCAATATCAAATCTTATTACAACCTACCTCTGTCCTGAAATTGCATGATAATGGTGTCATTTATAGAAGTCTAGATCACCAATGTCACTGCCCTATGTCTTAGCTCAATGTCAAGGGTCAAGTACACCCCTGTGTGCTCCCCGCTCCCCTCCCCCACACCCAATCGACTACTGGTTCACTAATACAGTTCTGTTGTCTTTTATTTTTAACCATATCTTATTCCAACCTACCTCTTTCTTGGAAGTGCATAATGATGGTGGCCTGTATTGGAGAGACCGTCAGGGTCACTGTCCTATCTCGTAGCTCGATGTCAAGGGTCACTTGTCCTAGATTGGTCTTCCAGTTCAATGTCCTCATCCCTTTCAATACCTGTTGGTAGAACACAGAAAATTTGGACAGGTTAATCAAATAAAACCTTCCATTGCCAGAGGCAGTTTAACCTGCCCATAACCTAGAGTTAACAACTGAATTATTCATACCCCTTGTAAATTAGAGTTATTGTTTTTTCGTAACTCAAGAATTAAAAGTGGAATTATTAAATTAGGGTCTTTGTTGAATACTTTCAGATGTAAATATGCCACATTCTCAAGAAACATATATCTAAACAAATAAATTTATAACAAATCAATTTTTTTTTACAAATCTTGGTGAGGGTATGAATAACTTAGTTTTTGACTGTATGTACATCTAATACTTTTGGACAAAGTAAAACATGGCTGTTTTTCTGAAATTTAAAAGTAAGTTCCAGACATAACAGAAGAATTTTTTTAAAGAGGGTCAACACAAAACAGAACACTACAATTCAAACTTGCACAGAAATGCAACCACATAAAGAGATATCGCTTTCATCTGCTAACCTCGTAGGACTTGGTGTAGGTTTCCATCCACTGTTTGATTTCCTGTGGTACCTCAAGCTTCTCCTCCTTCAGGTTAGGCCAGAACTGGGCTGAGAGTATCATTGTGTTGAAGTCCATCTGGAAAAGAGAGAAAGCCATTCATTGATTTAAACAAAGAGTATCATCTGATAGTGTATCAATCAATATCGAATTACATGACTCTTTTCAATATAAAGTATTGGGCAGTGTTACCACAAGTGTATTAAAACTAACATGTTTCAGTGGGATGTTGGCAATCTTGTTTCATGAAACGACGCCCTGATTTTTAATTGTTCCACCTCATGACTTCATCTAACATTTCTCGCTTGTGCTATTACCACAAAAAGATTTGTTTGGGTCATAGCCACTATCCCTTGTTGTAGTAGTAGTCGTTCTGTACAGAGCAAATTTATTTTTCATTTCTTTTCACATAATATAAACAATGACAGACAATAATGAATGTACAGTACGTAGATTTAAATAGTTTTTTTCTTCTATTTTTGACCCAATCATCACTCCCTACAAATGCCCAAGTACTCATAACTTGAATTGCCATTCTAATTATCTCAATTTATTTTTAACCCAGGGTGGAGAGTATTGCATCTTTACTTTCAGACTTTCAAAGATCTCTTCCCGTAAAAGAGTCTTACACATCTTTTGATATCTAATTTGCATATATATACCTCCAGCAATTAGGCTGTCCATAACATTTAAAGATCCCATTCAATGACTCCGCCCAAGTTTTCAAAACCTCCAAAATAGCCCCTTTTTTTAGGTTATTAAAGCTTGTAGAACATTACCTCCTCTGGAATTGGCGCTCCCTCTGGATTTGATACCATCTCTGGACTTGGATGAGTGGGAGTAGTCACTTCTTCATTTTCTTTATCCTCCCCTCCATCGATAGCATCCTCTGCTTGTTCTCCATCTTTCTCTTCCTTCCCTCCATCTTCCACATTCCCACCTCCCTTTGCTGCTCCTCCTTCTTCCTCTTCCTCTCCTGCCTCCTCTCCTGCCTCCTTCTTCTTCTCCTCCTCCTCCTTCTTTTTCTCCTCCTCTTTCCTCTTCTTCTCCTTCTCACTCAAAACATGGGTATTGCACCTGTAGTGTATACAGAAGGTTTCATTGAACACATTTCATATTCGATCAGAGGACTAAAGCGAGATTGCTTACACAGTAAAACAATAAAGAAATACAAAGTATGAAATTGTATAGAACCTAACAAAAGTGGGTGCATCCTTTGCAAAAATGTCATCTTAGTCTAGGGACTGGCTTAAGAGAAAGCAATTTGGAATTCTTAAACACAATACTTACCAAAATTTAGTACATCCTTTACAATTGTAATGCAACTTTAGAGTTGTAACTGTTCTATGGAGAAAAAAATTGATATGTTCCTTCAAAACACCACACAATACCACCTACTTGTATAAACTACAATATTTCTATCTTTATTTCAGTTACTTACAAAGTTACTAAAATTATGAATGATTAGCAAGTTGTGTATTCACTGATCAACATAGACAATGCAACTACACGTAACTCAATAAATTACAGTATCAGAAAAGGTGGCATACATGTACTTGAACAGATAATTAATGTTCAAAACTTACATTCGCATGTCCACCTTTTTGACAACATTCTTGCCCATATACATTATTTTCAGAGACATTCCATTTTATTTTAACATTATAGCAATGTGTGAAAGATATCATTGTTGCCAATTTGAAGAACAATATGTGACTAATTCAGCCCTAAAAATAAATCCTGTCCTGAACGGGAAAAGCAGCAAAAAGAAATCTTCTGTTATGGAAAAGTCTTCACCTCTTGGAGTCGGCCACATCTTTCAGCATCACCTCGCACTGGTGGAGCTGCGTCTCTCCGAACCGAAGCTTGAGAAGCTCCAGGTTACGCAGCTCCCTCGCCGTATCGTAGCTGAAGCTGGAGAGGATGCGGTCCGCGAGCAGGTTACGGTACTCGTTGACAAACAGCTCACGGCTCCCGTAGATGTTGACCAACGTGCTGATGATGTCTGATGTTCTCCTGCTTTTGGAAGTTTGACCTTGGTGAGAAATTGTTAAAAAGAATTTTGAACCGCTGAAATAATTTCCAAATTTTATTTGAACACATTGAAGTCTTGAACTACGACTAAAGTCATTGTCATATTAAGTAACAGCTCTTCGATTTTAAATATCAAGAGCTCTTTGAATCAAAATGGCTTGTACAAACTTTCAAAGGCAATTTTACAGTAATTCGCTCCCATTGTCATAAAGGATATCAATTTACATGGACAATATTGACTAAATATCATACAGTATATTCTAAAACCATAATGACCAAAAGGAATTTTCAATGAACAATTCAAAATACTTAATTGATTTAAAAGCCTGTAAAGTTTTGAACCCTAAGGCAGCAGGATGTAATTTTTATTTTCTCATAGTAGAAGTTTATGAAGTATCCAAATCCTGCAAGGCATTACTGCCAGACAACGCTTACGTAACAATTCATTCACTTGGCTTTCCTAGCTTACAAACCCTTCTGTCATCAAAAATAGGTTACGGTACCGGTTACGGTTAAGCCCTGCTGATCATGTTCACAGTTCAAACTAATTGTCTCTCAGAGGATAAAGGTCATGAGGAGGTCATACTTGGGTCAGCATCAATGGGGTCTGGCTGCCAGTCAAACGGGTTAGCTTCCTCTGTTCCTGTCGCTGCTCCCTCCTCCACGTTGACCGGTTGAGCTTTGACCAGTTCGTCAGCCAACTCATTGGAACTATCGTCGGTCAGACTGGATACAATACAGCGGACGGTGTCCTCTCTTGTTCTGCTCCAGGAAAATAATGATGAATTCAAATAAATTAAATAAATGAATACAGGTAACTTAAATAATTCAAAATAACGTTAATAAGAGAAATTTGGAGAAGAATACATATAATAATATTATTATTATTTTTTTTTTGCAGGGGGAGGTTAGGGGTTGACTTTGAGAATCTTTTATCTTTCTGATTAGTTTCAGATGCAATCTTACAACTGTTGATGTGGTTGATTGATGTAGAATGAAATCTAGAGATGGTGATATTTCAGCTTGGTCAAACCACATCAAGTACGTATAGTGATATAAATTGGTCAATGATATCTAAAAGAGAACCACCTTTATTGAACATTCTCATTGAGTAGTTTGAAAGCTCAAAGATATCAATCAGGAATCCAACATTATGCCTGAATGGGTTCTTGAACACCGACAAGAACGATTTTCTCCTGCTTTATATTTTTTATGCCCTACCTGAGGTACTTGCGGATGGGTTCGCACACAAGCTCTAAGACGATTCCAGAGGGATCCAGCACCCGTAATGCTCTTATGGAAGATATGTATTGGGTTAAGATATCAGTTGTGTTCACACCTGGATGAAAATGGGGAAAAAAAGTGGAAAAAATATTATAAAGATACAGTCTTATTCACACTTAGGAGAGCTGGGGTTTTTTTCTCACAAAGACAAAGATCAACTTAAAGGGCCATGACATCAAAATACAAGTGTATTCCTGTTGTTGTGGAGTCCTGCATACATCTCATATTTTGATATGTAAACTTCTGAATTTGTTTCATAGATTTTTAAATATTTTTTGAAATATTTGTTTTTCAAACTTGCTAAGCTCCACTCCTAAAACCTCCAGATCTCTTTCCCCTTGTGACATCATCTGTTAGTCATCAATGAGCTAAACTTGAGAAAGTGGCATGTAACTTTGCCAAAGTTGACCACCTGTTACAATACCACAAACAATAACAACATATAAGTTGATTTAAATTGGGTAATTATCAGGCCTGAATAAATCAATCAAAACTTACCTGGATGAAGAAGTCTGTTCTCGAAGGCACTCCGTAGAGACTGGACCAGCTTGGTTCTCAGGTCGGTCTTCTCCAAGCAGCTCTTGAGGTCGTTCAGAGCACTCATCGATTCAGGGAACTCGACGATGATGTTAAACAGCTCCTACAACAATCAATGGACCAGTTCACACTTAAAATTAAAGTTTTTGATGTTTTTTTTTAAGTATTAATCAGATGCATAAACTAATTGTATTTCAATAGTACGATTATATGATGTTTCCTCTAGTTGTGCATTGCATAGATTTTGATTGTATCAATTATGAATTTGCTATCCCTACACGAGCATGGATCAGACAAATAAATAAGATTTTTTTTTAATTTGAATTTTTTTATTTCATAAATTCCCAGAATATATTTGAGTAGTTTTGGCAACTCAAATTTATTAAACCTGTACAATGAACCCATTGATGACTGAATTTTCTCATTCCCAAACGCTGAACACATGGACTCTCTGATTAACGTAGGAAATGGGATACTAAAGGGGAAAAAAGGATGATATTACCTGAATTCTCAATTCAGCTAATGTCTGATACAAGTAGTATTGAAGCCTCTCTTTCCACTGCTGCAGGGACTGTGACATTACAGGACTTTGGGGGCGCTCTGCATTCTTGCCAAAGAAGACCAAATGTAGCCATCCCATCACTTTGTTGTCTAACCACTGAAAGTGAGACAAGAATAACAGAAAATATCTTTGATGCATTGCTCTGTTTCAGCAACTCCACTTAATTTCACTTGACAAAATACATGCTTACTGTACATACATATATTTTATTAATAGTTCAAATACCATCCTTTACTGGGTATTATTTAGCCAATCAAACTGTCCCCCTCCTACCCCAATACAGTTATATAGTTGATGAAAATGCTGGGCCCCATTTCACAAAACTTGTCATCAGTGACATATGATATTTTTTGTTTAATATTAGCTAGTGAAATCCTTGCGTCCGGGTGGTTATCAGCAGATTTGTCACTGATTTTTGTCATTTGTCATTGAAAAAAGGTTTTGTGAAACGGGTCCCTGATCCACATTTTGAAGCATGTCAAACACATTTTACGATTAATCCCCAATGCCCGGAACAGACAAGGCACCTAGCAAGCAAAGACACTGTATGGATGAGCAGATTTGGGGGCGAAAATGTGTAACAAGCTAGAGAATCACTCACGCTTTCTAGCGACGAAATGAACGACTTCTCAAACTCTCCAGCACACTGCTGGTCTACGTGATGTTTGATCTTCTGATGGATAATAGATGTGACAGGCTCACCACACACCCTCTCAAGCAAGCCCAGGGAATACCTGCAAAATGAGTCCAAATTTGAGATTATTTGTGTAATACCCTCACATTGTAATAATAATAATGATAATAATGACGACGACGACAACGACAACGACAACAACAACAATAATGATAATGGGTGACTTCTCATAAGTTAATCAGGGACTAAGTCCAGACTAAACAAGAATTATAGTTCATGCTAGGTGTCATCTTCCTCCTTCAATATTCATGACAAGATAATCTAACAAAGACTTTGTTAAAATTCAGTTCACACTCATATTATCTTTTTCTTCGTATTTCATTGCAAAATTAATTCTTTGGACACTTTCTCATTGCAGGATTAAAATAATCTGTACAGGGTAAATGAGTTGGCAACAGGCACTCCATAAAAGTGTGGACTAACTTAGTACGTGCTTAGTTAGTACGCGCTACCGGAATACCACCCAATAATAAATTAAATTAAAAGAGAACCATGAAGAAATCCTTACAACTGTGCATTTATTTGGTGAAAAGCTGTCAGGGTATCCGAGTTAGAGGGGGCCGATATATGTTCTGTGTCTCCTCCCTCATCATCGTCACCATCATCATCATCCTTCTCGATGTCCGTACTCTCATCCATGTCCATCTCACTGTCATCGCTCGTTCTGATTCGTTCCTTTTTGTCATCACCATCGCTAAATGCTTTAAAGACAGACGAGTACACCGTCTTAACGACTTCAGAAAAGTGCATCGGAGTGCGATAGAAGAGAAGGGCCTTCACGAGGACATCAAAGCGCTCCTCGAGTGACCGGCCCCCATTGGGGAGGACGCTGGCAAGCAGACTGAGGCTGTTAGCATACGGAACGATTGAGGAGTGGAGGATGTTTATTCCACGGGTGAGGCAATCCAGGCATATCGTTGACGATGATGTGTCGTCAATCTTGAAGGTGGACCAGAAATTTGGCGCGATCCTGCTCTGCAGGTCTTGCTGGAAAGTCTCCATAAACCATTCTGTAACTAGGATCTCCAAACCCTGCTCGAGCAGATACTCGACTGCAGGCTTGAACCTTGTTAATCTGTCAATATGCTGCTCCTGTATATGAAACAAAAGTTCTTGTCAGTATAGGTTTACCAAATTTTCACTCATCAGGTTTTTAATAGTCTTTTATTTCTCGTCAGAACTTATAGAAGACAAGAAAAGAATGTGGTAAATGCATTTTTGTCTTCCTATTTTTGGAGAAATACGTAGCAATTATGATATTCAAGTCAACAGATAACAACAAGTTCAACAACAAATATTCCTACAAGGAAATGGACTTAATTCACATTATGATGATGAAATGTTCGACTATGATTCTACATCAAAAAAGTTAATTAAAAGTAAAAATTAGTGTCAATATTGAAAATCACTTCCCGGATTCCAATTCTTCATTTTCCATTAATTTTTTCTGCTAACCAACCTAGACCTAGTCTAAACAAAACAAAACAAAACCCAAAGTCCAAACTTGTTTCTTTTAAATTCGCACAACAATGATTGAAATTTGAATGATTTATTGTCCGAAATGTCAAATTTGCTCTTCTACTATTAAAATTTATCATTTCTCTTCAAAATTGGAAGACACAAAATCATATTTGATCATATTTGCGCATGTGCAATGACTCATGAGTTAACCTCTAGAACATAACCAACCCTGAAGAAGTGACCGAGGATTACAGGATCTACCTCTCCTCGTATCATGATGATGATGATGATGATGATGATCATTCATCGGTTTTTTTGTCAACGTTCAAGTTTTTCAAGTCCATCCCCACAATTAACACTCAACAGACCTTACCATTCCCAGCACGGGCCACCTCCCCGAAGGCAAGGGCGCGGGAAGTACAGTCGTGTCCCTTGTACCATATATGCCGGTGCGGAGCTAATGAGACGAATTTTAAGCCATTGTTTGATCACAAATCATAAGTTACCACACATAGATAATCGCTAATTAACACTTCAAGAGTAAATTTCATTTAATAATCTACGATAAAACAAAATATTATTGGTCTCACCTTTTGGAAAGTGTTGTCTGAGAGACATTTCGTGGCAATATCCCAAGCAAAGTTGATAGAAGTGCACTTTGCCATTTTCACACAATTCGAAATTGTGGCTCGCTCAATTAAATTAAACAATATGTTTAAAATATATGTATGACTTCATATATACCATTAGTTATTAGTTAACTGATAATATTTGATGCACTAAAATATTTTTACAAATTGCAATAGGTATTACCTATATGATATAAGAAAGACTTTTTAATTATATCGTCAATAAAAATGTTTCTAATTCATTTTATCCAATATGGCACCTTCCATGGAAGAGCAAATTGAGAGTGTCACCTCTTATAATTTGCGGCCTTTAGTCCTCCATGGATATATATTCCCGTTTGTATTCATATACATCGCTTGGTTGTACCTGTTAGTGATTGTCTATGGTGTCAATGATTACTTGGAAGCGGGATTGATTGTTTTAGCAGCCATAGGATGTGTCCAAATTTTGGTCTGCTTGTTCTGCCATTGGTCAATACACGTGAGATGTTCACTCACTTGCAGGAAGGTGAGTTGACGGGGACGCGGGGCCGGGGATCGGGCCCGTTGATGGGATGGGGTGGGATTGGATGGTGGGGAGGGGATGGGTGGGGAGGGGTTGAGGGGAGACAGAGGAAGATAACAACACAGATATGCGACATTGAGCCTGCGTCTTATCTTGTTTTGATGAGTTAAAAGTTAACAGACTTTTTTTCTGTCTCGGCCTCTGACCTTGACCTTGTCACTTTGAGTTGCGTGTGAAACAATAATTTGATTTTGATTATTTTTATCAGTAGGGGCACTGGTCCAAGAACGAGGATCTTCCTCCAAAATGAGGATATCCTCGTAAACGCGGACAAAATGCATCCTCAAATAGCCTACCTCCGATTTTTAAATTCAGGAGGTAATTAGGACTACAATTACAACAAAATTTATCAAAGCCACTGTCCAATATTGGTCGGGTGCGGGAAAGTGTGATTTTGGACACATTTTGGTTGTTGTTTACCTACCTCTCCGTGGGACCCTATGGGTGCCGTTTAAGGCTCCCTCGAATAATATCATAAAAAACATTTTGAGGGAGCCCTTAAGGCTAGTCTGTACATAGTCGATGTAAAAACTAAAATGCATCAAGAAAATCACAGTGGAATACGTTTTTTGCATCGCCAATGCAACGATCAAGTAGAGTAAAGTACCCGGTAATCGGTCAGCTCCGGTTTTCGGCCAATTGGTTGGATACATGGTAAAATCACTTTAAAATACATCGCATAATAGCATAACACATATCCCACACATACCATACCATGCCAGTGTCACTGAAGAACCACATTTGCAATGAAAAATATATCCTAAAATATCACATTTTAGCGATGTAATCGGCGGTCCCGCTACCCAAATCTGAAAAATCGAGTTTCTTACGCGTGTATGTAAGAAATATGGGTACCATAAAATGAGCTTTATTTCAAGTATTTTTCAGATATAGAGCCCGATTTTGTGCTGGTCGCAAGCTCAAAAGTATCTCATCGCATGTATTAAATCAATGCAGCCGCACACCGCGACGCACACACGATATGTCCGTCTAATTCAGATTCCAACTTCCGATCACCGCTGTGCCTGTATTCGGTCAGGCGAGCACCCGGGAGCTCCGGCGTGGGATACCTGCTCCGCCCGCGTGTGCTATACATCAGCGCAGAAACGCACGGCGCGCGCGAGCGCTTCCGATTGACTTTGTACATGCGGCCGTAAACTGAAACGCTCGGCCGATAACCGGCTCCAAAACAGTGAAAATTGAAATGAATATTGTCATGGCAATTCGTGATTTTTTTTGGGGATTCTTTTTTTGTTTAAATAATAATAATATTTGCTTCATGATTTGAACAAGAAATGATAATAAATAGGAAGTAAAGAGTCCAATAAATAGGATTTTGTCTTAAGTGGCCGAAAACCGGGTACTTTACTCTATGCTCGGAGCAGCGCCCCTACTGTTTATTTGAATGATGCAGGCCTTAAATTAATCGACGGCCATCGACGGCCAGGCCGTCGATGCCCCTATGACTGGCCGTGGTGCCCTCCCTAAAAAAGATAAATTCACGGCCAAAAAGGCCGTGCCCTTTTTTTCAAACTGGCCGACGTGCCTTTTTATCCAACTGGACGTGCCCCTTTTTCGAAATTTGCGCTCATAAAACTACCAATTGCGCCCATAATCATCTAAAACTAGACGGCAAGGCGCAAGTGTTTTCCGTGAAAATGCGCCCATAAATTATTAGAAGAAATCACGAACAGTTTGCTGCCCAATCTCCGTGTAAAATTGTGTACACAAAAAATTGGTTGTAAAAAAAAAATTGAACCATATTCCATACCTTACCTGGCCATGTCGCACGCAAGTATGCCAAAACACGTACATTTTCACAGTTGCGAGATCGAGTAGGGGTCGAGTTTTTCGCGGTCGATTTTGTTTTGGTGGATCATATCATATTAGCTGAACCCAGACCAGTAATAGCGAAACTGAAATCAATTTCCATCATGATTGCCGCAATTTTATAAAGTTTCCATGATAGAGGTATGAAATTAAAGCCTATTTTGTGATTATTTTCCAACATCGCCATGTTTACGTAATTTTGATAATCATTTCTTTAAAGTAAAGAAAATCAGACAAAATCACCGTGACTGACGCTGCGCTGCAGTTAACTCCAGGAGGCTCCACCACCGGCACCGCAGGCGCACGCCTGTGGCGCCGCCGGTGTTGGAGCTTCCTGGAGTTACGCTGTGCGCTGTGCAGTGTGTGAGTTGAGCTGACCTACATGTAGCTGAGCTCGAATCAAAGAGTTTTGGCACTTTGAAATTGTTGGTTTGCATCATCATTGCCGCGATTTCAATATAGTTTCATGAATAGATGTACGAAACCTGAGCTTAGAATTAGTAAAAGTATTACTAATGTCTAAGTTTTTAAACGAATGTCTGATTTTCTTGTGAAAATTTTACTTTGAAAAATGATTATCGAAATTCATGGCCAGAAATAATCACAATCTAGGGTCTAGCTATTATGTCATAGTTCTTGCATCAAATCAATGCATGAAAACTTAGTTATTGAACTAGAAAAAGGGGTTTCTTTTTTAATAGGCAAATTTATGAAGCAGGAAGCCCGAAACCTTGGCCTACTAAACAAATCCCGACAAACTGTAGACCCCCTAGGTTTATCCTTTTATGAATTAATGAAAAAGTAGCCCCAGAAAAAAGAGCCCCCGAAAGTTGAAAAAGTAGCCCCAGAAAATTTCCAAAAATTTGAAATGGAGCCCCCGAAATGAAAAACTTATTTTTTTCCCTGGGTTGGTTAACACAACAATCAAAAAGATAATTTCTTCAAATTTGCTCCTACTACCAGCTACCGAGAGTGTGGCGGAAGGTTTGTGTGTGAGGTGCGATTTTGATTCGGGATACCCGGTAAACTTGCCAAGTCCTTCTGACTCGGTTCGATGTTTGTGAAATTTACAATTTATTTATTCATTTGCTCATCAATATTTTTAGTTACCTTAAAATATGCAAGTTTGATGTTCTTAATTAATCTTTCCTGTTGATTTTGTTGAGCTTAAAAAGTTATTAAATTGATCGTTCTATTCACATTATGAAATTAACATTGTATCTTTGAACTTATAATTAGATCAGGGGCCTAGTCTATCTGTTTTTGGAAAATTGCCCCTTGCTCTGGTAAATTCGCGTGGGCAAGGGGCAACTTTAGAAAAATAATTGCCCCTTGCTCCTGGCTGCTTAATCTAAGGCTTGCGGGGGCTGCCGCCGTTGTTTGTATGTACCGTAGACCTCTATACATTCTGTGAAGAAGCTGGTGCTAAAAGTCATGGGAAATTGATCCCGCACAAGTTTCATAATAAAATATACATGACATCTAACAAAAATAGAATCAATTTTTTTTTGGCCTCGATGCCCTTTTTGTAAAAATATTTTGGCCTTGGTGCCCTTTGTAGTGGCCTTGGTGCCCTTAAAAATATGAGGTACTTTAAGGCCAAACTGGCCTTGCCCTAAAAATGATGAAATTTAAGGCCTGATGATGATCTTTGTCTTTAATTCATTGTCTTTTTTTGTAATTTTAAATGTTGATTTTAATCATTGCAACTTTGGAAGAAAGATTTTACTTTTTAGGAAACATTTCAACTTAACGTTATATTTGTTTTCATTTTGTCGCAGGGGACCAAACATGATTTAATGAAATGGAATGAATGTATTCAAATATTTTTGGAACTGCACATAAAATTGCAGATGCATGTAACAATTGTGAGATTTTTATGCTGCACAGTGATAAAATATGTATTTTCCCATTTGATATAGGAATGTAGTCTGATTTTAGACCATTTTTTTTAACAACACACTTTTCTGCAAGATAACTCTGGTACTCTTTAACATTAATTAATGAATGACCTTTCAATTCTATTCTTTTTTCTTCTTTTCCTGCAGGAATCCAATCCCTTTGACGCAGACTGGGTAAAGGTTGTCCCTACAGCCAACAATGGCTATCCGGAACTGGTCCAGCTCCACACGGAGATTGTAAGTAATTCTGATGACCCCTGACCCCTGGCCTCAAGGTCAAGTGCACTCAATGCTGCATAGTCCTGTGTATGCAAGATCTTCACTATAAACCAGAAAAGGGTGAACCTGACCATGCACAGAATCAATCTTTATTTATATTATTGGATAAGAAATGATTTATATCTCCTTTTACAAACATTAATTGATGGACTAGATTTCATATATTGAAACTAGCCTGCAAAACATTCTCTTTGCATTCCTCTTGAACCACCTCCCCCGTTGGTCTTCCCGTAGCACCCGACCACTGAGAAGCGAGATCTGTGGTTGTAAAGTGAAATTTACTCAAATCCCTGTTTAATCAAAATGTGTTCAATTTATGACAACTGTCGAAGAATTTGTGTCACAGAAGGGTTTAGTTCTCCTCAAACATTCAAACAAGCCTTCCAAACAGAATCAAACAGATTCACAATATTTACAAGTAATCATAAATGATTACAAGAAAGCAGTACAACGTAGATCAAAACTTGAAACGTCACGAAAAGTAAATTTACATTCAGAAGTTTTCATTCTTCTTGAACTACTTTACCCGTTGGTCTATCCACAGATCCCAAGTACAGAGAAGCGAAATCTGTGGTTCATGTTCCAAAAGGCCAAGTACGTCTACGATGCGGAGGAGAAGAAGCGGTTCCAGGCGGTGGAGTTCCCGGTCAGCCACGCCCTGAAGACGTACCAGTCGTGGAAGGGATACCAGGATGACAGCGAGGTTGCCGAGACGAAGAAGAAGTTTGGAGACAATCAGTGAGTGATTTGATTGATATAATGTTTCAGAAGGAAAATACGTAAATGGAAAATGGTGCAGTTATGTTTGTTGTCACTTAAGATTTATTATTGTGGGAGAATGATGTATGTGGACAAAATAAATTCATTGTCAAGCATTTGTTGAGCTATTAACAAAAAAATAATGTCTTGTCAACTGCTCTATACAATTCAAAGGCCTATAACACTCATACAAGAGGTCCTAGGTTTATTTGTGCTATGTGCTCCACTCCTTGAATAGAGCGTCTCATCTTTCACCGAATGCAAAATCTTGTTCCATTGCACGAATAAAGGCCATTCACTATTTGTGTTATACAACACCTCGGACGTTAATGGGCTTAAAACAGTTTTTCTGGGCCTAAATCTCAGTGATTTTTTTTGTTTGTTTTTAATTCATGAAATTGCCGATAGTGAGCGCGCACTATTAAGCAGGCGGCAAACCATGCGCATGGTGCCGCGCGTACAAAGATTTATGTTTATTTTGCCGCGGAGTGCAATTTCATTTGATCCTTTCGCACCATTGCACTCTGACGTCACTTAGCTCACAATATACTTTGTACGTCGTTAGTGACGTCAGAGTGCAATGGTGCGAAAGGATCAAACGGAATTGCACGGCTGGAGAATGATGCCGTTCAATGGTACTTTTAGCGCATGTCATGTGATCAAGAATTGACCAATGAGGTTGCAAGAATCTTAGTAGGCATTGTATAAAACACAATATGAGTACGGTTAATATTAAACATCCCTTGACATGTACATTGTATATCCACTGATTGATTTAATCAATGTAATATTATTTAATGTAAAGTAACAAAATAATGTGTCTCGTTCATATACAGGGTGGCAATGGACCCTCCAGAGTTCAAAGAACTTTTCTTGGAGAGAGCCACAGCACCTTTCTTTGTATTTCAAGTTTTCTGTGTGGCCCTCTGGTGCCTTGATGAATATTGGTATTACAGGTAAGCTAAAATAAAGTTGTCCCTTGTTCTTTCTATCACTCTGTCTGTACATATTTCCCCCTCTCTCTCTCCCTTTCTCTCTCTCTCTCTCCCCTCTTTTCTCTTTGTTCTCTTTATCTTTCTCACTCTCTTTTCCCATCACTCTCTCTCTCTCTCTCTCTCTCTCTATCCTCCCTCTCTCTTGTTTCTCTCTATCTTTTTATCCTTTTTCTGTCTCAGTCTTTGACTTTCTTTTAATTTCTCTCTTTTCTCTCCCTTGTTGTCTGTATTTAGTCCTCTTATTTTCCTTTTCTCCCAGCTCCCAGCTCCCTTCTCCCCATCCCCCCTTCTCTGTCTCTCTTTGTCTCTTTATTTCTCTTTCTCTTTATCTCTCTGTCTCTCTGTCTCTCTCTCTTTCTCTCTCTCTCTCTATAATGTTATGTCTGTACATTCCCTGTTCCATCGTAAATCGTTTCTGTTTTTCCATCTCTACTACATGCCTACCCTTCCTCCTTCCCTCATCTCAATGTGAAAACGTACCAATTTGATACAGCTAACTGCAGTTCTGACACCCCTTCTTCATCTAATCTATTATTCTTTCCATCTTATCTGTACCTCTGCATTCCTTTTACCTCAATTTTAATGTATCTTTTTACCCTTACTCCCTCCTATTCACAAGATGAGAAGTTTTGTGATCTTGATTCTTTGTAACTAGTTATTTTTGTTGGAAAAGCATATTTTTGAAAAACATGTTTTTTTTTTCTAGTGTCTTCACGTTGTTCATGCTGGTGACCTTTGAGGCAACTCTGGTTCATCAACAGCTCCGCAACCTGACAGAAATCAGGAAAATGGGAAACAAGCCTTACATGATACAGGTAAGATATTCAGCATGTAATATATTTCTAATAATGTGAACATAGAGTATTATAGATAATGCAAAAGTGAGATCCAAAACAAGAATCAAATCCCTATTCAGACATGATGCTGTGAACTCCTTCAAAACCTGCAGCAGCAAATGCTTGCTTCTAAATACTACCGTAATTAACATTGTATAAACCGCCCTCGTGTATTATTTGTTTTTTGTTTTGTTTTTTTGCCTACTCTGTTGGCAGCAAGCCAGTTAGGTCCGTGTTAAAAAACCCACGCGGGAAGGCCTTTCATTTAACTTCGAGGTGCAGTTGAATGTGTAAGATCATTAGTGTAAATTAAAAAACAGTAGAGCACCTAGGATAGAACCTTGTAGTATGCCGTGTGTAGGAATTATTTTTTATAAACTACATATTGAGATCTATCAGAAAGATTACTTTCAAACCAAGATGACATACAAATTTGAGTGTTATTCTAGTTTCCGAGTGGTAATACACCTTTAATTACGGTAGTTTCTATTTAGTCTACTGCCACATGTTTGACTGAGCCTAAAATATGTGCATTGTCAGTAGGTACATTTTTGAGATATCAATGGAAAACTTGTGTTCTACATCATATCTGTTGCACCTTTGCTGATCCACCACTTTTCTTTCTTACCCCACCCCCGCCCCCAGGTGTATCGTAACCGCAAGTGGCGCCCCATCTTCAGCAGTGACCTGGTCCCAGGGGACATCTGCTCCATCACCCGGTCTCAGAACGACAACCCTGTCCCTTGCGACCTTCTTCTTCTCAGGGGTCCCTGCATCGTGGACGAGTCCATGTTGACTGGAGAGTCTGTCCCACAAATGAAGGTACATCACATCAAAATAGTCTTTTTTATCTCAATATTCTTTCTCTAGGAAGGGGGCTAGGGAGATAATTAACTTATATAGTTGATAATTAACTTATATAGTTGAATCTTCACAAGTTTCTTTAGAGTTTCAGTGGATAGAATTGGAAACAGAAGATTTTCCACAATATCAAAGCTGTGGATGCAAAATAATGCCCCTACCTCCCTCTTAAACTATGTATTTTTTTCATTCCCCCGACAGGAGCCAGTAGAGGGTCTAGAAGGGGATCACATCCTGGACCTTCAGTTTGACACCAAGCTCCACGTTCTATCAGGAGGTACAAAGGTCGTACAGCACACCCCTCCCAACAAATCAGGTCCAGGACTCAAAGGTATGAAATCTGCAACCCCAATGAAATGGGATGTGAACTCTAAGCGATTTCATTAGCCCCTCACCCCCCCCCTTTTTATTGGGGGGGGGGGGAGGGGGGGGGAGGGGGGGGTGATGACATCTACATCTAGTTTCTACCTGTTCATATGAACTTGTACTTGAACATGAAATTTCTTATCCAATAATATATGAAATAACAATAAGTGTGAACAGTTTTATATAATAACATAAAAAGAACCAGAAAATAGCACGAATGCTAATCGAGCCTTGTACCTTTGAACACAAATCACTGTTTGGGTACATAGAATAAATTTGAAATCAAAATTACAAACAGAACTATAATACAATTGTATAATTGATATAGTTTTTTGACTATTTGTGCACTGTAGTTGACAGAAGTGTTCACATTTCTGTTAATTTGAATGTGATGACTGAGAAAAAAAACTTATAGATATTATTTTGTTAAAGTAAGTGAACTCAGGGATAATTTCATATGAATCCATTCATTAGAAGCAAAAGATGTTACATACAAATCAGATATATCAAATGGAGATAAAGAAGGCATTTTTAATCTTTTTAATGTGTATTTATTATCCAAACACTTACAAAACATCAACAATCTCAATTGCTAATGAGATTGCATAACAAATTAACAGTATAGCATTTTTAACTTCTTATGTTCACTGTTTTAGTATTTAGTGTACAATGTTGAGTTTGGTATAGTGATTGTATGTGAAGAGAATTACAGTATAATTCTTGTTGATAAGGAGTCTGATAAGAAGGATTTAGAGAGATTGCTAATCCCCATCTTCAATAGAATCTATTTTGTTTATTTATCTTTCCATTCCAGCTACTGATAATGGCTGCATAGCATACGTATTGAGAACTGGCTTTAACACCTCACAAGTAAGTCAAACAGTGTTGTATGTGTACAGAATATGTGTGTATTTTGGCAGTTCAGCAGAAGTCATGAATATTTACGTGAGGGCATATGACATGAATATACGATTCTTGTCTGTTTCAATATTTTTGATCAGAAATGGAATAATCGTTTAAAAGAAAGGAAATGTTTATTCAAAGCTGGCCAATTTTATTCTACTGGGAGTATGAACCATGGGTTTTGAGAGACCTTTGTTACATCTATAATAGTTTTTAAGTTCTAAGAGGAATGCCTTTGAAAGCCCTTAAAGGTAAAGACCAGTGTTGGAAACGCCCCAATTTCAAAAAATGAAATGGAAGCTCTCATTACCAATCATGTGAAAGAATATGTTTTGACTAATACATGATGATAAAAAATTTGCCGGGAAACCGCCTACTAATTCATATATTTGGTAAATTTGTTTCTCTCATGGTCTGTGAGAGATATAGGGTAGTCCCATATACATCTTTCTGTGTATAGTGCTTGTAACTTTACGAAGAATGGGCCAAATTTCTAATCATTTTGATGATTCCAGAACCTTGCAGATGCTAGATGCTAGATGATCAACCTTTTCTGATCGATTTCACAACGTTTCTTTCACAATGCAATCGCATGACCATAACTGGTCTTTACCTTTAACGGTTCAGAATCATGTAATTGAACTGTAGATGACAATAGTTGTAACCACTTGTATTGCCCATGCCAGAACCCTACACAGAAGCTGCATTTACACTGCAAGCAAAACTTGTTGAGTTTTCTCACATTTTGGTGTTTCATTGCTAAGCAACTACCAGTAAACAACAAAAAACTTAAATCACAAAACCCACTACTGGAAGGTGGTTTTTTGAAGTAGTGTAAATGGCAGTCCGAAAGAAAAACAATGGTTTCTCAAAATGGTCTTTGGGCTATGTAAATGGGCCTTTTCTTTTATTATTATTATTTTTTTTAGTAGTAGTAGTAGTAGTAGTAGTAGTAGTATAGTATTGTTATTATTATTATTAGTAGTAGTAGTAGTAGTAGTAGTAGTAGTATTAGTATTAGTATTAGTATTATTGTTACTATGATTATAATTTCTATTGTCATTATTTTTTCTTTTCTTCTTCTGTCTTTGTTGTTGTATTATATTAAACTTGTTAGTATGATATTGTAAATTCAGTAAATATTATTGATTTTTCTCCCAAGGGTAAATTGCTGAGCACCATCCTGTATGGAGTGAAGCGGGTGACGGCCAATAATCTAGAAACATTCCTCTTCATCCTCTTCCTTCTCATCTTCGCCATTGCTGCTGCTTCATACGTCTGGATAGAAGGTCAGAAAATACTCCTGTAACTACACCTTAAAGCCCTACTGTACTACTTGTAGTCACTTGCGCCCTCTATATGGCCAACAATCGTTGCCTGTTGGTCCCCCATGATCCCCTTTTTCTTATGTTAATTGAGAGCTGATTTAATGAGATAACCACCTGTCAGTGACCATGCAGGGAGGTCTAATCCCTCCTGGCCAAACTAGTACAGACGGGCTTTAATAGACTCAAGATGGGGCCTTTTCAATTTGTGATTCGGTATACACCCAAGAAGGTGAAATTAAAGAGATACAGGGAAACGTACAACATGTAAAGACCACTTAAGGGATACAAGGAAAGTGGTCTTTATAGGCAGGTGGTCTTTATGTACAGGTTTCTTTGGCAGATGTTTCAATGAGAAACCATTTTCAAAGGAAACACATAAAGTGGATACCAAAGACAGGTTGCCTTTCTAGACAGGTTTGCAACACATTTCCATCTAGAGAGAGAGATAATATAAGTTACCACTATAGACAGATGGCCTTTATAGAGAGGTGGCCACTAAAGCAGGTTTGACTGGACTTGATTCTGATTGAAACTCGGATTTCGTTTGAGTCTCATATTTGTGTATGTTCATGTTATATGCTGAATGTTTGATTGTGGGGTGACTATAGAAATAGAGTGAAGTTAAAAAATAACAACAACCATTCTGAAAAAATAGTTTGATTTTCATATTGTTACAAATTAGCCTTTCCTTCTTGTCACCATATATGATTTATCTTACCAAATAATTTGAGAATAGTTGTAAGAAATTTATCAAAAGTAGGCACAAAGAAACATCATTACATTAGATTGAAGTGTATGTTAGCATTGTAGAGTCAATGGATCAAAGGTGTCTCCATGAGATTTCACATGAATACATTCATACGATGGCATCTAATTTCAATTTTGATTTATTTAGGTTTTCAACAAAACATTACAAATCAATTATAAACATTTACAACAATTTAGGAATACATATTGGAAACAGAGGTGCCACTAAAAAGCAATGCTTGTACAAGTGTGGACTACAGGAGCTGTCCGTAACTCATTTCTTCTTCTTCCTCGTCCCTCTATCTCCATCTATCCTGCAGGCACCAAGGATCCCGATCGTAACAAGTACAAGCTCTTCCTGGAGTGCACCCTGATCCTCACTTCTGTCGTACCCCCGGAGCTCCCCATTGAGCTCTCCCTGGCCGTCAACTCATCGCTTCTGGCACTCACAAGACTAGGTAAGTTCCTTAAAGGAAAACTTCTCCAAGGCATCTAGTTGGTTTAATCATTGAAAAAGAAAGTTTGTCAGTTGTTTTGTGCAAAAATCGAAAGTGCTGAAAGTGAAATATAAAATCCTTTTTGTCTAGAGTTGTGTACTGTATTCAAATGTTTATCGATGTGCAAATTTTCATGCTAGTAATTAATAAGGCAGAGTTTTTATTGTTTAGATTTAAAGAGATGGTTGAGTTCTGGGGAGAGGTGAAAAATAATTTGTTAGCGTTATCATTGTTATTGTGCAAGTGGGGAGGAACATCAGAGAAAAAAAGTTTCTGAAAAGCATGGTTCTCTAAATATGACAAGATTTGTATGCCACATGTTTGTGTAGTCCCATAAACATCTTTCTGTGTACAGTGTTGTTACTTTTAATAACAAGACTGGGCCAAATATCTTATCATTTTGATGACTCCAGAACCTTGCAGTACACACCAATACTTATACTTATTCTTATATGCTACATGGTCAACTTTTTCTGATCGATTCCACACCGTTTCTTTCACAATGCACTCGCATGACCAGAACTCAACTTTATCTTTAAATGTCATGTCCTTTCTGCCTCTTAAACAGGTGTGTACTGCACAGAGCCGTTCCGTATCCCGTTTGCCGGCAAGGTCGATATCTGTTGCTTTGACAAGACTGGAACACTGACCAGTGATAACCTGGTGGTAGAGGGCGTCGCGGGTCTCCCGTAAGTATTTCAAATCTTCTCTCTGTTGATCAATTATTTTTTCTTCAGACATTAGATTTTATAGCTTTTCTACTAATAGAATGCATTTTATTCTTCTTCTTGTTAATTAGTTTGCCTTCCATCAGAAATGTCACTATTATGCATAAAAAATACCTTTTTGTATCAAATTAAGGGTAGTTATTTTCTGCTTATGGATTTTCAGTAGGGTGTCTCTTGCAATATGTTGGTTTACATTTAACATAGTTGATTTAGCTTACTTTGGGGGAAAAGGCATTCTGTGAAAATCTAAAAGATGGATACTTTTATTGTTCGCACTACTCTGACATTTTGCTTTCTTATGCATTCAATATGAAATCTGTCCGTTTGATATTGGTGGGTTTGAAAAATATACAAAACATATGCAGTGTGGATGCAACGTTTTGGCGCAGTGGGGTTTTTATTCTCCAAGTATTACTCCAGTGTACTTGAAGATTTCTGTTTTAATCAATAAACATGGTACAAGATGATGCCTTGGTTCGTTCAGATCTGGCATGTTTAAAACTGATGCAAACAAAAAAATGTGACAGTTTTTGCTAACGTGTAAAAGAATTGCAAAAATAAATATGCACAGCAGAGTTCCAACACGTATTCACCAAGCTCTGTGTTATAAGATACAAAACATGGAGTGTATTACACTTTACATCATTATAAACAAATTTTTAAAACGCCACGGTTTTGCTGCTTCATATCTGAACGGAGCTTTACAGGTACCTCTAGATTTTTATGTATAAGTAAAACCTAACGCTTTTTAAAATTTATGTTTTTCGTACCTGACAGGGGTAAAGAGAAGCTCTGTTCCATTACCGACGTACCCCTGGACACTGCCCAGGTGCTTGCTACCTGTCACTCTCTGGCCAAGCTGGACGACACCCTGGTGGGCGATCCACTGGAGAAGGCCACACTGACCGCTGTGGACTGGACACTGACCAAAGGTAAGACTCTGATGAAATGTACCAATCACTTGAAAATGCAATTTGTGTATAGGTATAGGATAAATTACTAGACCTGGGAGTGTTTCACAAAGACTAAGATCAACTCTAATTTGTACTTAACTATGGCAGGACATTCATGCCACTGATTGCCCTCATCATTGGTCTCTCATGGAACGTCACAAATCTACAGAATTCACATTTTTATTTATATTGACATTTTTTTAATCTAAAGATCATAATTTCTAAGGTTTTTTCCCACTAATTTTACATCTGGTTCAAGATTTTTTAAGGGCCTGCCAAAGCTCAAGTCCAACTTAAGTTGATCTTAGTCTTTGTGAAAGACCCCCATGGCATTCTATAAACTTGTCTGTTTTTAAATCTAAGAAATTTGATAGAAATTTGCGTTTGAACCCTTCTTCCAAGTACACATCTTATCAGTGGTTGATGGTAATACATAATCATACTCTGAGGGTATGTTTAAGATAAATAAGAACTACCACTTTGTGATATAGGTTACAAGGTTTCTTTGAGCTTAGCCATCTTTTATTATACCCGAAAGTCATATCATCCGCTGTCCGCAAGAAGAAAGTTTGTGCCGTTGTTATACAGTCAAACCTGTCTAAGGTGACCGCCAAAGGAATACACAAAAAGTAGTCTTCGTAGACAGATGGTCTTTGTAGAGAGGTTCCTTTAGTACATGTTTCAATGAGAAACCATTTTCAAGGGAAACAAAAAATGTGGTTGTTTTAGACAGGTGGTCGCTAAAGCAGGTTTGACTGTACTTCTCATTACAGTAACTCCTTCTTATAACTTCTCTCTGTAGGTGACGTCGTGATCCCCAATCGCATCCAGAGTCGGCCGCTGAAGATTGTCCAGCGGTTTCACTTCTCTAGTGCCCTCAAGAGGATGGCGGTCATCGCGTCCCTCCAGACCCCCGACTGGGAAGGCTCGGTGGACTGCACCTATCTGGCCTCGGTCAAGGGGGCACCAGAGACCCTTCGAGCCATGGTAAGGGAACGGTGGAAGGACTTATCTGACCCCTGGGGGGTGTTTCACATAGATCCTAAGTCAAACTTAACTATAATTTGGACTTAACAATTATGGAAAGCTATGTAAAGTTATTTTTAAAGGCATAAAACGTTGATTCAAATCATTCATATTTTCTTTTATCAAGGAGATTTCATGTTCTTGATGTGGAATTTATGAAAAGTCTAAAATACTTTTTGCTTCTGAATATATCTTATTTTAAGGCTACAAATGGCTCTCCATAATGTTTAAGTCTAACTTAGAGTTAAGTTCGACTTAGGAAGTTTGTGAAACACCCCCCCCCCCTGGTTTATGATGTGAATGTGAATACTATGGACATGTTTTATTGCAATATTTGTATAAGAGTAGGGGGAAACCCCGGGGTGTAGTGGTCCACCTGTACAGCCCCAATCAGTTATACCGAAAGGAGAGACCCGAGGGTTACAGTGATTCAGTTCACTTTCACCCTCCAGGCACAGGTGACGCCAAGTACTTAATGATTATAATAATAAATCTGCACATTACAGGCTTCATGGTATCAGAAGTTACCTCAGCTTTAGCAGAGGAGGCATATCAGGTGCTCTGTGCATTTAAGTTATATTGTCTGCTCAGAGCCTGAAGGGCATTCAATCTATTTCTGAAAGGAAACGAGCCAACACCCTCCAGGATCTCAGCAGATGATAACACCATGATCACATTCCCATGAGTTCTTATCAAGATTGATTCCTTTTAGTAGACATGAAAAGTATGAAATACTTTCTTATTATAGTGAATTAGAAGGATCTAGAAGAAGAGGACAAGGAAAAGATACAGTGAAGTTTATATATAAAGTCAAAGACCTTACTGGATGATCCCTCACTCATCTGTTGAGGTCACAGGATGTCATTCATCACAGGACCAACCAAACCAATACCTATATTAAATTAATTTATCATAAACACTGTCAAAGGAATTTTATGTATAATTCAATCATGTTACATGGTAATGACCATGTTCAAAAACCTTGTGTGTTAACCCTATACCTCAATGATATACATTTTTTCTTGATCACACTTTCTAGTTCACCGTTGTGCCTGATAACTATGACGAGGTTCACTCTCAGATGTCCAGACAAGGTGCCAGGGTTCTTGCCCTAGGACACAGGAAGCTTGGACACATGACTTCACAACAGGTGAGGCCTTAGAACCTGGATGAAGTCGCTCTTCTCGTTGCAGCTGTCATCGCCACATTGCCCCTGAATTTCAGACATGAAACCCCTATTATGCTTGTGTGATTATCTTAATGTCTGTTAGTGGAATTGCTCTTAGCTAGAAACTTAGCTAATGCCCTGTGGCTGCAAACCTGAATTTCTAAACTGAGGCCGTCCCATTAGGATCGACCCAAACAAACAATTCCGTTCTGACCAGAAAAGATGAATAGACCTATAATACATATGCTTATGTATTCTATATACATGTAATTTAATAACCATATCCTAATATGATTAGTAAAAAATGTTTTTGACCGATTTCAGCCCTAAACGCACAAATCTAGTTTTCAATAGGTGGAATTGTGACTCACTCACTTTGCATTCTGTACAGTATGCTAGAAATCAGTTTGCCCAGTTCCGGTGTACCCAGTTGTAAACTTAAAATATCATATAATCTTTTCCAACTTCTTTCCTTTCTGTCCATAGCTGCGTGACTTGTCTCGTGATGACGTCGAAAAAGACCTCAGTTTCGTTGGTTTTGTCATCATTTCCTGTCCTCTAAAATTTGATTCGAAAGCAGCCATCAAAGAGATCCAGCATGCATCTCACTATGTAAGCATTAAAGGGATCCGGTAACTTTGTCTTAGATTCTAAAACAAAATCCTGGATTTAGCTCATGCTACAATCATTATAAACCTTTAGGTCAGTCAGGAATCCCATGACTTTTACAAACCGATTGCCTGTCTTTTAAGATTGGAAATCGAAATAAAATTTTTCGTTTTCATTTTAGATTTAACATTGTTAAACGATGCCTTTAATCATTGGTAATCTTTATTCTCTTAACATGTTTGGTACCGCACCTTTTTTATTTGGCACATTTTCCAATGGGCCAATCCATAGTAAACTCAGACATTGTATTTGCTGGGTCAAAGATGATATGTAGTAGATTTCGTTCGTTCGTGTCTCCTTAGATCAAGATTACTGTAATCTTGATCTTCAGAGTAGTTGCTACAACCGGCCGTGTCAGACACGTTGCCCCGGGGTGCGAGATAGGACTCTTGTAGCGTGCCCCCATTTAAAACAATTATACAGTTACAGTTAACAATACATTTAATTAATAGTATGAAACTATTAAAATTACTCTCATGTTACGGGATAAAAAAGTAGATTAAAAAGTCTTATCCTGTGGTTGAATTGTGTCTAAATGTCTTTTAGCCCATTGAATGCTACTCCCTAAGAAAACTTGGGATGGAGTCAAGGAAAAGTCAGTGCTAAACCGATATTAAAACGCCTCCAACAGGTTGAAATTGTGACAGATCCCTAAGAAAGTTTAAGTTAATATTATCATCGTAAAAAGTATATAACTTTCTTTCTCTGATAATTTTTTTAAAATCATAATCTGTTTGGCAGATACATGTACTTTGTCAAAAACATGGTGGTATTTGCTATTTTTTTTGGCATTTATGTTTATTTAGGAAATTTTGTTAGTCGTAACATTTCGGATTGGTTTTGCTTTATGCCAGTACCTCCACAGTATGGAATAATTCCTGTTATATTCCTTTCTTGTGAAACACCAACATAAAACCTTGATTACCGAAGACAACCCTCTCAAGTAATGCTCTTAATAAAAACACAGGGTGGTATTTGCTTTAAATATGTTTTTTCAGGAAATCTTGTCAGTCATAATATTTTGGATTGGTTTTAGCTTCATGCCAGTACCTCCATAACATGGACTAATCCTGTTAAATTCCTTTCTTGTGGAACACCAACAGACAACCATGATTACCGGTGACAACCCTCTGACTGCCTGTCATGTCGCCAAGGAACTTCACTTCACCAAGAAACCACACACCCTCATCCTCAAGCCACCCGTTGAAAATGGTAAGTGCTCAAAGTTTCAGCTGCCCTGGTGGATATCATGTAATTCATCTATCTTTCCCTTTCATGAATTCACTACGTGTATTACTGTAATCGCAGAAATATTAGCGGTACATTAATTTTTCACGGATTTCGTGCTGAATTGCGTGCAGCACGAATTTAAGAACCTGCAATTATGTTTTTGGGTCGCTCAGTGTGAAAAATTAATCACCCGAAAATAACATTGTTTACAGTATTGTTATTGTATGTAATGTACATTTTAGGGTTATGTCATTTTAAGTTGAAAGGGATGGTCTTCAGTTTTCATGCGCAGAAGGCCATGATTTGCTTACACCAGACTTGGTGGAAAAACCATTAATGGTTGTACAAGTTTCAGCACTCAGCAAACCGGTGGTCCCGTCAAGAAATTCCCCCTCCCCCCTGTAGTCTCTTGGAGAGTCTTCAGGTAAGGGCAATGTAGGATAATGACTTTACTATATTGGGGGATGGGTGAAAAATGCAGAGTATTACATAAGGCCTGTTGGTCATAAAAATGAAAGCTGATCCTGGTGATTGACAACACCTGCTATTGGGGTTAACACCCAAATGTTGTTGAATTTTTGACCAATGAGTGATTCACACAAATTGCAAAAATAAAACCCAACGAAAAATACTGTTTATACAGTAAAAGAAACTTAGTCCAATTCTCCATTTTTGAACTTTATCCATTTGCCATTGAGAAAGCTTTCATTGAATATGAAGTCAGTTTAGTAATAAGAGGTCCATGCATACATGTATTTATGCATGCCTTCTCTGATGATTTATTTTCACCTTTCTTCAGAATCTGATGAATGGCATTGGCAGTCTATCGACGACACCGTGACGTATCCCATGATCCCCTCTCGGGAGGAAGAGCGCCTCCTATTGGCCAAAGATCTCTGTCTCACCGGAGAGGTAGGATTGTTTCACTATCTTTAACGACGACAAATATTTTTTGTTGATGACACCTCTAAACAATCTTTCTAGAAAGTCTTCCTTGCAGTATCATCATCATCTTCCAATTTCTATCAAGGTTGTAATTTTATTAGATGAAAAGATAAAAGTACTGTTTTTTTTTTTTAGAGAGTGTATGGGAAATAAAGGTTATTAGTAATTGATCTTCTGGTGACCACATGTTATAAACAGTTGTTTACTTCCCTTCACACTTTATATTAAGGTACGTATAGTTTTAATTCTGATGCAAGTATTATCTGTACATATTTGTATTTGCATTATCCATATTTGTCACTTGGTTAATTTCTTCTTCAGCGCATTTCAGTCCCAATGAAATTTACAATCAATGGTAACACTAATCAAAAAGATAAGTTTGGAACAATTTTTGTGAAGACTTCTACGTCTGGGAGAGCTTTCCAAAGTTTTGGGCCTTCACATGCCAGTGCTCTGTCGCCATAGGACTTTAATAGTTGCTCAGGGATTGATGGTAAGAAGGTGTTGTGAAGATTATTGTAGACATGTTGATGGGACGTAAGGTATAGACAGTTCTGAGATTGTGGACAGAATAGGAGTCTGTACCTTGATAGGATTCTGTTTTATATTGGTTGTGCTATGCACAAATAACTTCTGCTGGATCTCGAGACAGACGAAGCATGGTCAAAGCTTGCGTGAGATCGTGATATATTACCTGAATGTACATTACAAACACAAAATATTTTTGTTATTAATTATGGTGGTATAAATTTCTTCTCTCTCTTTCGTTTCAGGCCATCACCCATCTACAAACCACCAATTTACCTTTTCTGAACAGAATCTTACCCAAAGTAAAAGTGTTCGCTCGAGTAGCACCAAAACAAAAGGTGAGGTTTACCTATTTTAATTGTGCTGTGAATCCCTAAATGGATTTTTTTAATCAAAATTGATTGAATCTACTTTTTTATCGTGAATTTAGAAAACATACATCTCTATATTTATATTTCAATTCTCAAATCCGTGATTATTCTCATCAAGTTTTGATAGAATCATTGAAAATGTGTGGCTGTTTTTATGAAATACCATAACACTGTTTTCCAAGTCAAAATGTGAAATTGCTCCAACTTCTGTTGTTTAAAATTGCAGTACATAAAAGTGTTTCTGTGTTCTGTATATACTTTCATTCTGTTCGATTGTCCATGTTCGCCATGGCTTTGTTGTTTGAGTTCATGAGAATGCATAGCTGCCAACCATTTCTATTTTAGAGGACTGATTTCTACTTTTTGGCCCTCAAACTAATGTTATGGATCCTAGATTCCTTTCTTTTTCTGAAAACTTCTGTGTGAAGAGTATACAAAATGACGGTATTCCTAATTTTACCTTGAGGGATTCCTCATTTTAAATTTGAAAGGTTGGCAGGTATGAGAATGAGCATTATCAGTTGCCATAGTTTTGTGTATCTTTTATTTATTACATTTAATGAGTCGGCCTTCCTAACACACTGAAGCCTGTAGATCAGTAGATAATTTCAAGGCCAGTCTGAAACTTTCTAATGGCCAACTTTAACTAATATCATCTTTTTTTACCATGCATAATGTAATGAAAGCATAATTATTTCTAAATATAGTTTATATGTAGCTCATTGTAAGCGCCTCGAGTTGTAAGCACCTCTCTGTGGATATGTTGTGCATTATAAATGTCTTTATCATTTTTATTATTATGATTTTTATTGTTAATTTTTTTTTTTTACAGGAGTATGTGATTACCACATTGAAAAGTCTTGGATATACGACTCTTATGTGCGGAGACGGTACCAATGACGTGGGAGCTCTAAAGCATGCACATGTTGGTGAGTTTGATCAAGTTAATGACATAAAGGCATACAAATCGAACAGCCTTTTTCCTGTTTAAATACAGAAAACTTGAAATCATTAGACCCTTGCAATTCTTAATGGTCATTAGCTGGTATATAGTATTAAAGCTGTACCTACATGTTCATACATTTATGTAGTAATCACTGTGGACTTTTGGCATGACATTCTGAATTAAAACTAATCTGGAGCTATGGTATGGGAGTCATATTTTTAGAGAAAATTGCTATGATTTATTCTGGATTGTTTATCCTGCAGTAGATTGGTTGTTCAAACCAGTGAAATAAAACAAACGCACAAAACTTGCTTGGCATCATCTTCGATAAAAACCACAACTCCCACTTGCACATAGTGACCTGCGTTAAGCACATGGTGTCAGGCCTATTACCCGGATTTCCTTATATTTCTATGCTTATTACTCAGCCATTATACATTTTATACCGAAATTGTTTGGCACATGTCATTTATTGTAATCTTGAACATTTAGTGTAAATTTTGTTAGATTCTGTGAGAATTTGTTTTCTATATTTACCAGAACTCAAGTTTATGTTTAAAGTTGAACTGAAACAGAATCGTCATTTATCATATCATGCACTCAAAACTTTTTTCTCTATCCTTTTCTTTATTTCAGGTGTTGCTCTTCTTTCAAATGTTCCCGAGAGGTTTTTACGAGATAAGAAAAGGCCCAAAGAAGAGGTAAAGGAATTAAAGAAGAATTAATAAAGAATGATGAAAATGAATTTGAAGAAACCACTATCAATTGCCAATTGGTTAGAATATAACATGTACAGTATATTAAGTGGTCTAGGAGAATGACCATTGCAGTCAGTACATGGTTTCAAATCCGAGCCCTATGTTAAAGTTTTGTTACTGAATCTTAAACCTCTATTTTCTGCAGTAAATTTACTGGGTATTGATGTAAGAAATGAACCAATTGCAACGCCATCGAACCAGATTATTCATTTCTTCAATACTGCAAATTTAGTGTCTTTGTAGCATATTTATGTATTAAACTAATACATAAAGCTCATCCTTGATAACATTCACATGAGCAGTATTACAGTGAATTTCATCAGTAGCCACATTGATTATCACAATCTAAAGGTACATTGGGAATAACCTTATTACACCAAAAGATAGAAGACACATTGTGTTGTTATTAGTGGCATTGAGTTCCTTAACGAAAGCCAAAATGTCCTGTGTACTACGCAATGGCTCAGTGGTAGGGCAGTGGTCTCATAACCTGGAGGTTCCGGGTTCAAAACCAAGTCGAAACGCTAGTGCCGTTTGATAAGGCATTAATTCTCATAACCAAGTCCCTCATAGAGGACTTAAAGCCGTCGGTCCTCTGGTTGTTTATTTACAAGCATAAGCATATACATGCTTTCTTTGATAGCAGGCGGGTAACGAATCAAAATTAACATCATCAAACATTGGTTAGGAATATGGAGAGTGATAACAAAGCCAAGACATGTGGCAAAATTCTGCCTAAATATTCTTCTTTTTTTTCTTTTTTGAACCTCAGACAGGGGAGACCAGTGGGGAGAACAAACAACTCAAGAATTCTTCTGGCCCAGAGAGGATACCCTCCGCCCCCCATCACAGCGGGGGCCGGCATGGGGGCGGAGGGGGGCGAGCAGCCAGGCAGAGGGCCTTCGCTAAGGGAGAAGACCTCACTAGGGTACGTATGTACTGATTGGCTGTTGATAGTCATCCTGAGGTATTAAGCCATCGACTACCAAATTGTCATATTCTCCATAGGTTTAATACAGGTACCACCCGGTTCCAGGGGGCAATGGGTTTGCTCTTTTTATACAATACAAATCATCTCCCTGTGCAATATTGTATTAGTTCGTTCTGTCTCCTTAGATCAAGATTAATGTAAAGTTCCTAAATTAAATTAAATTAAATTAATTTCTTCCATCGCCTGATGGCTGCTATGGCTGTCTCATTCACAAGGGCCAGGTCTTCGCCTGTGCAACCCGTTCCGCTGCACTGCAAGATGTGGTCCATCATCTGATATTGTAGTTATCATGGGATAGATATCCCAAAGGCTTCAAGATTGTTTAACGATTCCTAGTGCAAAATCGATCTATACCGGTGTTAAAATGGTTGTCATGAAGGCAATCACAACAACCATATTGTATTTATCATGGAGTAGATATATCAAAGGCTTCAAGGTTGTTTACCGTTCCCAGTGCAAGATGAATCTATACGGGTTTGAAAAAAGGGTTGTGATGAACGTAATCATGACCCTTAGCGATATTGTATTTATTGTGGGACAATTCTAAAGGTTTCAAGATTATTTAACTGTTCCTAGTGTAAAATTAATCTATACCAGTGTTAAAAGGGTTGTCATGGAGCTAATCACGACCGGAAATCAGTATTTTTGAAAAGCCATGTTGTTTATACACAGAGCAATACTTCCATCAATCGATGTTTAATGTTTTGTGCAAGATTAGAGATTGTAAGTTTGGGATTGACAGGAAGAGCAATTTTTAATTTGGATCCATCAAATCTCTTTAATGTCAGATACAGTCAAACCTGCTTTAGTGACCACCTGTCTACAACAAGCACATTTTTTGTTTCCCTTGAAAATGGTTTCTCATTGAAACATGTACTAAAGGAACCTGTCTACAAAGACCACCTGTCTACAACAAGCACATATTTGTTTCCCTTGGGCAGTTGCTGTAGACAGGTTTGACTGTACAACAATTTATTAATCAGAAAATCTTTCTTTTACCTTCAACAGAAAAAGTTGAATACCATGATGAAGGAGATAGAGGAGCAGGATCAAGCTCAAGTAGTCAAGTTAGGAGATGCAAGTATAGCATCACCTTTCACCTCTAAGCTATCATCAGTGCAATGTGGTGAGTTCCTTTTTATATTAGCTCTCATATTCTAATTCTAATTGTTAATACTTTTTAATACTCAATACTCAATACTCAATACTCAATACTCAATACTCAATACTTAATTACAATTTTTCCAATGTTACAGTTGATTGAATTCAAGTATCTGTATACATTTTATTTGTTTATATGTCAACATTTATTAGTTTTTGCTAGCAATGTTTCATATCTTGTATTTTTTTTAAAATCTTTTTTTTGTTTTTTTGTTTTGTTACTACGTTAATGTTTTAACTAAAAAATGTATTCATTGTTATATATTTGTCCTCATTTGCTATGTTATCTTTATGTTTTTGAATGCTTTTTATATTGATGTAAACTTGCATTTTTAGTCTTCGGACTTGTTGACAAGTAATGAATAAAACCTTATTTGAACTTGAACTTGAACTTGAATATTCGTGTTGATCATGAGTCCAGAGACCCCTCAGAAATATGATTTTTCATGTTAAACTTTATCTAAAACTGTTATGTGTGCTATTCTGAACACAGTTATCTCTCTTAAATGTTTTACTTTCAAGATAAAGTCAGTTTGTATTTCTAAAACATGTTTGATCTTCTATCTATTTTTTTTATTTTTTTAAAATCAATCTCTATACCTTTTCTGTGCTTGTACAGTTTGACGAATGATCCATTCAGCCATAATGCTGACGTTCTGATTATCTTCTCGATAATGAGAAATAAGCTTTCAAACTAGGGTAAAAGCTAGCCGTACATGTATTTTATCTGTGGAAAAGCAGGATGGGCAGGATTTGTTATGACAAGTACACGATGTCTGTTGTTAGTCTTAAGAAGGGGAGAAATAAAAGCAGACCGAGTCTTAATATAATTTTTCTCATCTGTCTGATGTTAAGTAGAGGTGTTGTGGACTAGTGGATAAGTCACCCAAGTGCAGATCACAAGGTACGGGGTTCAAGTCCCACTGCGGCACTAATGTCCTTTGGCAAGACGTTAATCTACATTTGCCACTCTCCACCCAGGCGTAAATGGGTACCTGATGCTACCGGTGCTACATAAATAACCATATTATTATTTATTTCATGTTGGCTATTGCAATGAAAGAAGACTGAGTTCCTTTCTCCATCTATCCACAGTATGTCACATCATTAAGCAAGGCCGCTGTACGTTGGTCACCACTCTTCAAATGTTCAAGATTCTAGCGCTCAACGCCCTCATCCTAGCGTACAGTCAGAGCGTCCTCTATCTGGACGGCATCAAGTTCAGCGACGCCCAGGCCACGCTGCAAGGCCTCCTATTGGCTGGTTGTTTCCTCTTTATATCTAGGTCAAAGGTCAGTTATGATAATGAAATCGATAGAGATATTGATAATGAAAATAACTTTTTCAATCACCTTTCTATTTTCAAGTAACTAGGTTACTTAGTGAAATATAGAGGCACAAACATTTAAAATACATATTTAGTGAGAGACATTTGTAAATTATACGTTCTTTTTTGACATATCTGAATGAAAGTTTAGAATCCCAGAAAGTTTGAATCCCAGCCTGGCCCTAATAACCTTTGGCAAGACATTAATCCACATTTGCCACTCTCCACCCGGGTGTAAATGGGTACCTGGCAATTGCTGGGGTAATAATAATTGCAGAGCTTGGAGGAATAGCACTAATACTACTTATGTGGCTATACCCTGGGTAAATAAGACCCAATTTACTTCATGTATTTTGTTTGAGCTTTTGCTAATTTCTCAGCTATGATGCATATCCTATCTAATTTTATCGTACCACAAAAATATACATAACACACAAACCTACACATAACATTACCTTGCTATTGAATTGAGCTTGTGTGTACTGTGTATTATTTTATATGAATATGTATATACACTATATATAGTGTATAAAAAATTACCAGAAGAAAATAAATGTTACTTTGACAAGAAAAAAAGGATTCTATATCATATGTTAATCGTTTTCAGTTTTTCTCACCTGAAATGCTGACAGCCATCGAATCAACATAAATTTTGGGTGGTTTCAACACTTAGGTTACCCAAGTCACCTGAACTCTGAAAACCTTTAACACTGAAAGACACACAGGGACAAGATATCAATATGATAAACACTTACACTGATTTGTACACATGGGACCAGATATTATGTTTTCAACCCTATTCAATTGCTATGAAATTGCTTTATAGATTTCATCAGTTAATAAAGTAATTTATGTTTTGTTTTTTCTCACTTGTATCGTTACTGACAGCCATTGAAGGTTTTATCAAGGAGTCGCCCTCTACCAAACATCTTCAATGTGTATACCGTCCTGACGGTCATTTCTCAGTTTGCTGTCCATTTTATGGTCATGATGTACCTCGTACGGGAGGCAAAAGAAAGGTCGCCTCCCAGGTCAGTAATTAAAACCGATGACAAAAATTCAGGGCATAATTAGTTTGAGCAGGATGAGGTTCTCACAACTCCTGTTTGGACAACTTTAAACTAAGACATGAAAGACGCAAAGTAGTGGATTTTTGTAGGGATTTTAACACCATTCTGGTGTTTACCCAATAACAGGTGTTGTCAGACACCAAGAGTGGACTTCACTTTTACAACAAACAGGTCTTTTGTAATGCACTGTGCCCTAGCCTAATACCATGTAGAATTGTCATCATATATATCAAATTTTCCTGGCCCTCGAGATACAGGCAAGTTGGGAGTATTTCTCAGTGGGACCACGGGTTCCCTGCTTCAGAGACCTTTGCACACACAGTCACATTCGTTTGTAATTCAAACAAATCTGTGTCGGCGTATTATGATGCAATACACATGAACACTGACTACTTTATGGCTTTAACTCTGTGGAACGAGCAAAATCATCTTTGATGAAGGATGTTTGAAACACTGCAATGAGGAGTTTTTGGACAGTTGTTGTCCTAACAGGTATTTGCCTAAGGGGCATCTCTCATAACGATACATGCAGTTGTTGTACTTATAGGGGGTTAGTACTTTAGAATGGTTGTCCTAGGGGGTAAACTTGTTTCTTGGGGCTAGCTCTCTGTTGGATGATTGTCCTGGGCAGAGGAGGGGGAGGGGCCAGCAGGTCCTGGTTATTGATTGATTTGATTTCCATTCTAAATGTTTTGCAGGGAGTCAGAGTTTCCCGATCTAGAGAAGAAGTTTGAACCCAACCTGGTCAACAGCACAGTATATATTCTCTCTATGATGCTACAGATAAGCACATTTGCCGTAAACTACAAGGTAAGCTTACTACTTCTACTACAATCTTAGAGTCCTCTCTCTCTTCCCTCTGTCTAGCTGTCAATCTCTCATTCTCTCTTTCTCCCCCATCTCTGTCTGTATCTCTCTCTCTCTCTCTCTCTCTCTCTTCCCACTGTCTGGCTGTCTGTCTCTCTCTCTCTCTCTCTCTCTCTCTTCCCCACCCCCTCCCCCCTCTCTGTCTGTTTGTCCGTCTGTCTGTCGGTCTCTCTCTCTCTCTCTCTCTCACTCCCTCCCTCCCTCCCCCTCTCTCTCTCCCTCTCTCTCTAATGTATACCTTGTTTTCCACCCCCCTAGGGTCATCCATTCATGGAATCATTGAGGGACAACAAGCCTCTCCTATACAGTCTTGCATTCTCTACTCTATCTATCTCTCTTCCCTCTCTCTGTCTGTATGTGTGTGTGTGTGTGTGTGTGTGCGTGTGTGGGTGTCTCTCTCTCTCTCTCTCTCTTGCATCCTAACCTATATATCTTGTTTTCCAACCCCTCTAGGGTCATCCATTCATGGAGTCGTTGAGGGACAACAAGCCACTCCTATACAGTCTTGCATTCTCTACCATATCCGTTTTCATCCTCATCTCTGGAGTCCTCCCTGACATCTCCGACCAGTTTGAAATCGTAGAATTCACGGCCGATGTAAGTTAAGTTCATTCTATACCAACTCTATTTTTTATTGGGTCCATGCTGTTTGGAATCTCTTGCATAAAAGTTGCGTTTAAATCCAATTGTGGTCTAGTGGATAAGTCACTGGAATGCAGATCACAAGGTACAGGGTTCAAATCCCAGCCCAGCACTAATATCCTTTTGGCAAGACGTTGAGTTACATCTGCCACTCTCCACCCAGGTGTTAAATGTGTACCCGGTAGGATGCGAACATTGATGTCGCTTGCTTAGCATTGTGAGCGTCTGTAAAGTGGCGCTTGGCTAGAATGCCCCTCCCCTTGGGAGTGGAGAATGTGCATACATTATGTGCAGGCAAGCCGATGATCGGGGTAACAAAATGTATCTGTAAAGCACTTGAAGACATCGTCGATGTATTAAGCGCTATATAAACACAGAATATTATTATTATCATTATTAACTCCAAAAATCAATCACAAGTTCTAAATGCGAGATCCTGATTGTTTAAAAATGTAGTTAGGATAATATTTTGAAAGCTGTGTTTATAAAATAAAGCTCATTATTCAAGAGAGGCCAGTTGTGGAACCAGAAATATGATGAAAAAACATTCCAGATTTACATTTCTGGAGCATTACAAAGAAATGGTATGGAAATGCCAAATGCCGTTTGGCATAAGAAATGGATATTAACGTGCGTAAGACAATGTACAACACTTTTAGAGGGAAAAAAATTCAATAAAACTTTTAATTCAGGATTTCTCTTGTGGCCATAGATGTGCAAGAAAAATTCATGCTCAGCCCTACTTTAACACAAAATCTTTCTTCTCTATCACTTACAATAAGATGCTGGGTGAATTTAATTAGACATTTATAACTATCAAATGGTTAGGGTTTTTTAAATCTTTAGTAGTCTGTTGCTGAATAATTGTCTGTTCAGTGTGTTTGTCAATGGTATGGCTAAAGTACAGGTTTTATTACTCCTGTTTTCTCTTTTCTTCTCCAGTACCGTTTGCTGGTGTTCCAGGTTCTAGTAGGAGACATGGTTTCTGCATTCATCATTGACAGGACCCTCCAATTCCTTTTGGGAGCAGCGAAATTAAGAGGAGCACATTAATCCTGCATCATAAAACTGTCATGTATTGTTATGGCTGGGACTACACAGACTGTAGGGCCTCAAATTATTCACTGTGTGGATATTGGTGATGTCGTGAAGCAATGCAAAGATATTTTCATATGCAACAAGTGAATGTCAAAACTCAAATAGCAAATAGCAAATATATATGAATTGATTTGATATGATTTGATAGATAACATCTATTGTGAAATTTTAGGGAAATTCTTTGTGGTGATACTTTTGTACTTGACAAATTCAACCATCATTTGATCACATTTTAAAATCAAGTACAGGGGACCTGTATATAAAGACCACTTAAGGGAGAAAAGGAAAGAGGTATTTATGAGCAGGTGATCGTTATGTGCAGATTTGTTTAGATATGTGGTCTTCCTTTTATAGTGGTCTTTATGTGCAGGTTCCTTCGATACAGGTTTCAATGAAAAATTCTATTGAGCGGAAACAAAACTGATCTTTCTATACAGGTGATTGCTAAAACAAGTTTGACTCTATGCCATTGCATTATCCATCCTTAGATGATGATGATAAATTACTAGATCCACTTTTTTTAAATATGCTCAACGTGATGTTGTTCAATTTTAAAGTCAATTTAATTTTCTAAATATCTGTGTTAGAAACATATTTATACTTTCTATAGGGAGCTTTATGTCTGCACTTCTGTGTTTGAATCAAATTGAAATGAAGATCTGAAATTCATTCCTAAAAAGCAACTTACAGTTTGGCAGAAAATCTTGCTAAAAACTGATATGATAGCAAGGTCACTCTGTCGGTGTGGTTTACAGCCCTGTATTGCGCAATATACGGTAATATTTGTCATATCTATGAGTGATATTAGAATTTCAGACCAAAAAAAATGATTGATAATTTTCTCATGCATCAATCTACATATTTATTTGCCTTGCCAACGGAAGACAATTTTAGACAATGACTCTTTGACATAGGGTGATTAGGAAATAGTGAAAATTAGTGTAGTGTAAATGATGTCTTAATGTCTCAAGATTTAGAATCAGTTTGTCGGATTGGAGTGGTTTACATATTTAAAAGGAGAAAGAAAGGTTGGTGATGGTCACCAATATTCATTAGGTCTTTAAGTTTCTTAGAGCTTGATTAATTAGCTTTGATTTTTTTTCTGCTGTATTCATTCACAATTCAGGGTACGCTGTATGGGATACATGTTAATCGATGTCTAATAGACCACTTTACTGACATATCCAAATTCTATACATATATCTTAAAGACACTCGGTAGTTTTCCACCCATTCCCCCACATGGTAAAGTCATTATCTCACTTTTCCCTCACCTGGAGAACTCCGAGAGACGAGGGGGTATTCCTCAAATGGCCTACGGGTCCGCTATGTGTAGACCTAATACCTGTACACACGTTAATGATTTTTATCCACCAAGTCTGGTGTCGGCGAATTATGGCCTTCTGCACATGGAAACTGACGAGTGACTCCCTTTAAAGTAAGGTTGTTCTTTACAACCGGTAAGCTTACCCCGGCCTTGCCTGACATCGCAACAAGTACTATGCAGACTGTATTCCAAGTATTGTGGTTCATTCATTAATGGAATACCTCTTCACTAGGTCCCCAGGAAAGAGACATCCATAAATTTAAACATGTTAGTAAAATAGTCTATTATAAAGTGGAGATGTATGTTTGTTTACAGCAAGAAGGGCGTTACGGTAACTCTGTGTAAAGGATATTACTTAATGCCCTTCTGGCTCCGAACAGAGTTGACAAGATACCTCTAGCTAGTTCCAGGACTGTTTTAATCACGGCTCCTGCTCTGTATGTGCTAGGTGGCCCAAAATGGGTAACGGTACTTGCAATAAGGGTCATGAGGTTCATATTTATTGTCCATTTCACAATGGAAATTTGTGTTTTTTACATGGTATATGAATACACAAATAGACATATACAATCATACAAAAAGAGGAATTGAATAGAATAGTTTTGAGTTGACAGAAAACAAAATCAAAATTTCGATTTGGGTCTATTTTCATTTGAGTTTGGCTTCTTTCACATCTTTTCTGCAAATACGGGCTTGTTTTTACTCAAGCCATGGGTGTTCTGTTTCGTGTTTGTGCAAACACGCAAGTAAAAGTAGATTATCTGATTTTTCGGGAGAGAAAAGGTAATTTAAAAACAATGATTATAAGGCACTTTAATATTAAGCATTCAAGATATACAATGTTTATGTCTGGCTTTGTATTCTACGGGTTTATGTTACTTATTGTCCAGGTTTATAGCTTTCTATGTCCCTCACAGTATTTGTCTATCTTTCCGTCTTTTTTTCTCTCCTTCTCTTTCAAATTTTGTAGATGTGATTGTTGAAAAGCATTATTGCTTTCAAACATATGATATTGAATCATGCATTTTAATGTTGAAATCTAATCTTATTTGTAGTAAATCATTCCACATGCATGTATATAGAGTATTCTTAGATTTAGTCTTTATTTCTCGACAGGTTATTGCTTGTGTGTGATCAGTATTTTGGGCGAGACACTTTAATTGGTTGCCAATTTGTGGTTGCCAGTTTGAACACCACTCACTATTAGCATTTTAAATTCAAATTAAATCTGTATTATTGTTAGTGCTTAGATTTAAACGTCAGTTTGGCAATATGCTAGATTCTTGTCTAGTAATATTATGAATAATATATACTTGGAACATATGCCAACTGAAATATTTCTGAACAAGTATGAATAGGATATGGAATGATTTGGTTGAATGGTTATTACTGTTACAGGCTCGTGCACTAAAACTTATTAATCTTGACTGTTCTAATATTCTCACCGATATACTTGTATGTGCAGATTCATTAAACGTTGCTAATGCCAACAAAATTTGCATCTATTTGGTATCATTTTTATTTGTGCAGGTATCTGTTGTAACAGGTAGCATTTTGTTCTTCTTTTCTTTCACTCATGCTTTCTGTCTTCTCTCTCTCTTCATTTCTCTTCATATTTTTCTCTCACTCTTCAGCCATCAATTTTTGTATTTCTCTTTTATTTTTTTTCTCTTGACCTTGCATGTTTTGTATATACATGCATTCTTCTTTCCCCTTTTTATATTCCCCTCTCTCTCTCTCTCTCTCTCTCTCCTCCCTTTCTCTCATTCACCCTCTTACTCTTTCTCCTTCTCTCTATCTCTTTATTCCTCTCCCTCTCTACATGTATATCTCTTCCCTTTATCTAATTCTCCCCCTACTCTGTTCATAACGTTTTATATTCCCCTCTCTCTTTCTCTTCCTCCCCTTCTCTCTCTCTTCCTCTCTCTCATTCACCCTCTTACTCTTTCTCCTTCTCCCTATCTCTTTATTCCTCTCCCTCTCTACGTGTATATCTCTTCCCTTTATCTAATTCTCCCCCTACTCTGTTCATAACATTTTATATTCCCCTCTCTTTCTCTTCCTCCCCTTCTCTCTCTCTTCCTCTTACTCTTTCTCCTTCTCTCTATCTCTTTATTCCTCTCCCTCTCTACGACTCTACGTGTATATCTCTTCCCTTAATCTAATTCTCCCCCTACTCTGTTCATAACGTTTTATATTCCCCTCTTTCTCTTCCTCCCCTTCTCTCTCTCTTCCTCTCTCCCTTTCACCCTCTCCCCCCTTTCTCCTCTCCATCTCTTTATTCCTCTCCCTCTCTACGTGTTTATCTCTTCCCCTTATCCAATTCTCCCCCTACTCTGTTCATAACGTTTTATATTCCCCTCTCTCTTTCTCTTTCTTCTCTGCTCTCTCTCTCTTCCTCTCTTCCTCTCCCTTTCTCTCATTCACCCTCTCCCTCTTTCTCCTCTCCATCTCTTTATTCCTCTCCCTCTCTACATGTTTATCTCTTCCCCTTATCCAATTCTCCCCCTACTCTGTTCATAACTTGCCATGTTCCTCCCCTTCTCTCTCTCCCTCTTCCTTTCTCTATTTCACTCCCTTACCCTTTCTCCCTCTCTTTATTCCTCTCCCTCTCTACATGTTTATCTCTACCCCCTATCCAATTCTTCCTGTACTCCTGCACTTCAAAACTTTCTCTTTTTCACTAATTGAAAAACATTAATAACAACAACAGGGACAACGATGTACTGAAACGAACTATGTCTCTGTTCATGACGTAAATATTGATAGCTATGTACATAATCAAATTTATCAACAAGGAATGAATACAATAACAATGAGTAAGACACTAGAAAAAAGAAAGATAATATATCCTTACATCTAGGTGATCAACTTTTCACAAATGAAACACAAATCTGAATCGAGTTAAAATACATACATTTTTGGTCTCGGAACTGCAGTATACAAAATAGATGTAGATCTAGAATAATGAATTTTGGGGATGCAAATCTGTGTAAAAGCTGTCGTGAATGAATTGAACTTTGAATACATCACATACCTACCAAATGCCTATTACATTAAGTATTGAATACATGTAATTATATTTCTGAATGGAACGAGAATACTAATGCTCTTATGAACTAGAGCTGAACACATCATTAGTAGTACTGATGTCAATACGAATATATATATAGTTCATCACATTTTTGTCTAATTTACATATCATTCAAAGGCACACATTTTTTCTATCTACATGTATAAGGGAAGGCAACTTTATTATCACTCGCGTTCGTCCGGGTTCGGGACGCCTACTTATCTCTTAATCCCCCGTTCCCGGACGCGTATTGTACGCTGGCGGTCCCTTGGCGTCCCTTGCTCGCGTCTATTGTTGTCTGTTGGACAATAGAGCAGGCAGCCAGAAAAGAAGCCATCCCGTCCGCTAGGACCGCTGTCAATGAACCTCACCGCTATCCAGCCCCTCTCTAATCCTTACTAATCTGGCGTCCCCTGACAATAGCTGACCCGTCTAGAACGCGTTAATCTGGTGTTCCCTGACAATAAAGTTGCACCCGTCTAGCTCGTGTTTAAAATACAAGATAGTAAATTTTCATAGATGAATTTTCAGTCTTGAAAGCAGAGCTAGAGCTGCAATCCTCCCGTGTTGATTGATAATAATTTGTCTAAAAAATGTGTCGCGCGCTAAAATAATAAACGTAACCAGCAACGCCTCAAGTCTTTCTACATACAGCCGCATATGAATAAAAGCTTCTTGTGCGACACTGCAAATATATAAATCATATTTAGTAGTGTCTGTATTCCCCCAACCTATTAATCAGTACTGCATTGCGTGTATCAGCAATTCGCGCAAATCAAAACATGTGGATAGCGGTCACGTGACCTAAAATGCGGTCACGTGATCTAAACCCTACAGCGCTGGTAAAGATACCACCACACTCGAAGGCCCTCGAAGCAGGCCTGCCTCGAAGGGCGCTTGCGATAAGCGAAAAAGCTCGTTACAAAATCTCTGATTTTTTTATTTTAAGCGCTTTTTTTGGCGAAGCCGTTTTTTAAAACTTGGCTAAGCCACCGCGTGCTTTGGAAATATGGCTCCGATTCCGCACTTGTGACAGCAAAATTTGGCTTTTGGGGTGGTTTTTGGAAGTGACATCGGGATTTCCTTGTACTAGTGAGTGACGCTGTGTGTAGTGCAGTGCACTGATATGTAATTTGCGTGTGTTGTGGATGCTGGTTTGATATCACGATCGGATGCATGTGTGTATGCATGGCCTGGGGTAATGCGCACGTCTTTGAGTGGTGTACATCCCCTGTGTTGTGTGTATGCATACTATGCATACGCTCGTTCTCACAGCCAACCTGTAGCCACGTTCGCATAGCCATACTCAGAACTTACAATTTTAGCACAGCAAAACAAATACGTATTTTCCCTTAAAACGTTAAAAACGTTCTGCTTGGCAGCTCTGTGAAGTCTGAGTTTTATCTAAAGTCACAGCAGAAAATTCAGTGTTTTTACAAAATAAATATAGAAATAAAAATAAGGATTTACATTGCATGCATGTAGTCTACCTTACAAGTGAAGATGTAGATATGTAACTTTGCCCCCCTGTTTTACTTTTCCCTTTTGTTGATTTTTTTTATTCTATGCATAATCAGGCCTCTCGCCAAGAAATTAAAAAGGCGTGGCGCGACACGAGGGAAAATTTGACCCCGCCCCCCTGAAGAAAAAAAAATTATAAAAAATAATTAAAAAAACGTTTACAAGTATTAAGAGTAATTTGATTAATTGTTATCCCTGTATTATGTTCCGAGTCATTGTCATATTTACCCTTGCACTAAATAATCAATATTTATAGTATGTTGGAATTTGTGAAATTTGTTATCCAATGTTACGAAGAAAAAAAAATGTATATGATCATAGTTGTTTGGATTTTTATCGAGCTAGACCAAGTCATGTATTTAAAGCTGTAATTATTTTCCTTATATTAAAAACAATATTGCATTTTCTTATTTTCACAAAAATTGCAGTACTCAAATTTCTTCGTCTTTTACTTTATATTGGAGTAAAATAAATTCTCTGTCTCAAAATGACATATACACCCGTCGACTTCGAGACACCAAAGCAATTGATAGAAAGTCTGAAGAGCTGTCGACGTGTTTGTACGCCCGCGTCATTAACATGGCCAGTTCATATTTGTAATTTGCTGGAAATTGTTCTTTAAAAATGAGAAATTCACGAGTTTGAGTAGGATCTCACTATTTCATACTTATGTTAAAAATGATTGTTAAATATCATAATTTTGAGTTTTTTTTATTGCCCGATATGAAAATGCAGCCACAAATGAATTTGAAAATTTTGATTGACTGCATAGTTGCTTAGTAACCAGACATACTAGTCAGTTCATTCATGACTTGTGAAGCCGCCTCTGAGCTAATGTAAACAAAAACAAAGCCATTTATGGGCCGAGTGAATGACCTCAAGTGAATGTGACAGAGAAGAGAGCGAGAGAGAGGTTTTCCCACGCTTATCTTTTCAGGGGGGGGGGGGGGGGGGGGGGGGGGAGGGGATAACTTCACGAAACAGACAGCGCAATAGAGAGAGAGAGAAAGAGAGGGGAATGTCTGATGGAGAGCGCGCAAACATGAAAGGGCTTGGCCGCCAAGAAGGGATCGGAGCTGAACAATGGGGAGACATTAGCATTTTGATAAGATTGGATTATGTCCGCATTATGTATCATCGACCAAGGCCACGTGATGAGTGATGGCTCACTCGTAGTTGGTAGTTGTAGTTGGTTTCTCAAATAAATAACAGATAGTAATGAAATGTCCAGAATGAGTGAAGTGAAGTTGTGGATCTATCTTTGCCTTCACGTTGGTTTTACTTTTCCCTTTTCAATGCATTTTCGTATTTATTTAGTCGCCCTTTTTACCTGCGGCTGCCATCTTTCCGTCTCCCGATCCTTTCTTTCTTGTTGAACTCTAATATTTCTTTATTTATATCTTCATCACCAGGCGCGTACGCAGTGAGGGGAGGGGGAACCCCCCCCCTCATTTGTTTTTTGTGTGTGCTTATGGGTGACCAAAAAAACATCAAATCCTGGACACACAAAAAAAAAATGTGCTCTTACCCCCCCCCCCCCCTGCGAAAAAATCCTGCGTACGCCCCTGTTCATCACTTACTTCATCTAATTTTGCAATTCCATCTCTTAGATTTTTTTTCAATGATTAATATGATAACGTTATTATATCGTTTTTTCAGACTTTCATTGAAATTAGAAATTTGAATTGTGTTCAAAACTGCGAATTCATTCTTCAATACATCTCCCAATTTCTCTATCTTGAAACTTAATTTTTTTTTCTTCACCTACTTTATCTGCCCCCTCTAATTTTGTAATTCCACCTCTTTAAAATATTTTTTTTTCTTCTTTTTTTTTCTTCAATTATTAAAATACAAACTTAATTTTATCATATATTTTTTTTCTCGGAATTGCATTTAAATTG